AGGCGCGCGGAAGCCAGACTACCCGCTTTTGGCTCTATTTTCAGGGCTCTGTAAAAATTATAAATAATCGAGATACAGTTTCGGGAGTCGAGACTTTTTTTACGCAAATTCATTGATCTTTTCAAATCTTTTTTCAAATTTCCAAAATTTTGAAAATTTTCCAAGATATTAAGAAAAAACCGAAAAAACACTTAATTGTTTATAACTTTTGTAATTTTTATCGGCGCGTTTTCGGACCTTTCCTTAAACATTCTAAGCAAAAATACGAATCGAATGACACCTTGGTCGTAATTTTTCTACAGGGCTGAAAAATTTCACCAAAAAGAGCTAAATCGAGTACATGTGAACCAGACTAATGGTAAATAAAGAATCTTGTTTCAGGGGCCCCATCCTGTTTCGCTAGGGGCCCAAAAACATTTTTTCTGTATGAAAAATTATAAATCAATTTCATTTGTATCATCTACTCAAGGTAATTATTTTATTGATAACAAACTTCGAGTGAGAAATTTTGAATTATTTTTTTGTAATTGAGATATATTGATTTTTTTTTTAACATTTGTAATGGGGCGGGGCAACGTCATTGCTCATTGCTGTAGAGATATTCATCGTTCTCTGTTTTATCCGACCATAGGTAGATGTTGAGGCTCCTGTTACTAGAAAATCATTGATCATGCCCAAACTGCCGAATGTTTTGAATCTGGAGGAGAAGAAGTATCTCTTAGCGGTCGAGAGAGGAGATTTGGCCAATGTTAGACGGTGAGTTGAAATGATCATGTTAAATGAATTTCGAAAGCTTCTCTGTATAGTCTGACGTGGTGCAAAACTCTCAAGTAACATTCTTGCGTAATGAGTTTGGGAATACAGAACTGGAGGTAGAGTTTTCAAAAAGTTCGGAACGTATTCATCAAATCGATAATAGATAATAATGATAACACTGATCGTTTTTATTGACTGATTTATAAATTATATTGATACATGATAATATGATAATACAAAATATATAGAAAAGAATGTCAGTCAAAAGGCAAAGTTCAAGTCTAGTCGACAGAAATGGTTTGTTCTTCCACTCAATCATGATACGTGCATCTCCAGTTGATGTACAAAAGCAGGCTTAAGAAGGTCTTTATAACCAAGTGGAATTCTATTCATTATCCAAGTTACAAAATAAGTAAGTGAACCTCTGAAGAGAGTTTTTCTGTGGCTTGGTGGAGTTAGCGTTGATTCGTATCGGATATTCAGATATTTTATAATATAAATAGGGAGGACTTTTGTTGGTTAGGATATTTTTAAATATACAGCAGGGGTGAAATGATCTCCTTTCAGTCATGCTCATCCAACATAGATATTTCGAAGCATGATCTCTCCTATGTAAGCCTCATATGAGACGAACACAGGTGTTCTGTAATCTTTGTAATCTGGTTTTATCATATCCCAAAAGGGAAGGGCCACATCGGCATGGTTTGTGTGAGACAACACGGGAGACTGACATAAAATTGTTTTTATTCGCTTATTGAGAATATATCAATCTAAGGTCATTATAGTCTTTTTTCGGATCCAAGGATACATGGGTGAAACATCTAATGGTGTTGTCGATAATGAGTCCCAAATTTTTTGCTGTAGCTAATACTCGATGCCAATCAGAATTTTCATTTCTAGCTGCCGTTATTCCGAATAATCAAACTTTTGACTTGGATGAATGCATTTCAAAACAATATTGATCAGATAGTTGTGTTAGAGAGTTGAGATCATTGCTGAGTGAGCTGGTGGCATCATTTAAGTTTTTTTTTATATAAAAAAAAGATATATTTGAGTATCATCAGCATAGATGTGCACTGAACAGTGTTGAATTCTGAAAGGGAAGGGGTAGCCCTATGATTGATCCCTGTAGAACTCTTCTGATATAGAATTCGAAAAGAAATTGAAACTTAATTGTTGTAAATCACTGACTGTGTGAAATGCATTAGATCTCGAACAATTTCTAATATTGCAAATGATCATTGTTCATTATATTAGGGATATTTACCTTTTTGCTGATGATAGCACTATTAACATAGCAGCAAGGATTTCGAACTCGATAATAATCTGTCTGTTTAAACGAAATCTGTTTCTGTTTAAAATCTGTTTTTTCGTTAACCAGCTGTCGCACCCCTACGAACGACAACCCTCAGAAGTCGAAACTTGTGCGAGCTAAGGATTAACGAGGTCTTACCTTTTAACGTGTGATTCCTAACACGGGTTGGACGATAGCAAGTGAAGATCGATGGTTCAGACTAGGGTTCGAACCACCGACCAACACGAAAGTCAATTCGAGTGAGTGAACAAAGCACCCACGCCGAACCGCTTGACTACCGAACAACAATCGATCAATAATAATCAGAAAGGAAGTAACAAAATGGTGTAATTTGAATCTCCTTCATTAAAATCTCCTTCAATTAAAATAAATTCAGATGTCTCACAATGTTACAGACACAAACGAACTGAATACAGAATTATCTGCTAGCTACTCGTATTATGCTATCAGAGTAGTATCAGAAATGTTAAGAGTACTCACTGTATAGAGGAGCAGTACCAGGATAACTGGAATGCCACATGATGATGGACTGCTGTTAAAGCATTGAAAATAGCCCTTGTGAACCAAGTCAAACAAGAAAATCCTATGAAAAAATATTTTTTGATAAGTAGTGTTTATTTTTCTAATGATTGTAATTAATCAAAATGTTACATTTGTCTTACATCTCAAAAACTGAAACTGGTACAAAAAATCTGATCTAAAATCAGCACCCCGAAAGTGTATATTATATGTTGTATTTTGGCCTTCTCTATTCATACCCAAGATGACATGGATAAACAAGAGCAGTGTCAAAGCTGACTTATGCTGAATCGACATCCGGCAATACGCAGTTCTCAAAACGACGGCACAAAGACTTGTTCTATTTCCAGAATATGTAATCATTCATTTTCTTATAAATACGTCCTGCGTGACGAAATGAATTCATTTATAGGTATACTCAGTTATAGTTGCAAGACAATTACGTTCAAGTTACGCTTACATTTTCAACTATATTTTGTAGTTTGTAACTCGAGGGAACACAGTACTGTTTTCCTTTTTCAAAATAAATGATTTTTCAAAAAACTTATATTTAAAAAGTGAGACATAACATGTATAATATTTCATGCGACAAAAACTCTGTTCCCATTTGTAATTTACACACGTTTATTCAATTTCAGGATGTTGCAAAAAGCCCACAGAAAAAAGTTGATTATAAACGTGAACTGTATGGACAGCCTTGGTAGAAATGCCTTGACGATCGCTATAGACCAAGAAAATTTAGAAATGGTTGAACTGCTGGTCGTTATGGGAACAGATACCAAAGATGCCCTCCTCTACGCAATAAGCGTTGAATTTGTAGAAGCGGTCGAACTTTTATTGGAGCACGAAGAACTTATTCATAAGGAAGGTGAACCTTATGTAAGTGATGGTTCCTTCAATATCAAAATATAATTCGCATAACTTTTCAAAATATGACATATTGAACTTCCCAGGTATTTGTTTCAAAAGAATATCGGTGATAATATTTTCTGAAAAATAGACTTCTGGTTTCATTCTTCATTTTATTAGAATAATATAATTTGAATTTTCTAGTAGGGTACTTTGAGAAATGTAGATGTTTTTGGTAATGTTATATAGTAACCTGTATATTATATAGTAATATGTATATTACACACAGAAAACGGAACTCAAATTCCCTTGAATAATTTCCTGGAAATTTTGTGTTAATGTACTTTGAGGAATTATCTAAGAAATATAAGTATTCACACTCTGGTCACCATTTTCGAAGCTTGCGCTACACTGAAAATCTAACACGATAGTAATATTGTGGAGAGAGGTAGAAATGAATGTCTCGAAATTTCATTTCAATATTTATTTTCTCAATACTTTATATTTTTGTATTCATTTCAAACAAAATTATGAAGTGTATATTCAAGTTGAACTACAAGGAGCCTACAATCTACTTGTATAAACCAAAAAACTATTAGATTTGTTATCTTTACATAACTTCAAATGATGTTTTAGTAGGACATTGATTTCAATTTCATGAGTGAATACCATTGTGTTAGGTACATTTTTTACATTCTTTCATATTTTCTGTGAAAAAGTATGTTTCAAATTAATTCATTTCATTTTTAGAGCTGGCAAAAATTAGATGTTAACACTGCCATGTTCACGCCAGATCTGACCCCACTTATACTCGCGGCACATAGAAATAACTACGAAATTCTGAAGATATTACTAGATAGAGGAGCAACGGTTCCAATGCCCCATGATATAAAGTAAGTGAACAAATAATAATTCTGAAAATTCAATCTTGACTTATTCTTTTTTATCATCATCAATTATGAATTACATTTATATGATATACAGGGTGTATCAACGACGTGTGAAAGATAGAAAAAAGGTAAAGGGTGGGTACAAGTCAGTTAGTAAATAACAATACGACAATAACAAAATACTAGGAATAAATTCAATAATAATAATAATCGAGGAAAGTAAAACATTAACATAACGTGTAATCTGATGATGACATTCGTAAGGGTCTTCGTAAGGGAAATTGTCATCAACTTTTCTCAACATATGCACAACTCATACTTCCTATGGACATTGAGATGAAGCGAATCACAAAAAAATATTGGCCTCTTCGCTTCCGGCAAAACCACATACTATACCCCAAAACTACTATACCCCTTTAAGAACTGTATTTGTTTTTTCTATCTGTGGTCTTTAATAAGTTTGCGATCAGTAGCGATCCCACCTTCCCATCAGCCTACTTTCCACTCTGTCGAAAGCACTAGAAATGACTATGAAAAAATAAACTTCCAACTACGCTGTGGAAAAAATCTCATTTCTGACGTGCAATCAAGGTTTCGCCCACAATTTAGTACAACAGCAATGACTTTATCACTGATGATATTTTCAAGTCATGTCACCTGTCTCATTTTTCTTGATTACAGCATGGCTTTCGACACAGTAGATTTGTCTACCTTGTGTGAAAAACCAGTTTTTTTGTTTTCCTCGCGCAGTATCTCTTTCATATAGCTATTCATCAGAACGGGATCAAAGTGTCATACTGGATGATAAAGACTCTACTACACTGGTCAGAAGATTTGGAGTTCCACAGGGTTCTGTATTGGGACCACTTCTCTTCAACCTCAACATCAGTGATTTCCTTAAATACATACAACATGAATAAAGATCTGTTATCATTATTATTATCAAAATATTGCAATTTTTGTTGTGTATTAATATCTAAAAATTGTTATTGAGTTCAACATCGACTCAAATTGATGAATTATCATTGAAAATTGTAAGTAACACAAAAAATGAATTTATCCGAACTAAAACAATTTGATGAATCCATCAGTAAAGAATTCAACACAATTGAATAACTGCAGATGATGCTTTCATATTATTCCAGATGCGGATGTGAAGAATGTATACGTGAATCGGAAGAAGACTCTTTGAGACACTCCTTATCGAGATTAAATGAATATAGAGCCCTAGCGAGTCCGTCTCTCATAGCCCTTTCGTCCAGCGATCCCTTGCTCACAGCGTTTCAGCTGTCGTGGGAATTGAGGGGATTAGCTTTTGCAGAGCCAGTAAGTATCACTGATTGAAAAAAATGACATCTCTCTCCAACATTATCTAGCTGAATAGACAGTTCTCGTTATCATTATTTCAAACTCCGAAACAATTTTTTTTCATTATGTTTTATACAGTGTCACACACAAAGTCCGCAACAAATGGGATTTTTTTTTGTTCATCTCTTCAAGCAACTTCTGATTTCTCCATTAGGTTGTGCTTTGAAAATGATGCCAAATGACATGCATATGACCGATCAAGTGATTTTTCTTCCCTGTCCAATTTGACATTTTTTCCAAAAAATGTTCAGAAAAGCAGTTATTGCTCGAAATTTCGAAAATCGGTAAAGAGAAAAGATTATTGTTTTTTCATTTTTTACCCATATACCAATATATAACTCTCTAGTACAAATTTAGTTTTTTTACAGTTTTTCGAAAATTTGACATTTGCCGATTTCTCAAATTTAGCCAAACCTCAACAAAGTTAGTGCTTTATGCCTAACTTATCTTTCCAACGCATTTTTATTACCAATTGCAATTCTTAATAGCTAAGTTTAAATCTACTGGCTCGGTTGAGAGTAATTTTAGAAAAGCACATCAGCCTTCTAGACATACTGAAGAAGTGGAATTTGAAATATGTTTGGATGTGGTAGAACATAAAAAAACAAGTATTCAAGATATTGCAGATAGAACAGATGTTAACTGAGAGAGTGTACGACGTATTTTACACAAAAAAGGGGAAAAAGAAGAAAATTATCATTTTCCTTATCAAATTTTATGGACAGATGAAGCGACCTTCTCTTCAAATGGCGTTGTGAGCTCGCGAAACTGCAGGTGGTGGGCAAAAGAAAACCCACATTTCGTAATCGAATGTCGAGATCAATATTCATTTAAGACGAATGTATGGTGTGGCATATTAAACGATCAAATTATAGGACCATACTTTTTTAGACATAGTTTAAATTCTGCAGACTACCTACACTTTGTGAATACCGAACTATCTGAAGTTTTAGATAATATGCCCCTTCAAGTGAGAAATGTTGTGTGGTATCAGTGTGATGGTGCACCTATTCATACTACAAGGGTGGTTAAAGAGCGTCTTTTGGAAATATTTAGGGGCAAAGTAATTAGTCGCAATATGGAACACTTTTGGCCGCCTAGATCTCCTGATATAACCCCACTAGATTTCTTCTTGTGGGGTTACTTAAAACAAAAGGTGTATAAGCAAAGACCTTTTCGAGATATAAACCATTTAGAGGCAGTTATTCGAGAATGTGTTGTAAGCACCAAACCCCGTAGTATAAAGAATGCAGTTAAAGATATTTTAAAAAGGACAATTGATTGCATTGAACGTGGTGGAAGGCACACCGAAATGTAACTTTTTTATTTTGTATTTCTATTGGTATTTACATGGTTTAGGCATATGTTTCGATTTGATTTAGTGTTCTCAATTTAAATTATAACTTTATTTCAACAGATGTTTGTTAGAATTTTTTACGGTTTACTTCTAGGCAACAAAATCCAAATTGATTTCTGAAGTAATTTTGTTCATTCATACCTCATAAAAGATATTTAGTAAATGTGAAATTACTTTCGTATAATTTCTTTCCTTAGTGTAATTGCGTTGTAATTTTTCGTATTTAGTAAATCAAAGTTTAACTGATTGAAAAGTGCAGTAAAGAATAAATTATTGACTTTTCATTGATATTGTCTTTAAAGTATGCTTATGTATCAAGCTATTTCGCAAAAAGTAGAAATACAGTGAAATATTTATCTGTTTTTAAAAACTGTATCAACTTTGCATCATTTTTGGCAAAATTTTTTCTGGTGTTTTAAATTTTTGGAAATAAGTTGTATTTAGATTTGCAATTTGTAATAAAAATGCGTTGGAAAGATAAGTTAGGCATAAAGCACTAACTTTGTTGAGGTTTGGCTAAATTTGAGAAATCGGCAAATGTCAAATTTTCGAAAAACTGTAAAAAACTAAATTTGTACTAGAGAGCTAAAAATTGGTATATGGGTGAAAAATGGAAAAACAATCATCTTTTCTCTTTACCGATTTTCGAAATTTCGAGCAATAACTGCTTTTCTGAATATTTTTTGGAAAAAATGTCAAATTTGACAGGGAAGAAAAATTACTTGATCGGTCATATGCATGTCATTTGGCATCATTTTTAAAGCCCAACCTAATGGAGATTTCAAAAGTTGCTTGAAGAGATGAACAAAAAAAATCCCACTTGATGCGGACTTTATGTGTGACACTGTATTACTTCATATTATGTGGATTTCTATTTAAGAACACTATACAGTACACAACGCCTCACTTTTTCTCAGTTGATCATACAGGGCGTTTCATGATCAACGTTAGTAAGACGTTCAGAAGATATAGATTGATTACGTTTTTTTTTACCAAATATAGATAGATAGATAAAGAGATAGATATATATTCAATTTCTTATGGTTGCTTCACATTATGAGATAAGTCATAGTAGGTACATAAAGAGAGAAAAAATTCTCATTGGATATAAACATTGAGAAAAAAACATCACAAATATCTCAGTCGTTACAAATTAATTAAAAATGAGAATAAAAATGAAGTATTCAAATACAAACACATGTTAAAATACATTGAAACATAACTGTCTAGTCGCTAAGTGGTTTATACTCGTCTAATGAATAAAAGGCATGGCGGATGAGAAACTTTTTCAAAGATAGTTTGAAATGTTTCATATTAGTAACAAGTTTCAAGTCTTCAGACAAAAAATTGAACAAATGTGCTCCAGCATACAGAGGGCTCTCTATATGTTGCTTTCTTTGCAAGTGGTGCAAATGGAAGTCATTCTTCTGTCTGGTATCATATTCATGGTAGTCACTGTTTCTGTTTACATTTTCAGAATTCTGATAGGTATATTTTAATTTGTAGAGATAGATATATGTTAGTGTCAGGATATTGTTTTCAATCAATATGTTTCTGCATGTTTCTCTTTAGTTCAAATCATAAATTAACCTTATGAATTTTTTTGTGATATGAAAATTCTGCATGGGTCTGTAGCTCTTTCCCACACATTGATGTTGCTACTAATGATACTGTATATTAAATAATAATATAGTTTTACTAGGTGGTGCCCAAGAAAGTTCGATTTCAGAGTAATAAATGCAAAGTACAGCTTATTGAGTTTTTTACACAGAGCATCAACTTGTCTATTGAAAGAAAGTTTTTGGTCTCGTTCGAGGTAAGAATCTCGTTGATTCTGAGATGTGAACTTTTGTGTTACCAACAGTTATTGATAATTTATTACTGCGCTTCAAGGTACTAGTGAATTCAATGTAGACCATTTTCATTGCATTATTGATTTACTTCACACCAGTATTTAAATTCTATTATTACACTATCTATTTTAGCCTGTACCTGATTGATACTTTCAGCTGTAACAACGATTGTTGTGTCGTCTGCCTATACGAAAGTACGTCCTTGACTAATGTGATTAGGAAGGTCATTGACATACAGCAGAAATAGCGGTGGCCCAAGGACTCCACCTTGGGGAGTGCCAATCTTTTTATCAACTTTATATCAACGGAAAACTGCTTCTCAAACTGCACCTTAAGAAATCTACCAGACATATATGACTCGATCCATTTTTGAATTGGACGTAATTGTAAATTTTGGAAAAGTCATCATATAGAGAATATATTCCTTCCAGTTTGACCTTCCTCTTCAAGATGATCACTTGGTGATCGAAACACGTGTCGAGGTGTTGAAATAACGGTTTGCTGTTGGGAAAAAACTACAGTAATATTAATTACTACACCAAAGTGCATCACAAGTCGTTATATGATTTTGAGTGATTTTAGGACCAGGCATTTGGCAATGAACGCACTGTTCGACGTTGGTTTGTGATGAACCCGGAAGTGGTCGACCTACAGTAATCCAGGATGAGAAATTGCGGACCCTTTGCGTGGGCTGGCGAAAGAACTGGGCGTTTGCTCCCATGCGATTTTTGATGGTTAAAAAGTATTGGAAAGATCAAACAGGTCGAAAAGTGGGTTCACACGATTGAAACGATCGACAGAAATGATCATATTTCGAAGTTTGTTCTTCTTTACTATTGCGCAACCAAAACGATACTTTTTTCAATCGGATCGTCACGTATGATGAAAACTAGTTTCTCCACAACATGAGACGTTTAAGACAGTGGTTGGACACTGATGAGCCACCCAATGACTACCCAAACGCGAAAACCCATCAAAAAAGACCATGGTTACTGTATGGTGGTCGGCAGCTGGTATGATTCACTATAACTTTCTGCAACAGGGTACTAATCAACAGAAGCGGTCCAAGTTAAATCAATTGTAAGTCGAAGTTCTGACCCTCCAAACTCCCCAGACTTCTTGTCAACCGACTACCATCATTTCAAGCACTTTGATAACTTTCTCACTGGTAGAGTCTTCCCCAATCATGGCCAGACCAGAACGTCCTTCGTCGACTTCATAGAATCTCGAACATCCAATTTTCCATTCTAACAGAATTATTCGACTTGTTATGTTGGCAAAAGTACACTGATTCAAATGGCGCTTATTTTGATTACTTTGAATGAGATATTACAGTTTGAACGAACAAAACTTTTGAATCGACCGAATATTAACAGATCAACAACGACTTTTCGAGAAAGACCAGAAAGCCATTGCAGTCTCTTGGGAATAAATTATTAAATAGAGGGTTGTCTTTTATGTTTCGGGATTTGGCAATCTGGCAACTGACAGCTCTATCGTAAAGTTGGACATTTTTAGCTTATAAGTACATACACGCGCTATTTGTGTTGTTTACAGTAACTTAAAAGATTCATCTCGCCCCAAAAATGGAATTAAATCTTGAACATTTTCGTGCGATTATATTTTAAAACTTTCGACGTGGATTAAACAGTTGTTTATCCGAAAACCATTGATGCTGTGCGCAAACTGATATGGAAAGATCGTCATGTGACCTATCGTGAGACAACCTTAGGCATTAGTGGGACCAGCATACATTCAATATTGCATAAACATTTGGCTGTCAAAAAACTTGTATACGATCGCGGTGCTTTGAAACACGTCTATGACATCGTGACAGGTGACGAATCGTGGATTTACGCGTATGAGCTCGAAAGTAAACAGCAGTCGACTGTATGGGTGTTTCAAGATGAGCCAAATCCAATAAAAGTTGTTCGCGCACGAAGCACTTCCAAGCAAATGGTCGCCTGTTTTTTAGGAAAAACTGGACATGTTGCAACCACTAGAACAGTCAATTCTGAATAGAACACAACCATTTGTTTGCTAGTTGCCTTCCAAGAAATCAGGAAAACCAACCGCCGAAGACGGATCACTCTTCACCACGACAATGCGAGCTCTCACACATCGGCTCAAACAACTGCATTTTTGAGCACCCAAAACATCGATTTGATGAGTCATCCGCCGTATAGTCCTGACTTGGCACCGAATGACTTGTTTTTATTCCCGCGCCTAAAAAACAAACTGCTCAATCAGAGTGGCAAAAGTGCTTCGACAATTGGTTCAAACGCATGCAAAAGTGTAAAAATCTTCATGGGGAATATTACAAAAAATAAAGTGATTTTTGATGATTGATATTTGTTTTTTTTTTCTCCAATCCCGAAATATAAAAGGCAACCTTCCTATATTTGCACTTTTTTTAGGAATGTAAGTCGGACTATATGGAGCTCAGGCTACAATGTCAAAAATTTGCCGTAGATTTGTTGCACCAGTCAAGAAATTCCCAAGAATTGGCAATAATATTAAATCACGATCCCGACAACCCTCCTTACGAGGAGGGAGAACACATGAAGCTGGCTAGATTGGAGCTGGCGATTCAGTATAAACAGAAAAAGGTAACAATTTTCATACAAGTGGGGGTGTCAACTAATCAACAAATTGTGTTTCAGTTCGTTGCTCATCCCAACATTCAACAGCTTCTAGCTGCTATATGGTATGAGGGAGTACCGGGATTTCGACGAAAATCTTCAGTGGAAAAAGTTATAATAATCGTCAAGACAGCGCTGCTGTTTCCTTTTTATTGTTTACTGTACATGTTTGCTCCTGAAACGAAAACTGGAAAGCTCATGAGGAAACCGTTTATGAAATTTTTGATACACGCATCTTCCTACTTGTTTTTCTTATGTAAGTTTGTTTGGGAGTCATGACACATTTTTTTAACCACTAAAAAATTATTTAAAGTAAATAAATAAAAGTGAGATGGAATGAAATCAGAAATTCCAAAAGTGTAACTGAAATCAGTTTTAGAATAACGACAAACTTACTTCGTCAATATAGAAATTTGATAAAGGTTGTGATTATGTTCTTATACAATTACCCTTTTTTTGGGTAATTGTTACATTCCACAATCTGAAAAAATATAAAAATTATAATGGAGAACTTTATACAAGTGTAGAAGGGCAAACTTTTTAGTTTACCCCGATAAGTTACTGTGTAAAAATCAAAGTATTTTTCACAAAGAAAAATCTTCTATTTATCAGTAACTTGTCGTATTTCACAATTTTGCCTATCAAAAAAATTATTAAGAAATTATACTTATCTTTTACTTTTCGGAGGTCAAAATCTGCCTCCGTCTTCAGAAATGGATAAAAATTCGAATATATACGCAGTTATTCCTTTTTTGAGAGCTTACTTCTTTACTTTTTCGACAGATGTCAAAGAAGTTTTGAAATATGAAATTATGTCAATGTTGTTGATTGACAACTGAAATATTCGATGTAATACAAGATACTCTCCGATATCAGTTTGTTGCCATTTCGCAACTATCCAAAGTTTTCTTCAAGATGGGTAGCCAAGTACGGTCTATTTCTAAGGGGCTATTCGAGATACAATTCTCTCCAGACATGAGAATACACGCTGATTCTTTTAGCTTACGTCTCTTAGAATGAGGCTCATTGGTAATCTTTCTTGTCCTATTCCATTCCACCCGATGTTCACCGTCTGATTTTAAAATGTGTTCTGATAATTTTGATCCTGAATGTCTATATTTAGTTATTTGTTCTAAGTATTTGTTAGCCGATTCCACTATTCTTCTGCTTTCCATAACTGCTTGACGTCTGTTTATTATTTTAATCTGAATAAATCTGAATATTAGTTTCTTTATCCCGTGTTAGGAATCACACGTTAAAAGGTAAGACCTCGTATTCAATTTCTTCCTTATGATTTCAATTGTAGGAATCTCATTGCTTTTTTAACAGTCGTATATTGTTTTTTTCAATGATTTTATCAGATAAACATCTAAAGGTTTTGGTAATCCTGTATCACATCGCGTCTTCCGTTCGTAAGGTGTTTGTTTTTGACTATTTTACGTAGAGTAGAGAAACGAATTTCGGTGAAATCTGATGTTGCTTGTAATAATTTGTTTCCCTCCAAACCAAACTTGAGATGTAGATTCTTATATATATTGAAACATACTCTCTGTGTTTCAATATTCAAATGCATCTGAATGCTGATTCACTGGTATCTCTTTTTAGCATTGTTCACCATCGCTATTCGAATCACTACACTGGAAAAAGTCTGCGTTGTTATCACACTCGTTATTACTATTAGTAATTATCCAAGGACGCCACATTCCAAACAGATGAAAAAAAATTAAATAATTATAACTGCACCAATATCGAATTTCAACACTCAAATCGCGATCAGTTCCTGAACTGAACACGACGGCGATAACCTTCGCCGATTTCTATTCGTCACCGTAACATGACTTCAAATTGAATTTTATGACTCTTCAGCCATTCATAAAACTCGGTATTCGTTTTTTTTGCCTTTAAATGTGCACAATATCGTTTATTTCGACTATAAACATCAAACTAACTTAATGATGTTGATGATGATGAACAATAACAACAAAATAGTTTATGCTTTCGCGGTCGAGGTTTTTAGTGTCACTATTTTTATTCAGATTTGAGAACTGTCGATTTTTAGAATTTCTTTCTGATTCGCTGGCGAGAGTGGCTAGCTTCTTGAAAAGTTCATACATCTAATGAGTTTATCTTCGACGATTGAGTATAACGTCTGCGTAAAGCGTATTGATGTTGATTTATGAATAATAATTTTTAAGTTTGCATATGGTTCAAGTTGTTTCTTGGTGAGTGTTAAAGGTTCGGACTTCCATTGTCTTGAATAGTGTTGACAAATTTGAAATCTATGAAAATAAAAAAATTATTAAAATATTGAATGACCTATTTGAGAACTAATGTCAAAAAATATGTGGAAATGAACAATTAAATAAATTGGGTTCTGGATTGAACTAAAAGCGTTGATCAATTAGTGAAATGTCATTATTGTACAAATGATAAGAAAGGAAAAATAAAGTGAAATGATTGAGTAGAACAAGAAAGTACAAAACATGGTGATTTCATTAGGTTGAAAAAAATATTCAGCTAATTTATATAAGAACAGTCCATCCTATACGTTGGGGCAAAACTATTTAATAATATTCCCGATTGCATGGAAAGGGGAAATGTAGAAAAGAAATTCAAACAAACTCTGAAAGAATTCCCGATTAACGCTTCCTTCTACAGTGTTGCTGAATATCTGAGTCGATGGTTTTACAGTATGTTTTATATATTATATATTAATTGAATTTCAATTTTGTGTGACATTTTCATATATCAATTTGTTATATCTCACGTTTTTGTGACGATTTTTATAAATTCCTACGTATCCTTTATCACCTTGAGATTGTAAAGGATTCAATACGTTTTTGTTATCGATATATTTCAAATCAAACTACTTTACGTCGTTTAAGCAGGAGAACCCACGATGCAAAATGGGGATTTACTCGAGCGTCATTGAGACATATTAGGTTGCAAAGCTTAAATGATAAGGAGAAAAAAATGTTATATAATATATACCTTTTCATCGGTGGGGAAAGCGGCTACAGATTTTTAAATATGTAAAAAAATACTGTTGCATGGACATACTCGAGTGCGTCAGATATTGATAGCATCATTGTCCTACGTATTTTCAATAATGTTGGTATGTTAATCTGATCGTTTGGATGATGTGGGTGATTGTACGTAAGGGTTAAAAGTGAAAAGAAAAAAAATTTAATCGAGCGCGTCAGATTTTCTAAGGGGGTGTTGAGTGCAACAAAAAAAAACTCTGATTTTAATCTGACGATTTCGATATGACGCAAACCCACGGCCATTATTATAATGTGCAAAAGAAATTCGCCATTTTGGAATACTCAAGCGCGTCAGATTAAGATGTATATGGTTCATCTTTATGTTTTAGACGTGCTGTCTCATATTCTGACGATTATCTAGAGGAATTCCCTCAATCTGACAAAAACAATATTAAAAAAAAATTATTTCATTGAACTTAATTGATTGAAAAGCTCACGAAATAGCATGCAAATAAATAAGTGTATGTTTTTTAAGTAGAATACTTGTATTTATAAGAATTGAAATATACACTTTTTAGCATGTAATTAACTCACCCTACCTTAATCTGACGCGCTCGAGAATTTCTGACGATCAATTTTTTTTAACTAATCTGATCCTTTAACCCTCACGGGCGGCCTTATATATGGGGTTCATATTTGGTGGAGGTACTCAACTGGGTACAAGGTATCCCCCTGTATATTAATCTGCCGAGCTTTAGAAAATCCCGAAATCCCCGCTTGGGCTCCCCTATTATTTCGATTATTGGTATCCACAATTCTTTTCTGGTGATAACTGTTATAACCCGAAGACGATTGTGGATATCAACAATGAAAATGTTGTGAAATGGGTTGGTTTTTAATCTTCATTTTTTGCTTTCAGCATGTTTTTATTAGTTATATTCTTAATTCTGAATTCAATGTTCGCATATTATTGACTTTTCACAGATTGTTCAACACCCATTTATCAATTCATCCATTTAGTGCACAATCATTTGTTTTCTTCAGGAATTAACGTTCTTTCACATTTCATACCCATTGCTACTTTCTCTTTTTCATTTTTTGATATTATTTCTCAACTAATATATCTTGATATTTCAGTATTGGTATTTTCAATATTTCTTTTTTCTCTCAGATTTCCAATCTGTCGTTTTTTGCTTCTGCTCCACGGTTAAAAAAACAATTATGAAAATAACTGTTCTCACTTATATTTCAGTACTGCTGATTTTGGTGTCGCTGAGAGCGGATGATCTCGTTTTTGAATACTTCGGATCTGACTCAATGAAAGCTTATGTGATAGAGAAGTATGAGAGGCAAAGAGGCAATCCTCCAACCATATTGGAATATGCTATTCTCTTATATGTTATAGGTAAGTCGAAACGTATATTACTTTCCGCCAGGTTATAGTTTTTTTTAGGTTTCATAGTGGAAGAAATCCAAGAAATGCTGGTCGAGGGTATTAAATCCTACTTGCGAAATCTGTGGAATTTCATAGATTTCACCAGGAATGTACTGTATACTGCTGTCTTCGTTCTGCGGTTAGCATCTTATTTTCAGCAGACCGCAGAAATTCGTGAGGATCCTGCGACTGCGTATATAAGGAGGGAACAATGGTATGCATTCGATCCGCAGTTAATCGCAGAGGGGCTGTTTGCTGGAGCTAATATTTTCAGGTGATAATTCATTTTTGTATAGCTGATATGATCAAACTCTTTCAATACATTCCTGGCATTCTTCCAAAATTCAAAATTTGGGTCACTCTTACTCTGACTTTCACTTCTAGTAAAGTTATCATCATTCTCTGTTTCCTCACACTTCTATATTCCTTCTCTCATTAACTGAAACGCTTTAGGATTCTCGCTTTGGCCTTGATTGGTCTCCTGGTCCTTATCCAAGACATCCTTCTTCTCTTCTGTAAATCTTCCTAAAGGAAATATTATAAGACTTATGCCATTTTATACATGCTATTTTTGCCTGGGTATATCTAATATATTTTTACAAGAGAATCATTGATTCGTTTCATATTATGAGAATAAAATATATTGATCTAACCTGCATAATAAAAACCCTCTCCAAGATCTGACTATTTATAGGTCATTTGAGCGCTTTCACCTATCCCCTCTTTCCTCTACGCTTCATCGGTTGTAGTGGGAGCTGACCGTTTGACGGGAGTTAGTCGTGTTCCGCTTGATTATAGGTTTCCATATGTTGCGTATCTCTACGCTAGCTTGGCTAAATATGTTGTTTGGCAACATGTATGCGGCTTCTTTGAATTTTCTCCTAAACCAGTGTTCTTCCTTGTGGATGATTTTAGCTTAAGACCACTTGATGTTATGTTGATGAGTCCAAACATGCTCTGCTATTCCTGATTTGCTGGTTTCTCAGGAATCGGCAAATCAGGAATTATTAATCATCTACCTATAACTTTCTATTGATCTATATATCTATTTGACTTTTCTGAATATCCATTTCTGGTATAGCAATTAACAGCAACAACCTTATAGTCACCTCCAATTAGCAATACTTCTCTAAACTGTATTATAAAAAAAACGATTTTAAAAAATCCGAAAGGAACCATTGAAACGTACATACAGCATGACTCACGGTCGATGGTAGGTTAGACGTTTCTGGAAAACGCAAAGCATGATTTTTCTGAAAATTTCACCTCTCACATTTCCTTACCTGTTCTATCGATCTGAAATATTTTCAGCATTGTGGCGTTGCCACTTCCATCAAAAAGTCCTAGCAAATTTATTTTTTGAAATGGAACACCCCGTATATTAATACATTTTTGGAATCGCTCTGATATTCCAATACTTTTTTGTTAATAATGTCCTAAACCTATCTCTATCTGTTTTCGAGATAAAAAATAAATTGTGCTAAATATGGTCCAAAACATAGCCTTAATTGAAATTAAGTACATCAGTACTCTCAATTCATGAAAAGCTGATATTCTGATGATAGTTTGAACAAACTCGATATATTCAAATAACACCAAGAAATTGACTCCATATCATACAGGGCGTGCTAAAATTACTATTATTTCCATTGTGCATAAAAGTAGTCAAAAGTTCATTTTTTCAAATGAAACCCCCTGTATATTACTCGGTAAATTGAAAGATGGTGAAAAATGCTTCAAGATGATATATCATGTCCCTATACCTAAATCGTCAAGTTTTCTCAATAAAGTCGCTTCTTCTAGAAACATTATTTTTTTAGAATTTGGATTAAGGTAGCAGTGGAATTATCAAGCTTATAGCAGTTTGGTTACTTTTATAAGTGATTTACAAAGAGTTATCGACGGTGTTTCGAATCATCTTCCAAAATGAATGCAAATACCGATTATTCAAACGAAGTTCTTATGAAATTATTTATTATACACATGAACAAAGTGATCAAATCATTGTCAGAACGTGTAAAAATTTCAACCAAATGTATCCTGAATTAACACCAATGAACGAGAGGAAGTTTGTAAGATTACAAAATAATTTCCTTAACTATGGCTCAAAGTTTTCAGGGAACAACTGTACCAAAAATCAGTCATTTCTAGGTAAAAAGTAATATTTATGGGCTAAAACATGTGAAAGTACAGACAATAACAGAATAGGATGATTCAAAATAACAAATTTGTAAACAAAATATCACATTTTCACAATAAATGCTGAAAATGTTATCCATTACATTCTAAACACTTTGAAATGTTTTTTTGTACGCGACTTGTGGTTGCTTTTTCAATTTCCTGGGGATCCAGATCTTCAATACTCCGCACTATTCGCCGTCGCAATTCTTCTTTGGTAGGCACTGGAGTACTGTATACCCTTTCTTTTAAAACGCCCCATAAAAAAAGTCAAGTGGCGTGAGATCGGGTGATCTCGGTGGCCAATCCCACGGCCCTAAACGCCTAAACCAGCGATCGTCGAAGAGTTCGTCAAGTTTCCTGGAAACTTCCTGGGTGGAATGAGCTGGCGCTCCGTCCAGTTGAAACCACGAATTCCTATATTCCTCTGACGGCAAATTTTCAAAAAAATCGGTTACAGTCGTCCTTAATATTTGGAGATATCTCTCTGCATTCAGTGTGTCTTCATAAATAAAAAATCAAATTTTATTGTTCTTCAGACTACAGAAAACATTCAGGTCAAATTTTTCTTGAAAACCCATTTCTTTTGTAACCTGAGGATTATGATCAGCCCAAAAATGTTTATTCCTTCTATCGAAAATACCATCCCTCGTGAATTTTGATTCGTCGCTCCAATTTATTTTTGACAAAAATTCCCGATCTTCCTGTATATCAAAAGGGATTCACAAAAATGCATTCTACGTTCGAAGTCTTCTGCTGTTAGAGCTTGAACTTTGGTAAATTTATACGGATGCATTCCGTGATTTTTCAAAATTTGTTGTACTGAAGCCTGTGATACACTTAAATCTTTTTCTGCACTGCGAATGGAAGCTTCTGCATACGCATAAAAATATGCTAAAACGTTAACAGTATTGTCCTCATTTGAATTAACAAGTTTTGGTAATGTTGAAGGCGCTTTTAACTTCCTCTCGTTCATTGGTGTTAATTCAGGATACATTTGGTTTTTTTATTATCATCAGTAACGTTATACAAAAACATTTGTATGATACATTTGTTAAAAGTGATTTCATTTTGCTCGTGAGTTTGCTCCACTTACTGATGCTCGTTTTGCAATAAAATAATCCCCACTCACAAAATAAAATGCCACTTTCAACACTTGTAGGTAAAACGTGAATAACTATTTTTCCACAAAAACGGCTTTATTAAGAAAACTTGACGGACATGTATATCATCTTGAAGCATTTTTCACCATCTTTCAATTTATCGAGTAATATACAGGGGGTTCCATTTGAAAAAATGAACTTTTGACTACTTTTATGCACAATGGAAATAATAGTAATTTTAGCACGCCCTGTATGATATGGAGTCGATTTCTTGGTGTTATTTGGATATTTCGAGTTTGTCCAAACTATCATCGAAATATTAACTTTTCATGAATTGAGAGTACTGCTGTACTCAATTTCAATTAAGGCTATGTTTTGGACCATATTTAGCACAATTTATTTTTTATTTCGAAAACGGATAGAGATAGGTATAGGACATTATTAACAAAAAAGTATTAAAATACTAGAGCGATTCCAAAAATGTATTGATATACGGGGTGTTCCATTTAAAAAAATATAATTGCTAGGACTTTTTGATAGAAGTTGCAACGCCGCAATGATGAAAATATTTTAGATCGATAGAACAGGTAAGGAAATGTGAGAGGTGAAATTTTCAGAAAAATCATGCTTTGCGTTTTCAGAAACGTCTAACCTACCATCGACCGTGAGTCACGCTGTTTAATTTACGAATTAATTTCAATTGTTGTTTTTTAATAACTTCACTTTGCAGTGCTCTGAAACTAGTCCATCTCTTTTCCATAAATCCTCATCTCGGTCCACTACAGATATCTTTGGGACGCATGGTTATCGATATTGTGAAGTTTTTCTTCATTTATACTTTGGTTCTGTTCGCCTTCGCCTGCGGTAAGGCTGAATGGTGATCTAGCATAGATCTAATATTCAGTTACTTTTCAGGTCTCAATCAACTACTCTGGTACTTTTCCGATTTAGAAAAGAAGAGGTGTTACCACTTACCAAATGGGGAACCTGACTTTGAGGGAGCTGGTGATTCTTGCATGAAATGGAGAAGATTTGCCAAGTAATATAATAGAAAATAAAGACAATCGTTTGGTAATTGCTCGAACACACTATGAAATTTTGCTTCGAAATTTCCTATTTTCAAACTAGTATGGTATCAAATGAAACTCCATACTGCGTCTCAGCATGGTTACAACTAAGTGATTGACATTTTTACAACCTTTAAAAAACTGTATTCTCCGGTTTTATATAACTGTGCATCATCAATCATCCATTGATCTAATTTTGGATATAATGATACAGTAAAAAACTCTTGGGTTAAGATATAAAAATATCTCTCAACTCATCAAACAATACGTGGAGGCCGCTTTAGATTCACATAATTTTTTCGATCAACGTGCAACATGCACCAATCAGCTGATAAAATTTTCAAACTAGAAGCAGCAAATAGAATATCCTTTACACAAATAGAAAATTCCACAATTTACTAGTTATAATGGAAGGAACTGAAGATGATAAAACATTTCGGAATTGTCACTTATAATCTAAAGAATAAAAAATTAATCCAATGTATAAAAATCATTGTCGAGGAAATATGTTCTCAAGCGAGTTTTGAAAATAGAAATATTGGCGGAACTAACTATTTCTTTAGGCAGTTTATTGAAAATCCTTAGACTCAAATATTCAGAAGATTTCGAAGATACAACATATTTGCAATAGAGACTGTGGAAATCAGCGCAATTTCTCGTATTATAACTATGGACTTGTTGTTGTTATTTTTATTTGTGTATACGTATACACACATTTCTAAAATTAAAATACTTGTCATTGTTAAAATTTTTGATTCTTTAAAAATCGGTCTACAGGATGCTTTGCTTGGGGTATGGCAAATAATTTTCAAAATGCGTTTTTGTGCAATAAATTCGTCTGGTCTCGAGTGGAAACACCCCAGAAATATATGCCATATCGTAATCGGGAGGTTACTTGTGCATGATATAATACGAATAATTGTTCACGTAACAAAATGTTCTTTAGATTTCGGAACATAAAACATAATGAGTTCAATTTTGGGATCAAGTTGGTACAATGTTTAAACCAGCGTCTATAGTAATTCCAAGAACATTAACTGATAAAATAGACTCAATCAAGATTTCATCAGTTTTTATTGTTAGTTTCGCATTGTTTTTGGTAGTTGTCTTATTACTATTAAAATATAGAGACTTCTGATCACACCATGAAATGTGGTTACCAACCGCAGTTTTACACTTTTGTTCCAAGGTATTTTCACATTTATCACTGACAAATATATTTGTGTCATCTGCATATCTAATAAAGCTGGCAGAAGATTAGACATTATCCATGTCATTCGTGTAGAATAAAAAAAAAATTGGCGCCAAAACAGAGCCTTGAGGAACGCCCGTAGAGATATTTTGATATGCAGATTTAGTGGAAGATATACTAACAAACTGTTTTTTGTGGGTCAAGAAACTCCGTATCCAGTCGAGTCACACCACCAATACCATATTTGTGCAATTTAAACAAGAGTGCCTCATGTTGAATGCAGTCAAATGCCCTGCTGAGATCACAGAAGATCCCAACAGGACACTCACCTGATTCGATTGCTTTGATCAATTTTTCATAAAATGACAACACCGCACTCTGAGTTGAGAGTCCTGGCAGGAAACTATGTTGGTTATCTGGAAAGACTCTATGACTTAATGCAAAATTCATAAGTCTTTGGAGATAAGAATATTCAAAAATCTTAGAAAAGCAGGATGTGACAGTATTACCGGCAAGTATTCAATATGTATCATCAAATATCAACATAACTCATTCAAGAAACACTCTATTATAAGATTTCCACTAAACAGTTTCAACATTCAACTGACCCAGGAACTGAAGTTAAACGACCATAGACAATGACTTGTTTTCGCTGATTGGGCTCTGGAGCAGTTGACAACTGACCTTAATTTTCATCAAAAAATCGTCTTCAACGACGAGGCCCATTCATGAACAAACGAACTTGTCAAATTTGGAACGATACCAATCCACATGAGATCCAAGAGCGTCCAATCCCAAAAGAGGTGCAGTTTGGTGTGGACTTTGGACTGGCGACGTCATTACTGTCAACGGCGTGCACTATAGGCCAATATTTACCAACTTCTATTGGCCTGAATTGGATGATATGGACACCAACGACGCTACGTGCCACACAGCTCATGCCACATCGGATATTCTGCACGAAGATTTGAGGACATGGTCATCTCACGTGGAGGTGATGTGAACTGGTCACCGAGATAGTGCGATTTAACTCCATTGGAATTTTTCTTTTGTGGTTTTCTTGAATCGTAGATGTATGCGAACAAGCCAGAGTCTTGTAAATTTGGATCATGAAAGACCACATATTTCATGCATTTTTTTTTTACTTTACTACACAAGTGTAAAACGGCCTTATTAAAATATAAAAAATGTTCTTTGAAAATCAATAAACAAGAACAACCTACCACCAACAAGTTGATCATTTATAATTATTGAACTAATTTTCATAAAATTCTGAGAATTGATCATAATTATCCATTTATTGTTTGAATTTTACCTGCTTACCAGGATCAATATTCTACAGTATTTTCAAATCATTTGAAAGAACTATTCGTTCAGGCCAATCTAAACTCCCCACACTGTAGGTTAATGGACTGACACCTATCAGAAAACAACTACTCCCCTGGCCTGAACGAATTGTTCCTTTAGATGATTTGATTTATAGCCAGTCTTTCAAGTATGCCCACTGACTATATGGGAGAAGTTTTCTTTCCTTATACGAGGAATTGGGCAAATTTCTGATATACAGTTGATTACCTCGTTCACAGGCAGATGGAGTGATGACAAACCTGTTGTTTTTGTCTGCTTCAGCTTAGTAAGAGGAATGATACTCTGAAGGAATTCGGGAAATCATCGACTTTATTTTGATCATATACACTACCTTGCACTGACGAGTGGCCAAACAGCCCGAAACCGGTCTGCAAGTGTGTTCCAATAATTAAAAATCTACTGCGGCAGTTGTATCGCCAACAGGATATGCAGGAATAACTTCAGTGAAGAATCCTGCACTGATACCTGTCGGATATAATCCAACGTCCTTCGTGGTATTAGCCAGGGGTGATAGGTGTCAGTCCATGAACCTACTGTGTAGGGAGTTGAGACTGGCCTGAACGAATAGCTCTTTTAGATGATTTGATTTATAGCCAGTCTTCAAGAATGCCCACTGACTATATGTGAAAAACTACAGTATTTTCTTTGTTAATCTATTTATTTACCTATAATTACCATTATCAACTAATTATGTTCTGGAACCACTGTTGTATGAAATGCATTGTAGAATAGTTTGATGTACCACTTCGACTGAGGAAAAGCATGGATGGTATAAATAATGTGACGATGAGAACACAAAATATTAATGAAAATATATAACGACGAGTACAATTTTTTCCAAACAACCCAATCAAGTAGACTATTATTCACGTGGTATAATTTATTTGAATATTTTGAGTACCCCAAAAATTGATTTTGTTCGACTATAAACTTTGATTTGGTAAGTCTTTCCTGAGTAATGATAAGAAACATTTTTGTTTAAGCGTTTTTGAATCGTCTCAGTCACTATTTTGGGCAAGTTTTGGTATGGTGGACCTTGATAGTTTTGAACTGACCGGTATAAAAACCTACACAAGATTTTGGGGTCTTCTGATGTTTGGTTCATACTGTGTGATCAATGTGATTGTACTACTGAATCTACTGATTGCGATGATGTCAAATTCTTTTGCAGCGATTGATGTAAGTTCTTCATTCATATTTGAAATAGTCGTATCTAGAATATAAGTATTTTGATTTATATAACGTTTATTTCTGCTATGTTCTACAGTATCCATAACCGTTATATTGTGCTATGGTAAAAATACATACACTAAATATATATGTGCTACAAAATTAAATAACTTACTCAAATTTAATTATTGGTTTTTCGTTGAAAACTACTAATCTCATATAATTTTTTAATTTGTTCACAACAAATGTTATTTTCTTTCGAACTCAATATGGCTTTAATTTTGAGCTTATCTCAAATTGAAAACAGAACACACCAAACAATACACCAATTATTTTGATGATATCTCATACATACACTTTGTTTCATTTAAATTTAAAGATAGAAAGCGCTTGATGAAATACCCTATATTTCATTCAATTATGATTCCAAACTAGTTCTGAATTTGATTTATGAACTATTGTTCTTTGGTAAATTACCCTAAGAAAAGAACATGCCGTCACCCAAGAAGAAGACATTTTGGGGAAAGTTTTAAGTTCAGACTCTCATTGTCCTTGAAGGTGTTAATGGATTTGAAATCTATGGAAGCCCACAACAAGCCTCAAGTCTGGTCGAGATACGCTGAAGTACAAAACAGTATATAAGTTATGAATCCAAACACCACCAATCTACTAAGAGAGGGATCGTGCACTTCAGTTTCGACAATATACTTACTGCCACTCAAGAAAACATCTTTAGCAGAATGATTACTCCAAAGAGCTGGTGCACCAGACTTTGCCAGAAGATAAGAGCTTCCTCACATCAGAGGGCTCCTAGATCGTGTTGGACACAGGCAGTGTCATGCGAAGCTGGATCAGGGAGTTTTAGAATTCATTCAGAGGCCATGTCTCGTAATTGAGTAGTCGACAATGATCAGCGAGTTTTTAGTTCATGTGTTCTGCCTCCCATTAATGACCTATGTCGCTGCTGTCAGTAATGTCCTTAAAAATTAAAGCTCTTCTGATTGACCACCCTCATTAACAACGGCAGCGACATCGGTCATCAATGGGCATTAACGGTCATTGTCGACTACTCAATCACAAAACATGACCTCTAAATGACTTATAAGACTTCCTGATCAGTTTGGGATGGCACTGAAGATGATACAGGTCTATCATGATCTAGTTAGTCTAACTACTGGCGAGAATAAAGAGAATGGGATTCGAGAACGTTTGAATGTGCTTCCATTTGGGAACACCATCCAAAGCAGACTGCGACTCAAATAAGATATGTGTGCAGCAAAACCTATATCGGTGAAACCAAGAGGACATTGAAATTCCATATTGGCGAGGGGAAAGCAGTAAATCAGTAATAGAGGAACATGTTAGGACTCATCAACAGATGGTCCGAAACTGAGATAATCCACAGGGAGAAACACTGGTTCAAAAGGAAGTTCAAAAAAGAGGAGAGAGAATAACCGGCCCCAGAAATATACACCGGCTTCAGTCCCACAACGTAATGCGTGGGGTGGGGGAAATCCACCAAACCAAAATCTGTTGTAAAGATGTTTACCTAACCCGAACAGATGGAGACACGAGAATAGTCTGCTGTGATCGTACATGGCACCGAGCGACGAGACAACAACAAGAGCGACACCTACATGCAAACGAAGGATCACCACCTATACCAATAACACCTCCCCCCCCCCACGAGAACAAGTCGAGTCATCAGGGCCCTTTCGAGATGGCGGAACAACAGGAGATAGCGATCTTCCACGCTTTCACAAAACTATGTTCCTTAATTAATATAAGCGAGATGTTGAGGTCGATCTCATTCGACTGCTGGAGAATACGACGGGACCCTTGGAAAATGGAGAGCTTTTGTGGAGTTTATCCAAAACATAATTACAGTTTATGAGATTGTACACAAGCTCTATTTTGGAGATTCGATACAAACGTATTTCGAAAAACGCCTGCTAAATCCGATAATCATAACTTCTAATCCGGTTTTTTAGAATGCGCTTTTCCTAGGAATCCCTGTCGCAAATCCGATCGCCGGCAAATGTGGATCGCGAATGCTTTATTTTATAGGTTCTAGTTTGGATTTGTATTTACTTTTTAGTTGTAAGGAATCTGATAGTTATCCAATAGATTGATTTTCAGGAAGCTTCAGACACCGAATGGAAGTTTGCCAGGACCAAACTGTGGATGAGTTACTTCGACGAAACTGGCACTCTACCTCCTCCTTTCAACATATTTCCAAAACCGAAAATGTTATTGAAACTTTTTAGATTGAGAAAAAAAGACAAATTGAGAAGAATGTCGACTAAGGTATTGAAATATACACTAATATCCAAACTATTCAGTAGATTATGAAACTTTAGTAGATATTAAAACTTTTTAGTAAATGAAAGAGTGGCATCAAGTTTGTTATTGGTTTGTTTGAAAATCCATTCTAAATCACCACGATTTTGTGTTCTTGAAGTTATCGGAAACAATTTTTCCAAAAATTATTTTGAAATTCAGAGACAGAAATATACAGCGTGACTCACGGTCGATGGTAGGTTAGACGTTTCTGGAAAACGCAAAGCATGATTTTTCTGAAAATTTCACCTCTCATATTTCCTTACCTGTTCTATCGATCCAAAATATTTTCAGCATTGTGGCGTTGCCACTTCCATCAAAAAGTCCTAGCAATTATATTTTTTTAAAGGAAACACCTCGTATATTAATACATTTTTGGAATCGCTATAGTATTTTAATACTTTTTTGTCAATAATGTCCTATACCTATCTCTATCTGTTTTCGAGATAAAAAATAAATTGTGCTAAATATGGTCCAAAACATAGCCTTAATTGAAATTAAGTACATCAGTACTCTCATTGCATAAAAATATGCCAAAACGTTAACAGTATTGTCCTCATTTGAAGTAACAGGTTTTGGTAATGTTGAAGACGGAATACCATTTATCAATTACTTATAAGTCACCAAACTGTCATAAGCTTGATTTTTCCACGGCTACCTGTACAACTGTTATTGAAAATATCTTTAATAGAAACACTTCAATCAGAACACCTACCAAAAAATCATTTAGAAAAGTTCACACATGCAGTTCGTACTATTGGTAATATTAAATCCCTGTGAAGTTACTGACGATGACGAAGTAGTATTCAGTCCAACTGTAGAAAGTCCTTCATGACTTACCAATAATCCTCCTTAAAATAACGTGAGTTGGCGTATGTAGTTGTAACATATGCCTTGTAATTCAAAGATCGTGTGTTCAAATCCCATGGACCCTATAATTTTTTTTATTATCAGCAGTAACGTTATACAAAAAAATTTGTATGATACATTTGTTGAAAGTGATTTTATTTTGCTCGTGAGTTTGCTCCACTTGCTGACGCTCATTTTGCAATAATCCCCACTCACAAAATAAAATGCCACTTTCAACACTTGTAGGTAAAACGTGAATAACTATTTTTCCACAAAAACAGCTTTATTAAGAAAACTTGACGATTTAGGTATAGGGACATGATATATCATCTTGAAGCATTTTTCACCATCTTTCAATTTATCCGAGTAATATACAGGGGGTTTCATTTGAAAAAATGAACTTTTGACTACTTTTATGCACAATGGAAATAATAGTAATTTTAGCACGCCCTGTATGATATGGAGTCGATTTCTTGGTGTTATTTGAATATTTCGAGTTTGTCCAAACTATCATCAAAATATCAACTTTTCATGAATTGAGAGTACTGATGTACTTAATTTCAATTAAGGCTATGTTTTGGACCATATTTAGCACAATTTATTTTTTATCTCGAAAACAGATAGAGATAGGTATAGGACATTATTAACAAAAAAGTATTAAAATACTAAAGCGATTCCAAAAATGTATTAATATACGGGGTGTTTTCTTTAAAAAAATATAATTGCTAGGACTTTTTGATAGAAGTGGCAACGCCGCAATGCTGAAAATATTTTAGATCGATAGAACAGGTAAGGAAATGTGAGAGGTGAAATTTTCAGAAAAATCATGCTTTGCGTTTTCCAAAAACGTCTAACCTACCATCGACCGTGAGTCACGCTGTATTTTTTGCATAATTCACGAAATACAGATGAGAAAATATCTCTATACGATATTTTCAATTTCCCAAAATAATTGTGAATGTGTATGGTGATGAAATATTTCTGTAGAACGTAATATACAGAGTGGCCCACAAATCTAAGCGTAAGGCACAAAACTGCCAGGAAATTATCGTATTGCAAAGATCCAAAAACACGCCGTGTGTGTATGAGGGAGAAATTTTTGGACCCAATATCTATGTACTGCGTAATTTTCAACCCTGTGAGCTCAGATCCCCCATTTTTTTTCAAATAGTGAAAAATGCTATCGATTCCTATGCATTGCTGCTTTGCTTTCCAAAGTTATTTACTCATTCAAAAGACATGGTGGTTTGGAACGTCAACAATACATTTCAAGAAAAAACAAATAATAATAGATTTTGAATAAAAACCTATCATTGTGATTTACATGTTGAAGCTAAATCATTGCGCAAAAATTTACAGTGTTTGCCGTTCAGCAAGAACTGAAAGAGTTTTTGCTTGTCAAAAAACTTGTATAAGTGCTTACTTGCTTGGTTATTAGAATAATTTGCCAGTCTTCAGTAATTCTATCATCACATTCATGGCGACTCATTCGAAATTATACTCGATTCACGGTGAACAACAATACAATAACGAGAAAACGTGTACAAAATTGCATCTCCGCTCCTCCGTCGATGAGATCCACAACGTTTCGTCCGCTTTCGACAATTCCTCATTTAGATAATTGTGATGGAGTGATCAAAAAGAATTTTGAGTAATCAGTTATAGGGTACTCAATTCTGGAAAGATGAAGTTCACTTTGAGATTGATAAATGAAAAAATCACGTTGTCAAACCATTCAATCAGCGGCATCCTGACAGACATCTTTCTGATATAATTGTTGGCGAATTGCTGTAAATTTCGCGAAACTGGATCGGTCGAAATCTAAAATAAACTAGATGAAGCTATAGAAGTAATACAATTGGGACAAATTGCAATGAATAGAAAAAAAAATCAACCAATGTGATGGGCGAATAAAAAAACCTTCTCAATATAGTGCAAGAACCAAATGAAGATTACTTTGATCGTCCTTGCAATTTTGCGAAATTATTAGTGAGCGGGAAATTGTAATTTCAATAGTACGTAGATTTACTCCAAAATGATATTGTTCCAGCTCTCACTTATATAAAATAATTCTGTATGCGATGAAAAGTAAATTATGTTTCAAAACGGTAATCCTTCACATTACTCACAAAATGTGCGTATTATTCAAAGGACAGGTTTCAAGGTAGTTGAATGAGATGAAGGGGTGCTTCTTCGGTCAACCAAGTTTTTTTGTGGAGACGCATTAAAACCAAGTATATCACATTTCATTTGACGTTCAAAAGGCAATTTATGTCGTAAAGTGACAATGCATGTATTCCAAATTCATCGATAAAATTTTCAAAATCCTGTATATTCTATGAAGATTGGCGGACATTTCCAGTATTTACTTGATTGAAAAAGCACGTTTTGCATTTTTAGTAAAAAGTTCTTTTCAGCCATTTGAAACTTCATACCTTCTAAACGAGTGAAGAGATTTTCAGAAACGAAATAGCACTGTGAAATCGAAATCAAAACACAGTTTCTTAAAAAAACTTACAATGAAATCGATGATTTCAACCCTCATGATTTCTGATATATTTCGTACACTATGTACTTATGTTACAGTAGAATAATACAACCACGTGATCCGCCCGAGTTGCCAGGTACCTTCAACGCGTTCAATGCTGTAGTATCGAAGGATTAGACGGTACCACGGGCATCGGATTAGTTATATTAAACGGTTGGAAATTGATATTGTGTTTAGTTTATTCGCTGTTGTTAGTATTGTTTTAAGTTTTTGTAGTTGGTTATAAGTAACTTATCACAAAATCTTCTATAATATCCTTTAATTTCGTTTTTTTTTTATGAGCGCACGCCTATGATAAAAAAACGAGATTGGTTCCGCACTTCGTTTCGAGGTCACTGAGAATTTTATGAATTTATGAATGAAAGTACTGGGAGTGGACTTACTGGTTGATTTTTACTATGGTAATGTCAACTTCATAGATAGTATCATTCATATACACTCCTCTTACCTATATACACTCCTCTTACCTATGTACACTCCTCCACCATAATAATGGTTCTGATTATTATTATTGTACCTTAAGTATACAAGGAAATCATATTTCAGAGGAGGAACAGAGAAGAAAAAGAAAGAGATTATAGGTACACGGCAGTTATGAGAGCACTTGTCTGGAGATATGTAACTGCCATGCACAGAAAATGTGAGGAAGCCGTTGTGACTGAAGATGACGTGAATGAACTCAAAGGCGATATCTCTTCGTTTCGATATGAAATATTGGAAGTACTTGGCAAAAATGGAATGGACATATCATGTGCAGAAAAGAAAGAGAAAGGTATGTAATTATTAAGAATGGCATCAACAATTGAATATATATGCTTCAAACATTTTACATTACTCGTACAATTGACGAGATCATCTAACTCAGACATCAAATAAATATGTCAGGAAAGTTAAAGTCTTTTACATTCAGCGTCGACCTCTTTCAAAAAAATATGTTTCCAAAGCTTGGCTGAATGATTCAGCGGTCATCTTTTCCAACACTTTTTGAGAACGGGAGTGTTAGCAATTTTAGTACTTTCTATCCGGATTCAATTCTCTATTCACTATAAAATCAATGACAATGAGTTCTCTATCTATAATCTCTGTAGAAATTCCGGCTATTCATTAATCAGTGGCGGCGCAAGACCTAAATTTAATGTGGGCAATATACATTTTGCGGGGCCCTCTGAAAAAACAGGGTTTAAACAATAAAAAAACGTAACCAATTCTTTATTAATTAAGAAACACTTACCAAAGTAAGGCCCACGCCTTACGCCGCCTCTGTTTAAGGTATCAGAAAGGATCGGTGAAGGCCATAGTACAGGATTGATTTTTTTGTACATAAATTTTATAACCACTTGATATGACAGTTTCATTTCCAGCTGTACTCGGTAAAAAAATGAAAGTTTGGGAGAGGCGATTGATGAAAGACTTCAAAGTGGGACCAGTTGCAACTGAGGAAGAAGAAGAATTGTTTGCGAGTCCACCTGAAAACGAGAATTCTCTAGCAAAGTGAGTTTGTCAAGAAATAAAAAATTCAAACTGACCATTCTGTATTCTATTCCAGATTTAGAAGAATTGCCAAGCTGGCAATACTGGATTCTGGTATCAATAAATGGAGACAAGTGGTGAGAGGAGCCCAAATTGCGTACGTTTTTTTCTCAATAATGATAGAAATAATCATAAATCACCTCTGATTAATTTTTTTCATCGCCTGAAGTCATCTACGTGATTGGGGAAACGCGTGTTGAGAAGAGTATTCGATTTCTGGTGATTGGTAAAAATGCATATAATAAAAATAAAAAAGGACCCAATACCGAACCCTGAGGCACACCGCACCTAGGGGCAAATATGCTAGGAGCACTCGCCGTCAACAGGAACTTTCAACAAGAATTTCATTGCTTAAAATAAACCAACAAAAAACAAAGAACGTTTTATCGTATATAATACAAATGTGAAAGATTGATTTTCACTCTCCCGGAATAAAAAAAAAGTTTTCTGATTGTATACCGCATGCCGGTGGGACGGTAGCCTGGTGGGTTGACGTGAGTGGTTTGCTTCTCTCACTCAATCGACCGCTGTGCGGACCGGTGGTTCGAACCGCAAGGCCGAACGATCGATTTTCACTTCATATTGTCCAACTCGTGTTAGGAATCACACGTTAAAAGGTAACGCCTCGCTAGTCCTTAGCTCGCATTCGACTTTTGAGAGTTGAGAGGGGGCGACAGCTAGTTAACGGAAAAACAGATTTCAACAGATGTTTTGAAGAGTTAAAGATATCTAAGTGTGATTCTATAACAATACTTATTTTGCATAGTGTAATGTTCCTGGTGTGGTGATATTTTTCAATTTCATTAGGAATGTTTGGAGTAGGTATAAACTGAATGAAAAAAATGACTGCCAGGAAACTCAATGTTCATGTAGTTGATTGAAAGTAGTTGAATAGAATTTTTTTTATTTTTATCTACAGGTTGAACATATCATTCATTTCTTCTAAGAGTAGATCATGTTTGTGAATGTATATTTAAATTATTGATTATTCAACTGGCCAATATGATCAGAAGATCTTCTTGATCTGTTTGAAGTCAAATTATATTTAAATTTTTTCCATAGATAATATCCTGTATTGTTATCGTATACACGAAAAAATTAAGTAACGAAAGAATTGAAAAAATATCCAGGTCCCAATTAAAAATGTGTGATCTGATGGGGGCCCTGAATACGCGAAACATCCTATGATAAATGTTAGGCGTTGCTAGATTACATGAAGAACAACAATATGGCCCACAGGAAGAGAAAACAAAAAAGTTATTTTATAGTTTTTCCCCTGTATCTCGCAAACTCCTCAATTTATCATGGGTTTTTCTCAATTCCTCGCGATTTAGGAGATCCTAATGGTGAGATTCGAAAAAGTAACCACCTTGTATACTAATAAATAATTTCAAACAAATAATCTCAAAGTCCTTTAACAATATATTTCATTTAAGGTCTCAAATTGGACGCTGTCATACCAGAGATTCTTTCAAGAAGCAACAAAACTTGCAAAAAGCCATGGAGGAAGCCAAGAGATTAGCATCGAAAAGTCCAGAGAATCTCTCAAGAGCGACAACTCCTATATTGTTGCCAGATATGACCGGGGCCGATATTATGGATTTGGTCAGAGGAGAAGACCATTCAAGTAAATGAATTTTTATACCATTGTGAATAATAAAATAAGAACGTTCTAATAAGTTCTTTTCCCCAGTGTGCGAATTTTAGACTCAATAGTAAAAAAGAATCCGTTGAATTGAATCATAGGAATTTCTTCTTTCCTCTGATACCAATATCGAATCAAATTTTTTGCATCAATCTTTCTATTATTATTGCATGACGTCGTTGAAATTAAAAGTAAAATTTTTATTTGCCACGTGATCTTTCAGTCAGTTAAACCAACTCAATCGGATTCAAATCCGGGTGATATGGTGGCAATCGTACAACGTTGTGATTTGCTGCTAAAAAGAGTTGATCTATTTCATACCGCTTGAATTTTGGCTTATAGTTGTTTATGAGGACACCAACTTTTTATAATTATCAAAATTCATCTCATTGTGGCTTTTAAGACACGCCCGAAGAAGCTTTGTATGATGTTTCCAATAGAAGAACCGGCTATAGACCGATTACAGATCGACAGTTCACAAAGTTAACATGCTCGAAAAGGGAGACAGTACATAGAAGACGGGCTTCAAAAGACTTAATAATAATAATTTCAATTTTATACATGCAAATTCTTTAAAACTATCATTGTATAAGAATACTACGACCGAACTTGGAATCACAATTTCTCTTTCACAGATACTAACACACAGACAGACAGACAATTTTTTTCAGAGCAACTAGTGGTCTAATCTTTCGAAAAAGTTTGTATCCGTTCTAGATATCGTAGTATCTATGCAATCCTAAAGGGCATATTATAATGTGTCAAATCTAACTTGACAGTACCTCTCTACATACGATGATATGCGATTATAAAAAACTATATTATTCATTTCGTGATCATTTATTCACATTTAGTTACATTTTCCAGATTTAACGAAAAAAATAGCAAGTCTGAGTCCAAGAGTCCAAGTTGTAAGGACTCGCCTCACTCCCACAATCAATATAGAGCCTCCACCTGTTACATCTAGCAAGAGTATCAAATTTGCTCATTTTAGTATAACAGAAGAGGATGCAGAAAGCTTTGAAGAGTCTACCAAAAACAGTAAAGATGAGCCAGATTTAATAAACCTTAATAGTGAAAAAAATTCTCCTCTGTCCACTTTAAAAAAATCACCAAGTTCGTCTTCCATAGAACTGTCGAACACAAAGGATAAAGACTATGAAGGTTCCAGTAGTGATCATCCAGAAAGTTCTCCAGTATTGTCTTCCCATCCAGTGGACACAAACAGTCCAAGCAGTCATTCTGTTGGAAAAAAATCAATCGACTCTTATATTGATCCCAAGAGAAATGAAGAAATTGAAGCTGAACTAGACGGAATCTTCAATACATCGGAAGAGGAAGATGAAACTGAAAATTTGAAAGTGGATTTGGAAATTGCACGCAGTAAAATTCCAGATCTACGAATGGAGAATAATTCGGAAGTACAAAGCCAGGATACATCTGGGATAATGTTTTCGACAAAAGAAAAGACTGATGGTGGTGTCGATGAATTTATAGGACCCAAGACGAGTAATAAAAATGAAAATATTCAAGAGAAAAGCGAACTCGAGGAGATGGGTTCTCACAGAAGTAGTAATTCCCCAAACAATGAAGTACATCATGACACTTGTGTGACTAACAAACTACCAGAAGATACTGAAAACAAGAGCTATCGATCAAAAGATGATCAAAACCCTCAACAAAATCATCCAGCTACAAACTCAACAGAAACTATTAAAAAGAAATTTGAATCGATTGAATTACCTGAAAAGAGTTGTATTCAGGAAACATCGAACAAAAATTCAGAAAATATAATGCAGACAAGTAATTTGAGAAAAACGCCAGAGATATTGAAACCTGAGGTTCCTAAGGAGCCTTCTGTAACATTTTCACAGGTAAAGTAATTCATTGAATAGTAGTAGATTTTGTTGAAAAGATCAAAATTCGAAAGTTGAGAAAATAAAAAAATTACATATTTAAAAAATATCACAATTTTCATTTTAGAAACATTTTTATCAAATTGAAAAGGAAATATGTTAGGAGAGATGAGTTTTTTGGAAAAAAAACTCTTCAAAAAGATGTGTAGGTCGTGCATAGATGTTTCTTTGAGGTACAAACTGAATGAAAAAACAGTTCAAAATAACTACTTTCATATGATCATTGATTTATACGAAAGGAACATGTCCTTTCGAAACTACAATCTACATATAAACATTGGATAACATTCAGTTTTACAATTTGGTGGTTGAGTACGTTGCCATTATAAAAGTTGATGAACAATCTTCAATTACTGAGTAATTCTACAGTTAAATCCAAATTACATAATAAACAATGAAACATAACACAAAAGTACAAAAAGAAAGAGGATTTAGGACAATCAAAACAGCAACACAAATGAAATATTCTAATTTTTATTGTTAAAATTGTCCGGAAGAAGAACTCCATTGAAACTTTGGAATTTCGGGCCGGTGAAACAGGTAATAGCTTGTGGATACTTTACTTTTTAGTTGGGGTTTTGTCAAAGAAACATTTCAACGCTATGTTTATTGGTTTTTGTATACGAAAAAATGTTGACAGACGATATTTTCTATATTCATATTTCTCTATCAATTCGATATGTCCATAAAAAAGTTTTCTTATTTTTTAGCTCAATTTGCCAAGATCTCCTTCTCCAGCTACAACCCCAATGTCGCAGCGAAATATACAGAGGATTCATGATAAAAAAGTGCAGCCCAAATATGGTTGGTTGTAAATTTCAACTTTGATATGTTCATTACTCGTGATTTTTGTACTCTCGTAAACCATAAACGATTTGGATGTTGAGAAAATGATCAAACACATATAAACTTTGTTTTATTCATCATACCCAGTTCAGGATATTATATGCAGTTGTGTATAATAATAATAATAATAATACACTTACCCCACGGTGTGGGGAGTGGTCATTGGTTGATAATGCTGAAGCGCCCTCCCGAATGTATCGGGGCTTCGGGAGATAGGGCCTGACCAGCGCAAACTACGGTTGAAAAAATAATAATAAACGTCTTTATTACTACAACCACACAAAAAAATAACAATATTAAGTTCTAACTACATATATAAAGTTATAGTAAAAGGCGGAAGTTCAATTTTCGCAGCTATGCAAATAACTGCTAAATTGTTCTTCCATCATTGTATCCGAAACTATGCAATTTTTTTTATGACATGCTCTATGCAAAATTTGTATTTGATTCTGCTAGAAAGACCTGACATTTATATTTATTGAAATTAAAATCAACCTTGTACCACTTAAATCATTATAATATCACAATTGCTTTTCATTTATCAGTTATGTCATATGTCAAAATAATTGAAGCAACTTGAGGCGAAAGTTTCAAAGTGAATTTTGTGTTTTGATAACGGAAAATGATTGGTTTCCAAAACGTCAACCACTAAATAAAGCTGAGTATTGAAATATACACACATCGGAAAAATTTAGGGATATTTTTATAACATACTAAATATCATAAAAATAAATGCATGATGTCGTTTAATTTCGATTATATTGGTACACTCGACCACCCTGTAGATTTCTATGGGTTGAACAAAGCCTGCAAAAACGGTAACTAATCTTCTATCAAGTTATTTTACAAACTGTAGGTTTTCGGCTAAAATGAATAATCTGAAAGTGTCGAGTTTGTACATTCTATGCAGTTCTTGCTCAGTAATTAAACTGGAAATATTGTGCTTTAACATGGAACGCCATCACTTACCATTGGCTAAGATGAATAGAGCTGTAGGGCTTCTTCAAGGTGGGGTCTCCCAAAGTGTTATCAGTCGATTGTGGCGGCGTTTCCGTGAAACTGGCAGTCCAGCCGAACAACATCCAGGGCGAGGACGCGCTACAACTGTAGTTCAAGACCGATTTTTGGTCTTAACCGCAAGAAGACAACCGACAATCACAGCACCTGAGTTGGTTAACGTGTTGCAGCAGACGCACCAGGTAACCATTGGTCGTGATACTGTCAGAAATCGACTGCATGAAGCAGATCTCCATAACAGAAGGCCATTTAGATGTCCACCTTTGTCGAGAGGCAATCGCGGTTAGAAGATTAGAGTGGTGTCAAGAACATCAAAACTGGGATGCAAATGATTGGGCCACAGTTTTGTTTACAGACGAATCCAGATTTGGATTTCATCCAGATTCTCGTCGAGTAAGACTGTGGAGACGACCTGGAAATAATGAACGTTTGAGACACGTCCAGGAAGTCCACACATACAGAGGTGGTACAGTAATGCTATGGGGCGGAATCATGATCGGCGGCAGAACCAATCTCGTTTTTCCAAATCGCTCCCTCACAGCTCGACAGTATCTTGACACCATTCTTCTACCTATCGTCCGTCCGTTTGCTGGTGCTGTTGGTGAAAACTTCCACCTAATGCACGATAATGCTCGTCCACATGTCGCGCGTCTAGTGACTGACTGGCTCACCAACGAAGGAGTTGATGTATTGCCATGGCCAGCACAATCACCGGACCTGAATCCCATCGAGCATGTGTGGGACATGCTTCAACGAAGAATTACTCCGCATATGGGGAACATTCACACAACGTTTCAATTGAGAGAGCTTTTAATCGCTGAATGGGCAAATATACCTCAACAAGACATTGACAATCTCATTTTGTCGATGCACGATAGATGTAGGGCCGTAATAAACCAGCGTGGAGGCCACACTTTGTACTGATTCCAATTTTTTTTGTATTATGATTTTTTTTCGGGGTGCCAAAAAAGAGCCATATTTTTTTTTAGTTTTGCTTATATGCGCACTCAGTATTTTTGACCATTTAATAAATTTTGTTGTAAGTTACATTCGTTTAATAATCACCCGTCAACTTTGTTTTCCCTAAAGCGATCTAAAAAAAAATTATTGCCATTTTTAAAAATATCCCTAGACTTTTCCGATGTGTGTAATTTCTTCACTTGATTTTTCTCAATTAGTAGGCAAAATTTATGAATATGAAAAGTAACTAATTGGACAGTGGTTTATATTACACAGTAACTTTCTGTCTTTCTCTGACAGGCGTTTCACTGCATTGATAATAAACTTAACTAAGACATTGTTAGACTCTACCATCCTTAAATAATAATAATTATCTGAGTTTAAGTAAGCATGGACATCTTTAAGACATCATCGAGAAAACCAAACCTTACCTATCCAATATAAACAAGGGTCATCCAAGGATCAACTCATCCCAATATTCCGGTCCTACTATGCTGTCTGTTCAAAAAAATGTTTATTTATTCATCAATTTCCATTTTGTCCCCTTCAAAGTAGTCCCCCTCAGATATAACAATCCATGTCGACAGTATCTGGGATAAAGGCAATTCGTTTTATTTGTATCTGTTCCTGCCGAGTTTCTTCTGTACTTCGAAAGTTTCTTGAAGCAGTATTGGAGTGAAGATATTGAAAAATTAGGAATTTTCAAATACAAGAAAGTATCTGTATCTGTAGAGTAGGTATAGTGAGTGTAGGCCCACAGCACTTAGGCCACATATGACCCATTGTAAATCCTCCCTAGGAATTGTCCTCCTAGGTCAGCGATAGTCAACCGGTGGCCCGCGGGCCGCATGCGGCCCGCCAGATTTTTCTATGCGGCCCTCTAGCGGCTCTAGACTTTTCTGCAGCCTGAAGGCTAATACAATATTTTTAGATTAATTGACAATAGTATTTTCTAATAACGACACAAAAATGTGTAGAGGTTTTTGACCCATATCGAATACTGTGGTCAAACACTGGAATGCCTAGTGTTAAAGATCCCGACTAAGTGATTCGCACCTGGACAACGTTTTGAGAGTAGCATGTAGTAATTATGTGCCAGATTTATCAGAAATTGTAAATAGTTTGCGTCAATATCAATCATCACATTAATTTTTAAATAAATGGTTTATTTTTATAGTTGCGTTTTATTGTATTTTACATACAACGTCTAACTCTAATAACGTGTCTAGCAGCAGCAACTATGTGGGTCTAGCAGTAGCAACTATGTGGCCCAAGGGGAAAAAAGGTTGTGTACCGCTGTCCTAGATCATCGTCCATACAAGAAAGTATTACGAATAATGAACTTTTTTACAACTATCAAGAATAGATTCAGGAATAAAATTATCACTTAGAGAGGTGAATAACGTTTATTGGTATCAACATAAATTCTAAGACATTATCACACAGTAGATTAACATATGATACAATATATTGAAACTGTCCAAGCTACCTGCTACTTTACAGCTAATCTTGTGTTAGATAAAAATCAACTAAACTCCAACAAGATAACATTCGGTGATAGTTCCCGATGCACACAAAACGAGAAGTTACAGCAAATAATTACCGACAAAGTGATTCATCCTAGACACGATAGAATAATGTATGAGAACCATAAGGAAAAACAAATGAGCGAAACTAGTATGGTTCTCATTAAGTTTTCCGATAATTCTCGTACACTTTCAGCTAGAGGTATCCAAGTTGAATCATTGAGCTGTTGTTCTCCCTAATTCCAAAAGTATTCGAGGCAAATCTTATAAAGCATCCTTTTTAAATAAAAACTTGCCCGGGAACTTTTCGGAAACAGTCAAACGATTGATGTGAAAAGGCTTATAAGTACATCCCGAAGCAATATTTTTAAGCACTTAACATTACAGATTATATATATCTTTGTTTCTTTGTTTAAAGCTATACACGCACACAACACCTAGATTAAAAGTATAAAGAACAACCATTTTTAAATATATTTTTGTTTTTTATAAAATATTTCAACAGGAAAGCACAAAACATGCATATGAGCTTTAAGATTTTTACAGTGAAGTATTTAAATAGACTTAAAGCTAGAAGATGACTATATGTGCCAACTCGAGTACCTGATTCAAGAGAAAGTGAATTTCGTGAAGCTAGTGATGATATATCGAGTTGAAAATATATATTATATATAGATAGAGCAGACAGGCAAAAAGTTCTCTAACAGAATCAAGCGACACGGTCCGCAAAAAACAATTGCAAAATGTAACAGAACTGCAATTGTTGATACAGAACCTGCTGGTTAGAACAATCAGGTATAGAGTTGGGCTTGTAGTCGTAGTGTTTTAAACGTCTACGACCATTTTCTTGTGAATGTCTGTATTTCCGACGACATTACAAAATTCTTCAAACGAGATCTTGCCATCTTCATCCTTATCGGCGAAGAGAATTGTCTTGTCGACGATCTGCTGGAGCTGAGTGTCCTTCAAATTATTACCGACCATCATTTTGAGGACCTATGAATTACAGAAAATAGATAAGATCATCAAAATCAATGTTTAATGAACAGCATTTTGATCTTTTGATAATTATATGAAGTGATTATATAAATCGATCCCACCAACATTAAAAAAAAGGATTATCTGAATCATGTTATTTCTAAGAATTCAAATTATGCTTTCACCATACAATAAAAATGTTGGTGAAATTTATTTATGTAATTCAATTTTACAATAAGAAATATTGAACCTTTTTAACTAATATGGAGATTTTGATATATCAATCAATTATAATGAGCTAGTTAATGAAAATGTAAAAAATGGAGAATATTATTGAATAAATAATTAACTACCCAACCAAAATATTTCCGGCCAAGCGGTGTTGCCACTTCCAACAGAAAGTAGTACCAACTTTGTTTTTCAAATGGAACACCCTGTATATAACATTATTTTTGGAATCTACGAATCTACCACAATAACACGACAACTTTCATTGATATTTCCTTAAATCACTTACCGTTTTCAAAATGTAAATTAATTTAAATTTTTTTTTTCGAAAATCATGATGTCTAAGTCAAGGAATACCACGGTACCAAAATTTGGTTTGGAGTTAGGCTTCCCACACTTCAGCATAAACTCCGTTACTCCAATACAGTGAGGTGAAAAAATACAGTTTTATCGTTTGCTTGAAAAAGTGACTGAAAATAGATTATTTCAAATGGAACACCCTGTATATTATTGAAAATTCGGAAAGCTGCTGAAATTTGCTTTCTTTCTATGTATGTCTTGTATATACCTACTTAGTCAAGTTTCGGACTTATGAGCATTCATTTGTGAAAATATCCCTTAAGAATGGTATTCCCATTTGGAATTTTGTAAGCAGGCTATGATTACCATTTGACAATAACGTTGTGACATTCTCCTAATAATATCGACATTTTCGTCACTTCAGAAGTTTCAAATACCTCCAAAACGATGGAACAAAACTATTCAAACGAAGTTCTCATGAATTAAGTTTATTATTTTTGAACAGTGTTACAAAATTATCAGCAGAACATCTAGGAAGTTCAACCTCGCCTCGCCGCTAATGAACCTCAAGAAATTTATACGAATTCAGAATAATATTATATAGAGGGTGTTCCATTTGAAAAATAAAAGTTGCTACTACTTTCTAATGGATGTGGCAACACTGCGTTGTCGAAAATATTTTAAATGGGAAATGTCCGAAAATGTTCTCCGTTGAATTTTCGTAGTGATCCGGTGTCTGGTTCACCAGACACGTCTAATGTGCCATCCACCGTGAATTAGCCTGATACGTGTTGGTTGGTTTGGTGTATCACCTGATTATGATTATAAAAAGCAGCTGTTTTTTGATTCTGAGCTCATTAATACTTGAAAATAACGGATTATTTTTAAGAGATATAGGATTTGATTTTCAAAACACAAAAAATTTGAACAAATTGATGAAATCTTTATTGAACGATCAATATAATTTAATGTTTGAAGATAATTTCATGCAAATGTTATTCGCGGTTCCGCTTTATATGGTCCATGAGCAAGGTACGATTTTGGCACACTCTCTCTAACATATCGACCGGTATTTCACGTATAAATGCTTCAATATTGGCTTCCCGAGCGTTAGTCGTTGCTGGTTTAGCCCTGTAGACATGAGCCTTAACATGACCCCACAAGAAATAATCCAAAGGCGTTAAATCACACGATCTAGGAGGCCAATTGACGGGCACCAAACGTGAGATGAACTGTTCGCCGAAGGCAGCTCTTAATTGGGCCATTGTTTCGCGTGCCCTGTGGCATCTTCTTGTTGAAACCACATGTCAGGCATGACAATTCTTCCATTTTGGGCAACAAAAAGTCGTCAATCATCACACGGTAGCGCTCGCCATTCACAGTAACATTATGGCCATTATCGTCTTTGAAGAAGTACGGCCCGAAGATGCCACCGACCCATAATCCACACCAAACAGTGACTTTTTCGGGATGCATCGGCAGCTAATGTAATGCTTGTGGCTGGTCTTCACTCCAGATACAGCAATTTTGCTTGTTAATGTATCCATTCAACCAGAAATGTGCCTCGTCGCTGAACACAATTTTCCGATAAAAATGTGAATCTTCCTCCATCTTTGCCAGCGCCCATTCACCAAATGTTAGACGTTGTGAGAAGTCATGTGGCTTAAATTCTTGCACCAGCTGTATCTTATAAGGTTTTATATCCAAATCCTTTCGCAAAATTTTCCAAGTAGTGGAATCCACATTTCACGGTCATCACGAACACTGACGGATACAGCCGCAATTCTTTCTTCGGTCCTCACTCTACGAATGCGTGTTAGTGGTATAATGTCCAATAATGTAAACTGGGTTCGAAACTCAGTCACAAGCTTCCAAATAGCTCCCTCAGTAGGCCGACGAAACTGCCCATAAATTGGAAGAAGTGCACGGTGCACTTTCTTCACCGAGCATGAATTTTTATAATAAAATTCAATAATTTACAAGCTTTGTTCATTCGTAAGTCGATTCATGGTTAAATTATAGAACAAACTGAACAAGTTTGACAATGACACAAGACACGATTCACGCGTGATCTGTCAAAAACAGTGTTGCCAAAAAGATACCAGCAAAAAAATCACTCATTAATTTTTGATGAATGTGGCTAATTTTTATGAGCTCAATGAGCTCAAATGAGCTCAAATTCATTTGTTAGGTTAGGTTAGAAACCTAACCTAATTGCCCTGTATATGTATTCGGATTGGATAGGATATTGTTTTCTTCTTTCCACTCACCCGTTTCAAAAATAATATTATCAAAATCAACAATATAGGTGAATTTCAACCTTGTGTGTGCTCGTAAACAATTACATTCAAATCATTGCTACATCCAGTTATCACACCACGAAGCTGCCTGCGCATTGCATTAGGGTCACATTACAAATGTGTTAAAAAGGCAAGAAAAAGAAAAGGTTTTTATATCAAACTGTGAGCCTTCAATATTGCAATATCAAAACCATGAAAAGCAACCCCCAGTATCTTATTTCATTATCACTGAAAAGTAGAGTCAACTGATAGTAATAACATACAAACTCTTATATCTCAACCCTTTCAACTATCGAAACAGCTCACAACCCATCCCAAAACAACCTATCACAAACTGCTTCAACTGTAGCAATTTTTTTCCAGATTTCCAATGCGTTTAGAAATCAAAAACTTTAATCACATTTGCAAATATCCAGCAGATTGTGTATTTTTTGTCGTAACAATATTGAGTAAATATCTGAAATAGAAACTTATTTTATCTTGACCTGCACATATAATTCTTGAAAATACAATCACGTTATCCAGGAATCAGCAAAACTCTCTTATCGATCTCATTCTCCACCATATCCAATTCATTAACCGAATACCCATGCTTGCAAAGCTTGTTATTTTCTTTGGCACAAACTGAATAATTAATTGGTACTTATAGAAATGAAACTGCTTACCAATAATCACAATCGTAAGCTTTAACGATTCCATTTTTACGATTATAAAAGGTGGAGGTCTATTCTTAGCATTAGTTTAATGTCGGGGTGCTAGTAAAATTAACGATAAATTCCAAACGACCTTTTATGCAACTGAAATGAGTTCGCGTTAAAATCGACGGGACTCAAAATATAATAAATTTATAATGCAGTACCTATAGCCAACGTTTTTTAATTTGAGTTTCTCAGATTACCGAAAGTTTTATCTTGCCCATTAAAAAGTTTCAACTGCTCAAACCATAGAATAGTGAAATAATATGTCCAAAATCGTTGAAGATTTCTTCTTGTTGTAAATGATATTATTTTACATTTGGATACGTTCAGTTGTAGACGATTATTATTACACCCAAGTTTGATTACATCTAATTCATGTTGAACACGTTGTTGTACACGTCGATTTTATAATATAGTTTCAGGTCGTCTGCAAATAGTAGGGATATACAAGCATATGAATGAAAAACTAAAATGAAAAATGTAACCCGACTAACCCTCACGGTGTAAGTGCGATTAGAATGAAATTTGTTGATAATGATGAACGTGTTAGGAATCACACATTAAAAGGTAAGACCTCGTTAATCCTCAGCTCGCACAAATTTCGACTTCTGAGGGATGTCGTTCGTAGGGGTACGACAGCTGGTTAACAGAAAAAACAGATTTTAACAGAATGAACTTGTTACTTCATTCAAGAATTGCTCGAATTCAGGAGCATCATCAAGATTTTATACGTAAACCTCAATGCATGCAATAAACCGAAACAAAATACAGCAAAAATTTCTACCTGGGGCTCTGATAACACATATGGAAAATGCGCCTGTCTAAGGAACAGGAGAGCAGGGTTCAAATCCTTGTCGGGTCACATTATTTTTCAATTCTCGTAGTTTGTCATTCTCATGTCTGCTTATAGCAAATTCAATCTTTAATATTAGTAAAATATTAATTAAAAACATACAATGCTTCACCTTGTCTCTTTCAACGATAAGTATTTCTGAAGCTTAAGATAATTCATCATATATATTATTGAAAATAATAGTTGAAGAATGGGAAGGAAAGAAGCCATTCCTCTCTCAGTAACCTGTCTTTGTCAGTGCCACGTTTGCAAAGCATAATGAGAAAAACCTAAAAAACCATTTACTCACCTGGAACAACTCTCCATTGGAGATATACCCATCGTTATCCATGTCGTAGATTCGGAAAGCGAATCTCAGCTTAGAGAGCTTATCCCCTTTGACGCTGAACTGGGACACGCCCTGTATAAACTCTGGAAAAAAAATTGAAGTTTTCAAAGAAAACGAAACGCAAAGTACAACTCACGCGGATATTGTACAGGCACAACAACAAACACGTTGCGAGATTTTACACAATGAACGGTTATTTTGGGAACGGCGATGAAGCAACACAGGTGAGTAAGGATGCCATTAAATCGCGAGATCGCGGAAGGGGAGAAGAGAAGAGGGAAATCCAGTTTGAAAGGTATAACTAGTTGGAGAAAAATTTGGTTTTCTTACAATTGACGACTATTTACAAAATAACAAATTACAAAATAATACCTCTCTCTGTCTCTATTTATCTCTCGCTCTCTCTCTCACTCTATATCTCCAATTGTCTAAGTATATCTCTTCCTTATCATTCTTTCCCTCTCTCCCTTTTATCTCGATCTCTCTTTTATCTTATATCTCTATATCTCTCTATCGCTCCCTATTCATCTTATCGCTCTTCATTCCTCTTATCTCACTATTATCTCTCTCTTATATATTTATTATCTCTATCTCTATCCCTCAATCTCTCTCTTATCTCTCTATCTCTCCCTTATCTCTCTACATCTATATCTCTCTCTTATCTCTACACATCTCTATATCTCCCTTACCTCTATATCTCTATCATCTCTAAATCTCTCTTATCTCTCTATAAATCTCTATATCTCTGATAGAGACAGAGCTTTCTTTTCTGTCTCTCTCACTCTCTATCTTTCTCTATATATCTCTCTCAAATTTTTTCACTCCTATCTCTCTTCAATTTTCTTTCTCTCTTATCTTTCTCTTTATCTCGCTTATATCTCTATTTCACTCTAAATTTCTCTCTCCAATTCTCTTTCTCCAATTATCTCTCACTCTATCTACACAACTCTCTTCTAATTCTTTCTCACTCTATCTCTCTATACTTATCTCTCTCTCATTCTTTCTCTCTCACTCTATCTCTTATTCTCTTTCACTATCTATCTTTTTTTATCTCTCTCATTTTTCTCTCTCACTGCTCGTCTCTCTTCCTCTCTCTCTCTTGCTGGTAAAATCTCGGCAGTTCCCAGTTTCAATTTCGTCAGACCCATACAGAGCTACCTGTGAAATCCTTTTTGGCCGATAAAGGATTCAACTAATCTTCTTGGGCCCTTGATCTGCTCTTGGTTGAAAAATGACAAATGTTGAAGAAATAAACAATTGACATACTGTGCGGTTCATCAAGTGTACAATTCGGAATAAATACCGCCAAAACATAGTATATGTTCGAAAAACAGTATAATATGTAAGTCAAACAACATACGTCTGGTAAAAAATATTGAATATCATTCATTAATCATTCAAGAATAAAGTACCTTTATTTGGAAAAATATATAAGTAACAAAATGTTTTTCAATGAAGTCTTTTTAGAACTGGGGATTATTCTGCAAAACCGTTGCCCCCTTTTCAAAAACCTTCATTCAAAAAATTCTAAAATTTCACAAATGTTTGTTCCGAATGACAACTACTTCACTCGAAATAATGTGCATATGAAAAAAAATCTTCTACATATTCGTTGAATGTCATTGCATCAAACATGAAATGGGGAATGTTCCTCCTGACGAAAATCAAGTAGTTTTCATAAAAGAGCTCTAAAACAATGCGTTTTAAACTTATCATTTCAACCTTTTTTAAAAAATTATTTAAATACTTAAAAAAGAGGAATGAAATAATGCATTCAACATTTAAAGGGATTCGTTTCTATTTCACCATTTGGCAATATCGGTTATATCTAATAAAGGACAATGAATCTGTTACCTGTGTGAGGCGTGCTGTTCTGTTTACTTATGTTCCGAGTTCCGAGACATTCTGTGACATATGACATTTTGTGCACCTAACCCATCTTCCTCTATATCAATAAATAACAAAACAACTGTTGTTTATGTGGCTTGTGGAGGTGGTATTTTTTTTAAACTAGAATATCTAGGTACGTATTAATTATTTCTTAGGCGCTGTTGCCAATATGTGAATTAGAAGCAAATCCCTTTCAAAATTGAAACCCAACATTTGAAACATCAATTTGAATACTTTTCGAAGTAACTTTGAAAAACTCATGAATTAAACTCAACTTTATTTTGTTCATACTTGCATTTGCTGTAATAACCTAAATTGAGGAACATTCCCCATTGTTTCTTTTCTTTTATTCTTTGAAGTGCTATATATACCAGGTTTTTTAACACGTTTTCTAAATAAGATTGTATTTTCTTGGACAATAAAGTATATGTAAATGTACCAAATTGAGGAACATTCCCCATTGGGTGAATTTCATTAGTTCAGACTTCCATTGTCTGACATTATTTAAAGAACTAAGAACTAAGTAAGAACTAAAAAAGAAGAATTATAAATTAAAGAAGAATAAAAATGAATAGCTAAAAAAACAATTATATTAAGAAAAGAAACTTGAAATGAAATAATAGTGAAATAAAATACAAGTAAAAATGGAACAAACTGAACAAACGTTAAAATTAAATTAAAAGTTATTTCACTTTAGGTTTTTTTTGCTTAATATAATTGTTTTTTTCAGCTATTCATTTTTAATTCTTTTTCTTTAATTTTCAATTCTTCTTTTTTAGTTCTTTCAGGGATTTCAAATAATTTTATATAATATCAGGCAATGGAAGTCCGAACTAATGAAATTCATCAATCACCGTGAAACAAACATGAAATGGGGCCGTTCTTAAAATATGTTTTTAAAACAAAAACTCAAGTGAATTCTCCCGCTTCGATTTGAGAAAATTTATGTTTGAAGTAATGCGACTGTGTATTTTGAATATTTAGGGAATCCGAATATAATAAAATTACTCCTTGAAATAAAAATTGATGTATTTTTCGAAATGTTCAGTCAAACGTTCGTTTCTGACTTACAGGACGGATCAAATTTTCGTTGGAACATACTGTAGGACTCGTCATATCTTGTCAAAGATTTAGGATAACCCCAGGCAAGTTCAGTACTTTCAAAAATGTTGGTGATATACGCGATACGATAAAAGAATCAGAAATATTTAATCACTCGCTGATTCTGAAGATGTGACACTTTTATTGATCTCGAAAATAATCGTGACCTCGGAAAAAAATCCGAAAATAATTCACACACTAGTGTTATTACAAGTGAAAATACACCTTCATAAACCTTCTGGACGTGAAAATTGAATTGCTTCAGATGCCATCGAACCATTTAAGGGTGCGTCATTTTCATTTTAATATACTGGTCGATATCTCGAGTAAACCGCAAACCATACTTGCATCGCGTGATATTTCACAGATCTAGATACTGAGTGTTGAATTTATTCATGAAAATTGCACGCGATTATTTCTTGTTATAAGTAATAATTACCCGCGCATTTAAATACACTTCATCTATCAGTCGCTCCCTACGTAACTTCATTATGAATTATTCTGGGTGGGTGTATCTGCCTTTCAAAGATTTCGTAATTCCCTGAACAATATTTTAAAGCAAAATTTTAATTTCCTTGCACCGTTTTGAGACGAACAGCTGCAAAGATTGAGACAGTATGTACGGGGTCTGCTGAAAAAATAAGGTAAATGTTCAAATTTCGCGGGCTACCTACATTCACAGTTTTAGCTGTTTAGCATGTTTAGTTTGTTGGTGAGAGGCATAAAAGTTGGAAGTGTTTTGCGTGTTATGCGATTTACTGATATCGAAAATATATATAGTTTAAAAAACTAAAAAATACGCTTTTAAAGAACATCGAACTAAAAATTTAAAAATATTTTTTTAAATAAGCTTAAAACAATAACGAACGAAAAATATTAGTATTATTGTGAAAAAAGCGACGGGCGCTAGATATACAAAAAATATGGCACAAAGCGCCCACGCTTTTTTCACAATAATACTAGTATTTTTCGTTCGTTATTGTTTTAAGCTTATTTTAAAAAATATTTTTAACTTTTTAGTTCGATGTTCTTCAAAAGCGTGTTTTTAAACAATATTTATTTTTCATTTTTTAGTTTCGTATGCTATAAAAGCGTGTTTTTTAGCCTTTTCATACTGTATCTATTTTGAATATTTGAATAGAACTGGCCTGAACAAAGAATACGTGGAGAAGACTTTAGACTTTCTAAATGCTGGCATGTACGATAGTCTCAGAAACGACCCCACCCATTTATATCAGAAAAAAGTCAAGGAAACTATCAAAAATATTCATTGTGTCATGGATGAAAAGGAAAAATTCCGATCGTTAGTCATGAATCCACAACCACCGAAATTGTGTTCATTGGTTAAATTAAACAAAGATAACTATCCGATAAGACCGGTAGTTTCTTTCGTCACAGCTCCTTCAGTTAAAATATCCGAAAAACTCATTGCAATTATTCAAAGCCACACCAATTTCAAATCAAAATTCAGTTTGAAGAATTCATACCATTTGATCAATGAAATTCAAGATATTACACTCCCGGATAATACCAAATTGATTTCATTCGATGTAAAGAATCTGTTTCCCAGTATCCCTCCGAATGAAACGATTACTTTGGTGGAGAATCTATTGGACAAAAACTTTATCAATCCAGTAGTGAAAAATGAAATATTAAACTTGCTTACGGTGTCACAGAATTACTTCCAATTCAATGAAAAGTTTTACTCATCTTGCAAAGGTCTCATAATGGGAAACCCACTTAGTTCTATTCTGGCAGAGATTTTCATGGACGATTTGGAGAGAAGAATACACAGTAACCCATTGGTAAGAAGTTTTCTGTGTTGGTATAGATATGTGGATGATATTCTGGTATGTTTCACGGGAACGAACAGACAGTTGACAAACTTTTTGAAGTTCATAAATTCTCTTCACCCATCTATCACATTCACAGTGGAGATGGAACAGGACGAATCTATACATTTTCTGGATTTGACAATAGCAAAAGTTAACAACAAACATGATTTTTCAATTTATCGTAAACCGGCACATACATATATTATCATTCATAATTCGTCCACTCACCCATATCAGCATAAGGAAGCAGCTTTCAACAGTATGATCCACAGACTGATAAATGTACCCTTGTCAGAAGCGAATTTCAATTAAGAACTGAATATAAATAAAGCAAATAGCCGTCAACAATGATTATGATAGTGGTCTGATACATTCTTTATTATCAAAGAAGTTATACAGTCAAGCTTTGAAAGAAGTTTACCCAATTCGAAGAGAAGAGGATAAAATATATAGAACCTTAACCTACTTAGGCCAACCCACTACAAATATTTCAGATTTTCTGCACAGCAAAGGTGTAAATACTGCTTTCAAAACCAACAACAACTTGGGCATGCACATTAAAAATAACAGAGATGAAAGTTCAGTTTCAGAAAAATCAGGAGTGTATAAATTATCGTGTGGGTCATGTCCGATGTTTTATATAGGTCAAACTGGAAGAACGTTCAAAACCCGCATAAAGGAACACAAATATAGTTTTCAGAACGGAAAAATTAATTCCACATATGCCAGTCACCTAATCTCAGAGGGACATGAGTTCAACCATGAATACAAGTATTTAGTATTATACTTTCTACACTCCGATTAACCTCCAGTTCCCCCGCAGCCCCCTCCGACCGTAAGGAATGAACTTTGAAATGACAGACCAGACAGGGGAAGGTTACACGGTAATATGTTCCATGGGGTGAATAATAAAGCATTTTTTTTTTCAAAAGATTAGGTTATTCGGGTCGATTTATATCGGATAGACAAACTGACGACGCATTAATAATATTTGATTGTTTGCTTGTACTTTTTACATTTCTAAATACACTCAAATTTAAGGAAGAAGTTTCGTTTCTGATATGGTGGTGGACGGACGTGCCGATAACGACAGTCCACAAAGAAGGTACGAGGGCGCCATTGTTGGAGATGGAACTCAGTTTGTATTGTGACTGTCCGCCGTTATAGAACGTGCCATCATTAAAATAAATATTTTGTGAAAAGTATTTCAAGTGTTTAAAGAGAGATAGCACTCTCATTCACGCCGGTTAGAGGCCGGGTGGACCGGATGTCCACATGAGAATAGGATTGCACCAATTATATGAAAGATATGTGAAGAAAAACCAAAGATCTTCCGAACAGGAGGAAATTTAATAAAAAATTCTGAGTGGTTTTATAATAAAAAAGTTCGACAAAAAGGGGTGGCAGCATTGCTTCGAGCAAGACCGATGCCCCCCCCTCCCCCGACGAAGCTCCTGTCAATTTTGATAGGAGGAGCCTGGACAACTGCGCCCGAGTGGGAAGCAACGTCCAATAATATGAGAGTATTCCTCATCTGGATCAGATTATTTCATTCCATACTGTCATGTTTTATAGTGCTGTTATTATGGTTGTTATGGAAAGTGTTTTAGTTTTCGAGTTGATGACTATATAGTGAATGGAATCTACGTTGTGCATTTGGCCTTTATATGAATAGATACTTGAGAGAAATAATGATATACAATTACAGTATTCGTATGGTGTCAAATTATGAAAGTAATAATAAAGTAATTTCTGTGTATGACTCTCTAGCTTCCTGAAAGAACATTCCCTGCAAGTGGCCGTCAATGGATTTCTTTCAAATACCATCAACGCTGGTATTCCCCAGGGGTCCATATTGTCTCCAACCCTCTTTTTATTGTATATTAACGACTTATTGAAAAAAAAAAGAATTCAATATATTGCTTTGCTGACGGAGACACATCTTCACCGGCAGCAGGAGGTTGCTGTAACCATGTAACTAGGTTTAATTCATCTTCTCCAAAAAGATGAATGTCTCCGAACCGGATATAATAATGTCAGGTCAGACAATTCCGCTTTCTGCTTCGATAAGTTTGTTGGGGGTTGAAATGGACACCAATATGTCTTGGCACAATCATGTCGCTGGAATTGTAAAGGCTGCTTCTCAAAAGCTTGGAAGATTGTTCCGAACCAGAAAACTATACACACCTTTATCACCTTTGCACATCACGTGCAACCTTGATAGCCTGGAACATCAAAGAAAGGTTGGAGATTTGTCTCTCTTCTGTAGATACTTTCTCAGGAGGTGTTCAAATGACTTGGCACATTTGATTCCACCAAGAGCGGTACGCGACGGACTGTGGCTGCTCATCGTTATGAGGTTCAACTCAGTACACCTCGAACTCCACTCTTTCATCCGGAGAATTGCGTTTATGTGGAATAAACTTCCTGAGAACGTTTTTCCAAATGGATCTGATCTTCAGCAATTCAAATCCAATGTGAATCGCTACTTATAAAACCGAAGACAAATTCCTGCATTGTAGTTTCTGTGTTGGAAACAACGGGAACAATAACTGGATCACCAACTCGAGCACTACGACCGTTACCTCATCTTTGATGTTTACCGCAGTAGTAGACGAAACGTGAAGCATAAAAACTTGTAGACCATGGCCAAAATACCCGGAAAATAGCTTTGACACACTTATCTCCGGCTGTGAAAGTTTATATTCTTTGATCAATTCCAAAAATGAATATTTGGTGGGTCCTGACTTTGTGGAACTTACTTTCTTTCCCAAAAAAAAAAAAATATCTTTAACCAATTCTCAGTGTCTCATTGAATTTGTTCAAATGGAGTTTGAGCCGCACTACAGAAATTATGTGAAGGAAAACAGAAAATTTGCCACACATCCTCATCCATAACCTCAATCTCAGAAAAATAAAAGAACAACTGTAAGTTATAGAAACCAAAGAAAAAAGTATCTTAAGAGCTTATGAAGAGCTTATTGCAATGAGCTCATGAAGTCATACTTAAAAAAAAATCATTTGTAATTTTCTAATGAAAATAACTTCTTATAAACAACCTATATATTATATCCCAATATTTTAGCCATCAGTGCCATCTTTCCAAACAACCACTCCATCAGTAGGATTTAGAACAACTGCATAACTCCAGGTTTTCACCTTATATAATCTTGGAAGTATTTACAACTTACAGTTCGGCTGGATGGAAGTTCAAATAAAACACGCCTACGCAGAATCATTCGCCAAAAAGAAAATCAAAAACAGGTGTATTGTGAACATATTGTTTATGTTGTTTTGATTTGGCTTGTATCCATGTAGTTGCAATCTAAATGGACAACTTACCTTCTCTCATTAAATTTATTTAATTTGTAGATTAATTACCATAACTACAAGCTGAGGAGAGAAGTTACCAAAATCTGTGAAACTGAATAGTAGATCCTAGAAACAGCAATTGAATTCTTTAAAAGAATAATTTAAATCACAAATTAGCCACCTTTGTATTATCACGTAACAGCTAGTTGTATATACCGAGTAATTCATTACTGTATTCTCCTTCATTATGTATCACCGTTGATATCAACATCTTTTGAATGTTAAAATTTGAATGTTCAAATGAATCTATACTGAATTTTTTATTTTTATGAAAATTATACCTACCGCATGACAAATTAAGAAATTCACGAACCATTTTTCATGTATTAGTATACATTTTGTAACAGTATGAGGGAATCGCAAATCAAATTTTAAGAATAGAAATAATTTCATCTAATGAAATCAAGTATAAGAACACATATAAAACATGATTGATGCAATTATCCTGAATTATAAAACTACAGGGCATGAAAATAAGTTGTATCTTCATGGACAGTTTTATGCGCAAGAGATGTACATATCTGCAATATTTCTCTAATATCAGAGGATAACACACTATTGATTTTACCATACAGGTTCTCAGTTCAAAAAATGAGTTTTTAGAAGGATATTTTACTGCAAACAAATCAGCTCCATCAAGAAAAACATTCATTTTGGAGATACTCATGTGAATGTGAACCAATGTGACAACAAAAAATAAGCTCTTCCGAAAATAACATACAAAAAATACAAGATAATGAAAAACAAGATAGTTTCAAGTAATCTGTATAATAATCTCATTAAATTAATTCTGGAACTTACTGTTCTGCTACTTCTAATGAAAAATACTCAGGGAAATAAAAACATCTATCAAACTTCTATAGGATTAGTAAAAGACATTTCCTTTAATATGAAAAAAGTATTTTTTTTTTCCTAAAATACTGACAATTTTTCTCAACCCATCTGGCGGAATAAATTGAAAATATCGATAAATTTGATAGATCTATTATCATACATAGTACACTAACCTTTGAAATCAACTTCCCCATTTCCATCTGCATCAAAGATATCAATAACACGTTGGACTAGAGGATTCTGCTGCAACTCTGGCAAAGACATGAATTCATCGATGCTAAGGGCACCAGAATTGTCCAAATCTAGCTTTCTGAACCTTTTGCCAAGGCGCCGTATCTCATCAGCATCAACTAAAAAAAAATGACATTGGAGAATGTATTGTAAATGAAACTTGTACAAACTTACAATTCGAGCATAGCTCCATGGGCAGAGAGCTCTCGTTACCCTGAAAAACATCGATAACGTTTAAAAATGCCAATAAAAGTGCAGAAAATGATATCTTAAAATGGGCTTGCCCCTGAAAACTAGGCTAAAGCTAAAACATCTCGACATCGTGCTGCATACAAAAATTAGTGCAAATTTTCGGGAAACTGTAGGTATATTAGGAAATCATATGATCTATATGCAATATTTACCATGGTCTGCTCTTTGATTTCAAGCTAATGATTGATACGACTCTTTTTCTAATGATTGCTAAATCAACGACAAATAATTCACTGAATAATTCAGTGACCAGCCACCGAGGGCGCCATGCACAAGATTTAAAATGTAATTTGAAGAAATCAAAACAATTTTATTTTTCTGAGGATTAGAATCGAAAATGTCATTGTAAACGAACATATTCAATACATTTGTATTGAGAAGGTAACAGCTCACAAGGCTTTTAGATTAAGATCCAGAAAAGAAACGAAAATAAATTTTCGTAAATGACGAATCTGCGCAGGTCCACTTAGGCGCAGTTCAATGATCATTGACATTAGACCCCAGTTTTCAATATCAAATATTAAACCTTATAGGAATCATGTTATTCGTAAAAATCCAAAAATACCGCGAACGTATATTCTATAACAATAGGAATCGGCAGAGTTATGGAAATATCAATTTAATCACGTTGCTAATTTTATATTGACTTTTATTCATGAACCAAATTTACCGCCTTTTTGGAGACTGAAAACAGAGGACGTTCAGAAACAGAAATTGCCAAAGGTGTTTATTTTTTCAATTCTGTGAAATCCTAACAGATTCGTAATATTCAAATAAGAAACCTTTGACCAGAGTATTCCATTATAGTTTCATAATTTACTGATTAATCCCTCAGAGTAACAAAATACATATTACTTTGAGATTGATCCTATGGTTTATGTTGATTGAAGCATTCCATCAGGGTTTTCTGTTGAATTTAATAACTCGCCTATAGATGTATGAAAAAATTTATTTCAACTTCTTCAAATACTTAGATCGTCTTTAGAAACTGGAGAATGTTTCTTCAGATATTGGATGAAGATTGAGCTGAATTTTTAGGAATTGAAATATATAAATATATGTATGTGATCTCAATAACTATTTCGTCTTTTTCTTGCTCTCAATTTCACGATGACAATTAAAAATGTGTGTTTGCACCCAGAAGGAAATTTTCGGATAATCACATGTCGGATCTGTGAGAATCCAGCCTCAAGTGGACATGATGAATTATTTCTACTGTTATTCGATAAGAGTCACCTATAAAAACGAACCATAAACAATACCCAAAATAGTTTTGGATTTGAGATTTTTTCGTACTGAGAGAAACTGATAAACAGATAAATACTGAAATATAGCTACTCAAAATAATGTCTGTCATTAGTTCCACATATGATTTGGCCTTTTAGCAAAATTCGATTTATTACTTTATTTTCAATCGAATTACATTTTTTTATGGTTCTAGGGAATCAACATTATCGTCTTCATCATTCACAAATTAATGACATTTCTCCCAAATAGTATTATCTGATTATATCATTGCAGTGGTGACGGTATAATAGCTGGTTGGACAAAGGAATACTATTCATAGGTCCTAACCAAAATCATTCTCATGGATCTTGTGAGGTTGTACATGACTTGAGATAGGGACAAAATAGTACTGTGGCTATAAAATCCAGATGAAACTGTTAGTTTCCGATTGTCAAACCTAAAACGGATCAAATGGTTTTTGACGTCATCAAACGCAAGTTCATGAGTTTTCAGGTACCTACTGGTATTTACCGGCCAGTCGTTTGAAATCGGCTGAAGTTTACAAACAGATAACGCGAACCCACTCCCATTACAGAACTGAAGAACCCGGTGTATCAGTAATTTTCCTATACATACTACCTACTACTTATTTTAGTAATTTTGATTTGACACTTGCACTTGCACTTATTGGGAGGTACGAGCTAGATAACAGTGGGCGTATTATAGATTAGTTTTTAAGTTAAATCTACACTTTTCAATTAAAATTGAACACTACTACGCCCAAGACAGTAGACTTTCAGTGAGTAATCAAAACTTACTGGAATACAAGTTACTCTCGGAAATCCATTGTTTGTATAGTGCCTGTGTGCAATATAGTGTTAACAATTTTTATGTGATAAACAAGTACCAAAAACTTCGAAATGGCCTGGAGATTCAAAGCTAGCAAATACAAAAATGCGGCTCCCATCGTGCCAAAACCTGAGAATTATGTTCGAGATATCTGTGTTGGATCCTACCAAACTTATGGAAACAACATCACAGCTTCTGCAAAATTTATGGCATTCAACTGGGACCATGCAGGTTCCAGTTTAGCTGTTTTACCTCTGGATGATTCGGGTAGAAAGAGTAAGCTCATGCCTTTATTACATGCCCATTCAGATACTGTAACTGATATGGACTTCTCACCATTCCACGATGGACTCTTAGCTACTGGCTCCCAGGACTGTTTGGTTAAAATCTGGCATATTCCAAAAGAGGGTCTTCAGGTAAGGATCATGAATCTACTGATTTGAGATTGCAGTTCAGTTTATTTTTTGTTCCTACCAAGGATTTAAAAGATCTATGAATGCTTAATGACCATAGTTCGTGCCAAGAGAGTACTGTCCATTTTTTTATAGAAAAGAGGCTCTTGTGATACCTTGCTTGTTGGTCATGCAATTTCCTCTTCAACACTGTTTTATTTTGCCAAATTGGATCAGGGGTTCCTGAGTAATTAGCTAATGTTCACAAATTTTTTCTTCTGTGATAGGGGGCCATTCAAAGACATTTGCCTATTCACCTGTGTGAATAATTGTCATCCAGCCATTCATTTGGTTGTGCCCGAAATATTTCATCATAGGCCTGATAAAATTTTGCAATATATTCAGATACAGAGGTCAGGTTCAATTTTCTTCCAAAAATATGGTTCCTACAATATGCTTAGACGTATTTAAAAATTCTCTCAGATATTATTCAATTTATTCAATGATTAAACAATATGATACTATAACTTACGAAAACCTCAGATTAAGAATTCTTGCATTGTTTTGTAGAATTTTATTTCCTTTGGTTATTTCAAATCTTTTTAAATAGAATTCAATTTTGAGGTAATATGAAGTCATGAAATAGTATAAACACCTTTCAGATCTATGCATCTGTGGAGTTCACGGTAATCCTGTTTTATTCTTTTTATTCATAAAATTTAAATAATGTAGTTATGAATGATTGGTACCTCTTTCATTCAATATAAATCTGACATAACATCATTAAAAACCAACTTCAACTGTTTACAGACATATGTAGTATGATATCAACTATCAACTAAACAATGATTCAAGATATGAATTCTTTTTTCAGTAAAAGGACAAATTTATTTTCTTTCTGTACAATGATTTGATATTATGGCATTTCAATTGAATTCGGAATTGGTTCAATATCTTTCACACATGCAAAGAATGTTTTTAAGTTGTTTTGATTTAGAATTTGGCATTGCCAATATTAGTTTCAAGGTGATTATATTAATTATTAATTTAAGATGAGTTTCCTATGAGCTAATGATGGAACTGTATGATTTCATAGCAAAAAATGCTCACTGGGGTTTTATTTGAAAAATTATAAAATAAAATTTTGAATGGTAATTGAACTATTAACTATTTTTCATTTTAAAAACCTAGATGTTGATCTTCCATAAGTATGACTCATGATAACTTTCCATTACTGTAGTTGAAGTTGTAAAATTGCTGAAGTGTAATCAACTTGCATAAATTCATATAAAATAGTTCTTATTTCCAAGTATAATCAGTAAACATAATGTAATATCTTCAGTTCGTTGAACACCTACAGGTAGATATATTCAATAGTTTTTAATGGGCGTAAATTCATCCACATCAACAAAGTACACTGAGAGAAAAACATAAATATTTTTCTCTTTTACACCTTTATAGAAATACTATCTTTCAATGTATTCTTATTGACTGGTTTAGTGAAATCTCCTAGTTTTCCAGGTCGTTTCAAGAGGTGAATGCATTCAAATTGAAAGGGGTATATTTTTAGGAGAGATTAATTTTTGGGAAAGAGAGATTTTGGCTTTCTAATTCTCCGTCTTCATACACAAACTGGAAGAAAAAGCCCACTCGAAACAGCTACTTTCATGTATACTTTGAATTACAAGAAAGAAATATACTTTGTTCTTCCATGTGTTATGATAAAAAAATATTTAAGTAAAATAACGCCTTTTTTTTCTTAACCCCACGTTACACTAGGCGTTTTGGTAGATTGGGGAGGGAAGCAAGATCAAAACCTGCCCCCTTAATAATAATCCTAAGTCCGGCCCTGTACAAAGGCGTTGAAAAAATAATGATTTAATATTTCTTTGTAGATAAATCCTCAACTGTATTTCCAATAAATTCTTCAATGACAACCTTCTTCATTCAAAAATCTGAATTAAATCTTGGACTATTTTAAATGGAAAGATTATATTAACTGAAAGAGATTCTAATTAATAGTCAAATAAGTTTTGTAGGTTTGATTAAAAAATCTATATCATTGACATATTTGGATCATAGTGTTATAAAAATTGGTTAGTAACATTACAATAAAATTTGTATGATTTTTACAAAATAACATTCATCTTATGTACCTATCTCTATTAATCGTTAAACAAATGAGATAAGATATATTTTCATTTTTTTGTTATTGATTTTGTGTCCATTTAAGGAAATTTGTAACGCAGTAATATTTCCTAAAAAGTATTGAGTATTAATCAGATAATTGTGGATTCTATGTAACTTGTTTACATTTCGATAAGATTTTTTCAATGAACGTTGTACATGACACATATTTTCCATGATATCTTTTGTCTCATCTAAAGCATCATTTAAAAATGCTCAGTGTTTCCTGATAATTATTTCACCAGGAAATTTCGACATAATTTTTTCAGATGTAACACCCCTTCCATACATATTGTTATGTGTCAAAATGAACAACAAAATTCACATAAATCTTCCACAAAAAAGGATTTCGAGAATAATACAAAATTACATAAAAAAATTAATAGCGTTGTGGTTGTTATAGTACTGGTATGGTTCTGGTGGGTGTGGTGTTTATTTTGGACTTTTTTAATAATTCTACTTTTCTTATGTAATCTACCAAACGGGCTTGTCCCGTTAATAAATAAATAAACATGAGTTCTTATGGCTCAAGATTGGTCTTATTGTCTTCAGATGGTGGTTTCCCCAAAATTATCAGTAAATACACAGAAGTTTGCTAGCAACTAATTCCAGTTCGACTAATATCGCCATAAATAATTGTAGAAGTGACAAGTCATTTATTATTATAGGAATCTATCAGCAATGCGGAATGTACATTTTCTCATAAACAACGACGAGTAGAAACTGTTGGCTTTCACCCAACGGCAGATTTTCTTCTGCACTCCACATCCTATACCAATCTGACTCTTTGGGATCTGATTTCCGAACAGGAAATATTTTCGAATGGAGACCACACCGAAGTTATACAATCCGTCAGCTGGAAACGTGATGGAATGCTTCTTGCAACTTCTGCTAAAGATAAGCAGGTATGAAACGGAATATAATTATTGTGAGCATTTAATGTCAAGTGGGATTCCATTATAAATTAAACTAAGAAGAATATCTTTGATTGACAACAGTTAAAGTGAATTAAACCATAAAAACTTTCTCAGTTCTTGATATTGTCTGTATCACCCTATATATAGTCTACACGGCTATATAGTCACAGCAGTATCTCACATTTTACTGTTCTGCAGCATGGACAAACATAATATTGCATTCTTCAATCAAATATATGTGTGAAAACTATAATTCAATATGCAGATTTTGCGATATTAATACTTGCTTGGTGAATCATATAAAAATAGTTGCAATGGAAATTTGAAAGTGATATATCTGTTTTTTTCTTTTTTCTTCTTTTGTGTTGTAAGAGAGACAGTTATTGTCAATCACTTTTACTGAGTATCGCCATGAATAGTTATACTATCAGTTTTTTTTTTTTCTATTCAAAGTCATATATCATATTATATTCATATATCATGTCAAGATTGAACATGATTTGTTAATTTGTTATTTTATCTACTACTTATCAGTACTGATGTATTATATTATGTCCTGTAATTGGGTGTTACCTGTTGGGAAATAAATTATATTATTATTATTTATTATTATTATTATTCGAAGTCAATCCAAACAGCTAAATACAAGACTAATGCATCGGGTCTGATAAATTTAATAGGTAATACCATATAAAACCTCCCACATAAAAATGATGATTATATTAAAAAACTTATACCACGCCGTCCATGCCATACAAAGAAACTGCCGACGTTCGGTAACTTTCAAGTTTTTATGTCATTCGAATTGACTTTGTATATACTATACATATAATATTTGTTTCTTTATATCATAAAGAATTTCAAATATATAGGTACGTATTTTGGATCCAAGGGCAGAACAACCGTGTCTCAAAACTGCAAACTCTCACCCAGGAATCAAAGATTCACGGGTGGTATGGCTAGGGGAGCAAAACAGAATTCTTACAACTGGATTTGATGCTCAAAGATTGAGGCAGATCATCATTAGGGATCTAAGGAATTTTGGGGAGCCTGAAAAGACTTTGGAGTTGGACTGTTCGACAGGCATTTTGATACCATTGTATGATCCCGATACAGGGATGTTATTTTTGGCTGGAAAAGGTAAGAATTTCCCAAAATTTGAGAAAGCGAGTGTAGAGAAAACTAGTAGAACTTATTAGTAGTACAACCTGTGAAATCATAAAAGCAACCCTCATAGAATTAATTACCTATCTGTGGCAAAATAATAATATTGAATTTTGAAAAAATTCTTTGAAGGAGACACAACAATTGGCTACATGGAAGTTACGGACAAAGAACCTTTTCTTGTCGAGGGTATTCGACACTCTGGCGAGCAAACCAAAGGTGCTTGTTTGGTGCCAAAACGAGCTTTGAATGTTATGCAAGGAGAGGTTAATCGCATACTACAGCTGACCAGTTCGTCAGTCATTCCCATTATGTATCAAGTGCCAAGAAAAACCTACAGGTAAATTTGAAAACTTTGGCTTGTATGGCATGCTCATTATTATGTTTTGCAGAGATTTCCATTCAGACATATACCCAGATACTCCTGGATATATTACTGAGTTGTCTGCCTCTCAATGGATGGAAGGGAAAAATACTACCTTACCAAAACTCAACTTGGATCCTGGAAAACGAGAAAATGGAGAAGATCCCATAGTAGTGAGTTGAATTATGAATTTTTTTCAATACATCATTTATATCATGTACGCTATCTGATCATAAAAAAAGGTAAATTTTCAGATTTTTCAAAAAATATTCATTCATTAGTTTCTCTTTTTCCCCTTCATAGTAGTCCTCCTCAAATATAATACACCTTTGCCAGCGTTTTTCAAATTTTCAAATCAGTTCTAATGTGCTTTTTTTTTAATGTTCCTGAGCTCTTTCAGCAATTCAGTATTTATTTCCTCAATTGTCGCAAAACGGCATCCTTTCATGGGTCTCTTCAGTCTTGGGAACAGGAAAAGGTCGTAGGAGGCCAAATCTCAACATTTTCATCAGTAGTTGATGTGCTGGGGTGTCCTTCTCGACCTTCTGTAGAAATCTTGTACCACTTGTAAACATTTTTTGATTCAGAGTACAATCACCGTATGCCAATGTCAGCATTTCAAGTCTTTTGGGTACTTAATTCAATTTTTTATACAAATCCACTATTTTTGAGAGCATAAAATCGCTGAACACGCAAAACATTTTTAACTTTCATGTCACTCATCAACAAACTAAACATCAGGTGAAACTGTGAACATATGTTGGAGATATTCACCTTATTTTTTGAACAGACCTCGTATTTATTCCCAAAATAAAAAAGTGTTGAAACAAATTCCAAAACTTCTAATTTATCTGTTCGTCTTCATAACCAGTATCTACTACCTCTCATGATATGCCGAAATTTTCTTTTAATATGTTTGAAATAATACATATGAATTTCCCTTTCCTTCTCATTATTTTACAAATTATGTTTAATGCAATGTTGAATAGCTACATAAAATCCTGTCAGCAATGTTCATGTGTGTGTAATTACTATATTTTATTTACTGTTGCAAATTATTCATGACTCAACTGATACAGAATTATTACAGTACTATATATCTAACTTTGTTCACTGGTGTGACATAAATCTACTGCAATTAAATATAGACAAATGTCAAAAATTTCCTTTTTTTCAAAACAAAATTCCCATTAACCGGCCATATAAAATCAATCAATTAGAACTGAAAACAACAAACCACAATCAGAGATTTAGGAATCGCTCTCGACTCAAAAATGTGATTTAAACCCCATATTGCAAATATTACTTCTAAACCACTAAAAATATTGGGTTTCATTCTTAGATCTGCAATACCTTTTCATTAATCATATATTGTTCAATTGTTAGATCAATAATCAAATACAATTATATTGGACATTCTTAATTTGTTCATAGCAGATTAAAATCAGATCTTACACTAAATCATAAAATAATCAACGTTATAGCATCAATTCTCCGGAACTTGTCGAACATATAACTTTAAATGTGAATCCAAGGAGAACAAGAAATTCGGAAATCTTCAAAGTACCCTTTTGTCGCACCAACTATGACCAGAATGAATCTGTAGGTAGAATTTTGAGACTTGCAAATACATACAATGTAGATTTGGAATTTTTCAATTCTTCTTTGGAAACATTTAAAAAGACTGAAAAGATTGTAATTCATCAACTTATTTTTACGATTTTTTTTTTATTTTATTTTATATTTTTTTTCCTTAAACCTAGCTCAGATTACTGTTAAATACATATGTGTGAACTTGTTAATTATTTTGTAAAAAATAGGCATTGCCGTAAATAAATAAATGAACTTTCTATGCCACTCTCGATAATTCTTCTTTATTAGTTGCAAACATTTTCTCATTATTCAATGTTGTAAAGTAAAGAAGTAAAGTAAATGTAAAGATGAAAATGAGCAGTACGTTATAAATCCTAGGGAAACAGCAGATGTTTTCAATAGATTTTTCACTCAGTTCAGCAATGAATATAAGGTAGAAAATGATAACATAGCATACAACAAAGCTACAATATTTCTCAGACCGCTGGATTGTCCAGAAATAGTCAATATATTAAATGATATGCAACCGAAATACTCATGAGGTGTGGATAGCATACCACCAACAATATTGAAAAAAATTTCAGAGTACATATGTAAACCCTCGGCAAACATAATCAATGAAATACTATCAACTGGTACTTATCCAGATGATCTTAAAATAGCTAAAGTAGTTCCAGTCTACAAGAAAGGTTGCAAGAACAACATTAATCACTACCGACCAATATCATTACTTCCATCACCTGGTAAGATATTTGAACGCGTAATTTATAATAGGCTCATCTCATTTATAAACTCGAATATGATTCTGAATTCCCACCAATTTGGTTTCAGACAAGGAATGTCCACCGAACTGGCGATATTTAATGCGGTAAAACAAATAACAGAGAATGCTGATAGCAAAAAAACCTCGGTCGGCTTGTACTATGACCTCTCAAAGGCCTTTGATATGGTAAACCACAAAAAACTCCTAAATAAGGTGGAAAAGTATAAGGGGTGTGGGTTATGAACTCATTAGATCATACCTATCAAATAGATCCCAAGTTGTTAGCATAATGAACGCAGAGAACCATTATATATCTAGTAGATTTATGATTAGGCAGGGTGTACCTCAGGGCTCTATCCTTGGAACAATACTTTTCCTTCTATATGTGAGCGACTTACCCAAACTTGAATCTTGGTAGTGTATACCAGTTCGCAGATGACACTTCAGTCATTATCACTGGAACAAATGCATTAGAACTCTCAACCAAAGCTTCAGCCATGTCAAATAATATAGTCAAATGGTCAGAAGCAAATATTCTTAAATTAAATATTACCAAAACAGGACTAGTAATTTTTAACAAATCAATAAACTGCGAGGAATCTCTATATGTAAAACTCCAAAATAGGTCTATTCCAATATCGGATCACACTAAATTCTTAGGTGTCACGATGGATGCAACCACCAGTTGGCAAACCCATATAAATTTATTGAATAACAGATTAAGCTCTATTTGTGGTGTGATACGATACTTAAGGGATCAAGTCTCTGTTTGTAGCCTGAGAACATATTACTATGCACATGTGCAGTTATTGATTTCATATGGTATTATATTTTGGGGTTCTTCAGTATACTCACAAAAAATATTTATTACTCAAAAAAAAATCCTGAGATGTATCCTAAATCTAGATCAAAGAAGCTCTTGTAAAGAGTTCTTCTGTAAACTTGATATTTTGACAGTGCCCTCGTTGTACTTCTTGGGTCTTGTCTGTTTCGTAAAGAAATATCCATACCTGTTTCCCAGAAATAGTGGCCAATATTCGAATAATATGCATATTAACACCAGACAATGTAACGAACTAGCTATTCCCAGCCATAACTCAACATATTATGAGTTATGTGCCCTCGTTGTACTTCTTGGGTCTTGTCTGTTTCGTAAAAAAATATCCATACCTGTTTCCCAGAAATAGTGGCCAATATTCGAATAATATGCATATTAACACCAGACAATGTAACGAACTAGCTATTCCCAGCCGTAACTCAACATATTATGAGAAAGGAGCTTACTATCAGGCAATAAAAGCATATAGTTCTCTACCGAAAGAACTTAAAAATATCACAGTCTTCAAGAAGTTTAGAAGTTCAGTTATTTCTTACTTGAGACATAAATGCTACTATTCGTTTAACTGCTGGCTAATTTGAAATTTGTTACGAAAATCATTAATAAAAATAGCTATGTAAATATTGTTTATCATGAATATTTTTGAAAAACTCTTTAATTTATATAATTTTCAACTGTAATTTGTAGATGATGATACATTAATATCTGTTAATTTTAAAATTGATAATTCCAGGGTAAATGAGAATTAACTTCTCGAAAGTTTGACTTTTGCTGTGTCCACTTGTAGATCGTATTGCAATAAAATTATTATTATTATATACACACAACATTGTTGAGTCATGTATAAAACATGTGAATAAATCATTATTATTACTTTTTCAAGATTCACCGTGGACCTCTTCAGAAATTGCGTGATGAATACAGCACTCAGAAAAGTATGAACCCGGAGCCTAAACCCAAAATAACTGCCGCTGTGACAAAAACTGAATACCAACCAGTGAGAGATATAGTCAAGGACTTGGAGAAGGATAACAAACAGTCTGAGGAAGAACGAAATAACTTGATCACGAGGAACTTGGAAAGCGAGTTAGATAAGGTAAATACTCCTGCGGTCATCCCTCCTAAACCTTTACCCAGGACTTCCAGGACAAGTTCTATCTGTGAAGCTACCATAGAAGATCCCAATGCTCCCAAGCCTGTGGCTAGACCCCGTACTAACAGTGTTGCCCCCATTGTGACCTCTGTCAATCCAAGCGTGCCTATAGCTGGAGGATACAAGGTTATTTTAAAAATTTCGGGCACGATCTTGTGTTGAGTTTAATTTTTTTTTACTTTCATTATTATTTATTTTATGTAGGATAGCCCATTTTTGTGTTACTGGTTAGATTTGTAGGGTTTTGTTGTTGCACTTAGGCTCACTTGCACGGGTGACATCCGGTACTTTTCCTTAGCTAGGTTCCACATTATCTTTTGATTAGCTTGTGGGTGTCCTATTTCAAATGAACCCCAATTAGCAATGGCAACGTTGCCAAAACTAATGAGTTTTATGTTAATGCGAGGATTTCTGAAAACTAACATAGCAATGTAGGTCACAATTTCGATACATTCATTGTTACTGTATGTCAACATGAAAATTACGAATTGATTATTTATAGCATGCCTATCAACACATCAAGAACATATAACGAGTGTTATTTGCAGATCTTGCAAACACATTATTTAATGAACAGCCATACAAAAATGATTAAAAAGAAATGCATCAATAGAACCAGAAAATTGTACACACTTCAGCAACTTTTGATGCTTTGTACCACCCACACATACCCTTGAAATATTTTTAAATTGCTAACATTATAATTTCTTTATAAAACAATTGTCAATGATGGAAAACGAACTCATAATTCTGTGTTGGTTGAGTTTTTATGCCCCACTTGATTATTTTTCGAAAGACTAGCTTTTTTCCTCCTTCAAAAATTTTCAGAGCTTTGTTTTTTTTAATGTTTCTCAGCAAATTTTTTGTGTTTTAGTTTGAGTGTCGTTTTGACTATAATTTCTCCCGTCAATATTCTTTCACCTTTTCAGCCGAGACTAGGTCCAAAACCATTTACTCCTCCCAATCTGGGTGACAACGAAAATGCCTTTACCAAGGTGTTTGCTGTTCCTGCGGTACCAGGTCAAAACGGTATCTGTTCTGACAAACCACAAAGCCCTGTCGAAGAAAAAGATAAGTCACCCACCATCGCAGTAGCCGAACCGGTTCCCAGCAAAACTGATACTGAGAGTGGCAAATCAGGTTCCAGTGGTGAGGATGAGACCAGCGGTGACTCTGGTTACATACCTAGGACGCCCACGACTGCTGAAAGGAGAAAAATGTTCGAAACCCATTCGAACTCTAAAGAAAATGAGTCTGAAGAAAACCTTGACTCGGTTGATTTCGAAAGAGGATCCATGAGAGCTAGTATTGCTGAAAGGAGAAAAATGTATGAAAGCAGGTATGAAGACTTGTAAAATATAATTAAATTTCCTGACATACAGATGAGTGAAAAATTAGTATTGAAATATACTTATTGAATTTTAGGTCACAATCTGTTCAGGAACAAGGTGTGGAGAAGAAGGAGGGATCCCCAGTGATGTTGAGAAGGAAGGACTCATTGAAAAATAAAAAGAATACTGAGGACTTGCTCAAAGACGATAATAATCGAAAAAGTGTGCCTATGCCGAAGCAACAATCAATGGATCCTGTTAGCGTGAGAAAAAGTGAAGTTTCCATGCCAACGCCAAAGAGGACTTCAACCGTTTTTGGTAAGAAAAAAAAGAGAATATTTTAAATTTGACGGTGATTCAATTTTTTTCTTTTTCAGGTCGAGTATCAAAATTCAGACACCTCAAAGGAACTCCATCGCACAAATCTTTCCACATAGAAAATATTCGAAATTTGAGCAGGCAGATCTCAGGAGAATGTGACGGGTTTCACGGTAATACTCAATTTTTTTTTTGGGAGAATTTTCATCAATCTTATTATTTTTCAGCCAATCCTGAACGAGTGGCGGTACCTTTAAGTGGTCCCGGAGGCAAAATTGCTACGTTTGAACTCAGTAAAACAGGTGACACAATTTATATCATCTGAAACTTTTAATGTCTTCCTTTTATTCTTCACCTGAATCAATTTGATAAATCACAAAAGTATTACATAGAAATTAGGGTGTGTAAGGGCAAACCATTAATTTACTTCTACATTTCTTGAATTGAAGTTTAGCAAATCATTATTTGAAATCATACATTTTTGCCACCTTTTTTGTCAAAATTATTATGTTGAGTTTTATGAGTTATCTTGAGTGAACAGAACAATAATTATCACAGCAAGAACCTGTGAAGAGCAGGCCTTCCTTATTTTGAAAAATGAAAATGAATGTAAGATCAGGCATTCACGGGACTTTCAGACTATATAGCTCTTTTCACAAATTCTTAAAGTCTATAGAATTCCACTAAATATGCCTCTCTCTTCAATGATCATAGGTAAACTTCCCGATGGCGTAATTCCTGCATTGGTGAACGGCAATAACATAATGGACTTCGCTTGGGACCCATTTGACTTTTGCAGACTAGCGGTGGCTTGTGATGACGGGGTCGTTAAACTGTGGAGAATCCCAGAAGGCGGGCTTCTTGAACCCACTAATGAACCCGAATCAGAATTGAACGCACACTCTGATAAAATTTATTTCATCAAATTTCATCCAACTGCTAAAGATGTTCTTGCGACAGGTAAGAATAATATTAACAATATTTATTTATAATTCAAATACAACTTACACAAAGTCACAAAATGTCATAATGAGTGCACAACTTGGAATTGCGAAGTAAAATAACAGTGTTTCAAAAGTTTTGTAATATCTCGGTGTATACTTATTCAGTTTCATCGAAATTGGGTGTTCGGTAATTGATGAAGTCGACGAAGGCCGTTTCTGCCTGTTCCTGATTTTCGGAACGTTTCATTGATTTCCTCACAATAGGACTCTGCTGTGGTGGTTTGGCCCGGTTTCAGAAAGTTATAGTGAATCAAATCAGCCGCCGACCACAATACAGTAACTGTGGTTACTGATTTCTTCATATATAAACGTTGCTAAAAAATCCGAATCAGTAGACTTGTAATAATATGACCATTTGATTTTACTAATAATAAACCTAAATTCTGAGACACCAACATTTGAAATTGGTTTAATTAAAATAATTTTTTTCACAGTAGGCAGTTCATCTATAGCAATTGATATTTCTAGGCCATAGTGGTCAGATATGTTATCTTTAATAACTTGTGCATCTGAGTGGTGGTCGAAATTCATCAAAATATTATCAATGCAGGTGGAGGAATGATTGGTGACTCTAGTTGGTTCTTGTATTAAATACCTGAAGTTGAATGCATCCAAAGTATTACACAGTATTTTTTTTCTACTGATTTAGTGGAAAAATCCATATTGAAATCCCCTAATACTAATACCTTTTTAAATTTTCGGGTTGTAAATTCAGCGAGAGAGTCAAATGAAGATATGAAATTCAGAAAATTTCTGTTACCTGATCGATATAAGCATACTACCAGAATATTGAATATAGTTATTGCAGCAAACTCTGCATCAACTTCAGTGCAATATCTATTTATATCAAATTTCAATGATTTTAAAACTTTTAAATCTCTTTTGAGTAAGTTTTTTGCTGAGAAAAGCATTCTATTCTGTGAAGGAATTTTTAAATGACTGAATATGACCTTTTTTTAACCTTTTTTTACAAATTTTAGCGTTGAAAGTAGGTTGTGTATGTAGAATAGTCTTATAAATAGGTTTTTCTACACCCGTACTCTAACAATACACTTATATGACCATAATCCGTTTCCTAATGATATCCATTATGATACAGATTTTTCATAACGATACAGATTATCAACCAATAGAAACCCATAATTTTTCATAATTTGTCCTAGATTCTAACCTAAGTAACTAATTGCTTTATTTGTCAAAATCAGTTTTCATATTACCTACCTATATTATCAGAATGTCTGAAAACAGAGATATAGAAGGAATACCATCGACTCCAATATTTTTAAAAGATCAGATTAATTACAGTTGTTATATTCAATATAAATATAATTAGAATCTTTATAGTTTTCATATATCCATGATAATACCATTAAGTTTGTGTTTTTTTTTTAAAATATGAGTTAATTACTGTAAATGTGTTCAATACAAATATAATATTTATAGTTTTTCATTATTTATCGGGTTTAGAAAAAATAGCGTATGCAACTCTCATGTAATGGTTATTAATACACTCGCATATACCATACAAAACTCGCCTTCGGCTCGTTTCGTATCCCGGTTAATGCTCGTGTCTTAATAACCATCATTACATGATCGTTGCATAATATACTAATATATTCTGATTTTAGTTGACTAGTCTAATGAAGTAGTAACATTTGTGTACCAAATAATTTTGTAACATATTATGTTCTGCTTTTACAGATGATTAAATTCTATTCTATTCTATCCACAGCATTCGTTATAATATAATTTCGAGCAAATATTGCCACTCCGCCATGCTTAAGCTTATATCTACAAAAGTATCTTACCAAATTGTAATTAATGATGTTGATATTAGAGATTAAATCACTTGTCAACCAAGTTTCACATATACAGACTAAATGATATGGTTTTTCCTGACATCTAATATTTAATTCATCAATTTTATTAGCTAAAGATTGAGCATTTATATAGAAAATTGATAATTCCTGATTTTGTTCATATGGCACTATATCAATTTGATGTTTGTTGGTTGACATCCTTGCATTAGTATTCAAGTGTGTAATACAGGAATGAGCCTCAGATAATGAGTATTCCTCATCATGAAATAATTTCTTCAAATCACTGTGACATTTACTGAGGCAGATCCTTTAAAAAAAATTTAATTCATAAAGTTTTTTGTCGAAATTGCCATTCTAAACCTAAACCCTATTCTTGTGACATTTGCCACAGGAAATTCTTTCACTCCTGTAGATTGGAAAGACACAAAAAAATCCACATGAGGTAAGAAAACTTATTCCTCAGAAACTTTACTCAATGAGCATCTGATAGTTAAACATGGAGTTAGCATTGTTGGAATTACTGTCACTGAGAGTGACATGGAGGAAAAGATATACTTTGAGTATGAGCAGTTGGTGGTAGAATTGAAACAACAAAATTTGGAAGAAACTGAATCAAGGAGTTGAAATTTTCAATTTTTATATGTTCCACTGACATACCTCATCTAGGCAAGTTATAATTCTTTAGTAGAATCAATCACGGCTTGATTTTATTCCTATAGTGAAATAAATGGAAATATACTAGTTATGTAAATAAATAAAGCAACAAATATTAAAAAAAAAAATCTAAACGTTAAGAAACTGATGAAGCAGTATATGATGGAATTGGCCGATTCTTGTTGAAAATCTATAACTAACTTATTCAAAAAACTCTTTATTGTGAGATTTTCAGTAAACAGTTTTACAAAAACATAACACGTGTTTTGCCATAATTTTGATGAAACAGTTTTTGCACATGATGATCTTCATTGATTTAACTTTTTTGTTTTATTCAGGATCATACGACATGTCAATAAAATTATGGGATTTGGCGACTTTGACGGAAAAAATCACACTGAAAGGTCACACTGACCAAATGTTCAGTTTTGCATGGTCCCCTTGTGGTTCCTTCTGTGCCACTGTTAGCAAAGACAGCAAAATTCGTATCTACAAGCCGAGACAAAGTGACAGCCCAATCAGAGAAGGAAAGGGTCCTGAGGGAAATCGAGGAGCTAGAATTGTATGGGCGCTAGATGGCCATTTCATCGTTGTCACTGGGTTTGATAAGGTTTCCGAGAGACAAATAACAGCATACAAGTCCAATGATTTGAGTTCACCTCTTAATACAGTAGGTTTGGATGTATCTCCTGCAATTCTGATACCTTTTTATGATGAGGATAGTTCAACACTTTTTGTTACTGGAAGGGTGAGTTTATATTTCTCAACTATATAGTAGTTGTTTACGTTTTAATTTTTTCATGTGAAATTGATCAAAGGCATTTCAATTTTTCACTCAAATTCCATTAAAATGTGACAGGTGTGTACCAAGGGTCTCATTTTGGGCCTATTCAATATTTTCGTTAATAATATTGAGTAATTGTATAAAACAAATTATAGTCTACCATGAGTTTACCTTTGCCTTTATACTTTATAAAGTCAATTATTGGTAAGTTTCAAAAAAAACAGAATATCGAGGCAATGTAAATGCATAATAATCATAATAATAAATAATCCAAGAAAATCTTCTATAACCATGGTGTTTTCGATTGAGTTGTATCAATTTAAAAGAGCAATGTAAAATATATAAGTATAATACAATTGTGGGAAATTGTTTTTATATTTCTGTCAGTAGATTCATTTTACGCTAGAGATTACAATTCTACCTATCAGATGAAAAAATAGTATAACAAATGCCCTTAGGTAGCCTCTACTCACTGCAAATTGAACTATGTAACCTTCCGTCTTATACACATCGTAGAATTTTTTTTCAAACTCTCTACATTGTAAAGTATTAAAATGGTTCACAAACTACCTCACTTATCGGACGCAGCTAGTTAAATATAATCAGGTGGCATCCAGTACTTTGAATGTAATTTCAGGAGTTCCTCAAGGGTCAGTATTGGGTCCACTGCTATTCTTGCTGTACATAAATGATATTGTGATACATGTTAAAAGGTGTAAAATAAAACTGTTTGCCGACGATACTATGTTGTACTGTTCTGGGACACATAATGAAATCTCAGAATGTTTGAATGAGGAACTATCAAATATAAACGAGTGGTTATCCTCAAGTTAAATGTAAATAAAATAAAATGCATGTTACTAGGTAGCAAATATCGTTTAAGACAACTGCAAGATGAACAGCTGTCATTGAATCTTTATATTGATAATGTCATCATTGAAAGGGTAACAACTTTTAAATATCTGGAAGTGGTATTGGATCAAGAATTGAACCTAAGACGCACTGTAGTTATATTCAGAAGAATATAGCCGCGAAAATTCATCTTTTATATAGATTGAAAAATAAAACAAGTGAATATGCGAAATTAACAGTTTATAAATCAATAATAGCACCCTACTTTGACTATTGCAGTACATTGCTCTATTTTGTGAGCAATGAAAATCTAAACAGACTACAGAAGCTTCAAAACAGATCCATAGGGGCTAGAAATAGAATAGGAAATTTTTATATCAACAGAGAACATATAGGTTGTGACTTGTTGTATAGTTCTGTCTGATTGCATTTAATAATTTGCCAAGTCATATAAAAAGCTGTGATTCATTAAATTCATTCAAAAGAAAATGTAGTGAATATATTTCAAGTAGTAGTCATCAATTATTCGTCGTTTTCTAGTTTCTTGTTTTGAAAATGTGACTTGTCTCTAGATTTATATTTTTTTGTTCTGTATTTTATAAGTGACTGACTGTACTATGAAGAGCATTATTTGCTAATAAAGAGTAATAATATATAATATAATATATATGAATGAAGAACATCTCTATTTTCCTTACCTCATCAATAAAACTTTTGCCTGATTCAAATTGAATATTTCAGGGTGATTCAACAATCTATGCTTTTGAAATAACAGAAGAAACTCCAAATATTTGTCCTTTGAGCCACCATCGATGCAACGGGTTACATCAGGGTCTATCTTTTCTTCCCAAAAATGTCTGTGATGTCTCTAACGTAGAGTTCGCCAAAGCCTATAGACTCACAAACAATTCGATTGAACCTTTGTCGTTCACTGTACCAAGGATAAAGGTAAGATCAAGTGCTGGGTAAAATCAGATTATCAATATTATTGGTTTTCGAGAAATCACAACATAATTTGTTAAAGACAAGAAATATTTGCGACTCCAATGTAACAGTTTATTTTTTCGATGTAGACTGATTTATTCCAAGATGACCTATTCCCGCCAACTAGAGTTACATGGACACCCACATTGACAAGTTCTGAATGGTTTAGTGGAAGTGATAAAATTCCCAAAAGGATCAGCTTAAAACCTGAAGGAATGGACTTACGTAAGTTACTTTGATGATTTGTTGCACATATCATTTATGAGAAATTTTGAGTTTCCAAGCTTATCAGTGGAATCTTCAAATTTGTTTCAAATTTTGGTGATTTCAAAATATTGATGATGATATTATACTCTCAGAAAGTTTGTATTTTGTAAAATTCTACTCACTGTGTATAAGTTTATGATTCTCGTGAATAATGAAAGTACTTTCAAATTTTTCATGACATTTATTGAAAAAGAAAGGTTTTCAGCTTTCTCCTTCTTCATCTTCATATAAAAAAAATGTGGGAAACTGGCAAAGGAAGACACAAACATATGTTCAAAATAAAGTCTTCACAAAAATTTGTGGATTATGCATATAAGTTACTTCCAGATATGAACTGGAAAAAAGCCTTTAAAAAAAAAAAAACTTTAATATGAACTTTGAATTACAGAAAAAACCTTCAAATCAACTATTTTCATATGAACATTGAATGAAATGAAAATCACTTTTTTCCATTCAACTTGTACTCCAAACATTCGTTATGGAATTGAATCGATTGTTCACAGGAACGCTACACAATTTTATATATGAAACTGTTACGATATTAAAATTTCACTCACATGGAACACTATCATCCTCATCGGCGGACTGTAAAGTCCCAGTTCTAATCTAATCTATTGTTTTTTCACAGTATCGGAATCTCAAGGACAACCAAACACTGCCAGCGAAAGAACAATCAATAAATCTGCTTCGACACCATTCATAGGATCTGCTCAGGCATATAGAGGAGTGGGATGGGATGCAGATATATCTGGACAAACGAAAAACAAACAAGAAGAAGTAAGTTCTAGGTTTTATAGTGGAGATTGAAAAGTGTACCAAATAAATAATGACTAGAATGACTTTTTTTTCGAAAAATTAAATTTTGTAAAGTCAATCTGAATTTTCTCACAGTTGAATTGCAACAAGATGTTGACTTTGAGTTTGAAAGTAATACCACTCAATACTTTCATTTTATAGTTTAATTTCAATATTATACTTTATCATGCAAATATTGTACTTATTTATGGAAACATGTCAGAAGTATATAAGTTTTAGATTTTAATTCAATCTGATTGACGAAATTTATCACAACAATCTAACATCCAGTATGATCACCTGATCTAATGCCATAAGAATTCTTATGGGGGTATATTAAAGGCGATTTGACATCAGGTCGGACACACCACCGATGTCAAATAATAATATTTATTCAGTTGGATCATCATCTATGGATGACATTGAGTATGTCAAAACGTGTACAAATACAAAATTAAAAATAAAACCTCCGTGCACTTAGAGGCACAATATACAATTTACATAGATTATATAATATATAATAGTCAAAACCTAAAATAACATGCCATTTATGCAACAGCACCGTTATTGAAATCAGCCTAAAATGTTGGACATGTTCATACTATATAAAAGTCAAAACCAAAAATAATTTGTTATTTATGTAACAGCATCGTTATTAAAATCATCCTAGAATGTTACACATGTACAGGGTTATAAGTTATCATCCATATATTCTTTGAGATAATAATAGGATTTATCCAGGAGCAACTCTTTGATTTGATAGTTATACTGTTTTACAGCCAGATTTTTTATTGTACTCGGAAGTTTATTGTACACTTTAATGGCCATAAGCCTGGGACATGATTCAGATACAACTAATCTGTGTGTTAGCACTTCCAACTGTAGTGAATTTCTAGTATTATAATTCTTATTACCATTGATAGTAGGAAATCTGGTTATGTGCGATTTTACATATTTTAATATCTCATAAATGTATATGCTTCTAACAGTCAATATTCTGAGATTTTGGAAGATGAGTTTGCAACTTGTCCTTCTAGTAACTCCTGCTACATACCAAAATTCAAAAAAGAACCTTATGGTTCTTTTTTGAATTTTGAGTATTATGGAACAATCACTAGATGCTCCCCAAGCTATAATACCATAGGAAATGACAAAAATTTTGTCTCCTCTTGTTGTTAAATTGATTCATCAATTGACGTTACTAGTAAACTGTGATTTGGAGTGGTTCTTGAATGATTAAAACGTAAAAGCACAGTTTTTCTTTCATTTAATAAGAGACCATTGTCTGAGAACCACTTTTGGGTTCTTTTTATTTCATCAGATGCTTTATTAACTGTGGCATTAATATTTTCCTGAGTTATCAATAAAAATGTGTCATCAGCGTACATAACGAACTGATCACTATAAAAATCATTTACATATATATAAGAGTGGACCTAATATAGAACCCTGAGGAACCCCGAGGGAACAATTTTTAGATTCTTATTTATTTCTGCTAACCTTTACATAGTAGTATCTACCCTCTAAGTAACTTACAAACCAGTTGTGTGTTATTCCCCTGATTCCATACATTTCAAGCTTTGTTAGGAGAATTTTGTGATCTACCAGATCAAATGCCTTACTTGAGTCTATGAAAATCCCTAGGATTTTTTAACCTTCGTCCAACTCACTGTACACACTGTACACGTTGCTAGAAAGCAGTTTTATTATAAGTGATAATGTTGCCAAGGAGTCCGAGATAGCATTTCGATAATCTAAATTATGCGAATTGAAAATGGCTTTTCTCTTTTTTTTTTGTTTAATACTAAACTAAAATTTTGAAAAACTCTAAATTATTAAAGATATTCTGAAACATTTTTTATTTAATCACAGTCATTTTTTATTTAGTTATTAGTCAGTTATTATAGTATGAATTGAAAATAAAAAACTGTTGATACATTCTTTATGATTTTTTCCATTTGGCATCCTCTGTATACAATAAAAAATGTATTTCATCAACCCAATAATCATATATGTTTGTTCGTTTTTTGTTATTAATTCGACCAAATCTGAAATAGCTCCCTTTGAACAACTATACAATATTCTTGTTCATTAGAGTCATATATGAGATCAGTTCAAAAAAATAAGGTGAATGTTCAAATTTCGCGGGATAAGTAGATTTTTTCATGTTGGTACAATCGTCTCGAACTTATGTTCACAGTTTCAGCTGTTAATCATGTGAGAGGCATAAAATTTAGAAGAATTTTGCGTGTTCCGCTATTTCGACTTTTGCATCATGACAACGCACCTGCTCACTCTTCATTGCTTGTTCATAAGTGTTTGATCAAAAACACTGCAATCATACCCCAGCCATCGTACTCACCAGATTTGATACTTTTTTTCTGTTCCCAAGATTGAACAGAGCTTGAGGAGAATATTTCAGTGCCACATATTTTTTGAGAAAAGTTGAAATTCACATTATTTTTTGAACAGATCTTGTATATTGGACTTTCATGAACAAATCACACATTTTAGACAGTACTGTATTTATATACTGATTTGTATGTGTAAAATGTTTTTAATTATATATGATTTCAGTTGAAAAAATCTGTGAGTAACAAACTGGAAGTGAACATGAGTTTGGAACAAGACAATATGGAAGGAGTAGATGAGAAGGAATGGAATGAATGAAAGCGATAACTTTCCGGTTGGACACCGATATCGTCGTTTACTATAACAAAATTTACGGAAAAATATTATTTTGCTCTCTCATGTAAAGTATACTTCGTGAAACATATTCTCAGCCTTACAGTATGATATAATAAGGTTATGTCTATAAGGTTCAACTATTGAACAAATTCGTACATGAAGCTTCTTATTATAAGTTTTATTATTTTTATATGATATTTATACATGACTTTGCTTCGCCCTCTCGATGAAACTAGACTATGTGATGGTTCTTTTTTAAATTCAAGGTGTGCTGGAAGAAAGAAAAGTAAATTGGATCAATTATTTTCTCTTAAAAAAAATAATGATCACACTCTTAGAAATTTTACTTTCTGCCAGAATTATTGCACATTTTTAATATCTGGAAGTCAGTTATATTCAAAATATAGTTAGGTCAAAGATTTATGTACTATATAGTTATTTTCGTAATTTTATTCTGGTTTTTCCCAGTGAGTTATTTTTAATTTGAGACTTTTTCTGTTGGAAAAGTAATTTAATGTTTTTGTTGTGAAGGTATATTGTGTGAATTGAAAATATTTTCTTATTTTGGGGTCGAATTATCAGTGGCCTCTGTATCGTTGAATGTGACATATGCTTCGTGTATTCTCCTAGAGAAAAAGCAATATTCCAAAACTAGTTGTAAGTTCTTATATAACAATATTTTTATATTTTTACTATATACCCGGTTTTAATGAAAGCTGTTTGAACAAAATTTAAAGTTTATGAACACCTACTTGAGATTACCTTGAAAAGCTATCTTCAAATTACTTTTCTTTCGATGTGATTTGATCATATGCCAGCAACTATGGCCTATTACTGTAGGCCACCTTGAATCATGTCCTAAATGGTATTCAAACAATTGTGTTTTGTGCTTGGTGTCCCTCAAGTCCTTTATTCTAGAGGTACCAGGTATATTATTAATATAATGGATATTACTAAAATGACGTCTAGTCACTTTTAACATGCTTTAATCAATATTTTGTGATCTCTGTTCAGATACTCTGCCATTTTAATTGTTAAATCGAGCATTCCAAATCCGGACCACTGCATTTTTTTTTTGTTTTTTGAAGTAATTTTCATTCCCTGCAGCTGGTCTGTGCCAAAACTTATAAAAATCATCATTGACCAAAGTCGCTCATTCCTCAAACATTTTTACAAAAATAAACGCTCAAAAATATATCAAGCGAAATGTATTTTGGTACATTTTTTAGTCGTTAAGTGCTATACATATAATAACTAATTGTGTATGGTGTGATTTGCCTATTTTTCCTGTTGTTTTTCAATACTATCGACACTAGACAATTTTGAATTAATTATTTTGTAATGAGATGTAGAACAACAGGAAAAGGTGAACACACGGTGGAGCCAAATTTTGATATTATATAAATTCTTATTGTTTTTAGTTCAGTCTTGAATTTTTGGGCCACCTCGTAATATTTGTATTTATATGTGTAATTCTTTCTCATTTTTATTAGTGTTGTAAATGTAGACTGTAGTTTCATATAATTAACGCCAGATAAATTATTGAAATAAATTATTTCTACCATTTAAAATCATTTTTTGTGTTATTTCTCGAAGTATGTGCTTTTAATAATGCTCTTCACTAATCACAAATTATATATTCAAATTACAAATTCATATTCCGTGAACTAGACTTCTGCCACTGGCTCATTTCACTTTTCACGCTTCTATTAAACTTCCCCCTTAGTAAATGAAATGCTTTTTCTGGAGAAAAATCTCCAGACAATTATAGAATTGAAGTTTCCTAAATTATGAAATAGTCTGAGATCCGGTAAGAGATCGACTTACACTAATCTGATGACCAGATGAGACTTTTTTTCAAATTTTATAAGTTAATGAACACACCAATGATAGCTTGCCTATCGCAAAGCTGTCGTTTTTAATCATACTGATTTTAATCATTTCACCCTATTGACAACCAACCAAATTTTTGTCAAATGTTAGTTTTCCATATGGAGAATATGTCTAGGTAGGCTTGCCTACTTATTTCTGATCATAGCTACCTGGCAAGCAGGTCTGAGCAGTTGAATCAATATACGGAACAATATCCAGTTGTTAACCAATCGAAATTGGTATCATAATAAATATTATTTTATAACAAATATAATAACAGTATAATAGCCTTGCCTGCAAAACATCTGTCGTAGAATAGAATTGACAATTTTAAAATCGGAGGAATTAAATAAGTGCGAGATTTAATTATAACCTGATGTTTTTTTTTTTAAATATGCTTGTAGCTCCTCAAAATTTCTGTATCTGACAAAAATTGAAATTCTTGTAATAATTTTTTTGTAGAAAAATTTTTCAATTTGTATGATGTCGGTTAATTTCTGCATCATTGGCTTACCTATAAATAAATCTATTTTATATTGTACTAATTATATTAAAAATAATTACTCTATGACTAATTTTTTTCAGCAAACCTATAACATTATATTTTTTATTAAATAGTTCTTATTTTGATACCAATTTCAATTAACAGCTCGGTGATATTACCAATATTGTATTCAAGAAACATTCTATTGTGTGGTAATAGCCGGGAAAGTATTTGTTTTACGGAAGGCATATACCAGAACCTACTTTTTAGGTAGTTGAGAGAGATGAATACTGTCTTCAGATACTTTTTTATAACGATAAACTAAACAAGTTGCCTTCCACTGGAACAACTTTTTGTACACTTTATTAAGAGGAACTGAAATGTTTCCGTAAACTTTTTTGGCACTCTATATTTTTTAATCTGCTGAGATATGCAATGTCATATTACTCCCATTTGCCTCGCTTTTCATGCTAGTGTTGTAAATCATGCCCTAAAGAAAATAACGCCGGCCGTCACTGGTAGCCATAAACCAATTGTGACGTGGCAAAGAGCGCGCTCAGTTCGACCGACATTTCGCGGCTATTTTGCAGGCTTCGGTGGAATTCCGATATACAAAAGCTAGCCACGAGCATATAGAGACAGTCAAGTGGAAGTTACAGTGCGGTACGCAAAGCGATCTAGTAAGGCGATAGCCATTCGAATAATAAATGAAGTGTTTGTTGTATTCAAAGTGAAATAAAGTTAAGTTTGATTATTGTTCGGTGTAGTCAATTATTGAACTCACGGGGAAAAACGTAACATGTTAATATTATTGATGTCAGTAGTTGTTTCAGAAATGAAAGTATTTTTATTATATTCTTCTACGAGAGCAGAAGGAACTTGAAATAGCAAATACAACAATTTCTCATCAAATAAAAAAGAACTGACACTGACTACTCCTTAAAGTAGTATAAAAAAAGGCAGTTATGATTTGTTATTTTGATAAAAACTTTATTTTTTATAACTATATATAAAAACTACTTCTGCTTCTTTTTTCCTTTCTTTCTTTTCTTGGCTGGTTCAGGATCTTCCGTCACTTCCGTCTCATTATCAGCCATTCTTTTCTCTCCACTATAAAGTGACAAAAAATAAATAGATTAAAAAATCATTCCTCAATTATTTACCTGTTTCAGCATGGAAACTTATTCATCAGCCTGAATTTCCGAATTACTAAAAAATTTAATTATTCATTGACGAGTCGACATATTTGTTTGGTTTCACGCTTATTTATGACAAAACTTCAATAATAAAAATACGTTGGTGGAAAACTGATTGTTCATATTCTCCAAAAGTCACATAGAAACATATTGAAAGATACAATTATTCATTCAACCTTACCTTTTCACTGTAATAATATTCTTTTTACGGTTACTCGTCAATATTTTTCCCCACTCCTCTTCGCTACCCTTTATAGCGAATTGTTCCAGATTCTCCTTCTTTAGCCTTTCAAGTTCTTTCTTCTGCTTTTTTTTCAACTCCCCTGCTGCTTCTTCCAATTCATCGTGCATACTCTTAGCCACAGGTGTCATGTCAACATTTTTCTGCGGCACCAGAGTACCCTCTATATCCTGTTCAAGGATTCTGTTAAGATTCTGAACGTAACGACGGATGAGTCGATTGAAGAGACCAAGTAGTTGAGTGGAAGGAAGATCAAGCTCAGTTGCTAGATCATCTACTGTCTTGTGTTGGAGACCTAAGCCCAAAACAATTGCCTGAAAACAATATATTCAAGTGAAACAAGTGAAAGTACAATGAATTAAAAATATGGAATAAACATGTTTGAATTGAGTTCAGAAATAGAGAAACATTGAAAGATTTCCAGAAACAATTTTTTTTAAAGCATTTGAACATCAGTGACAAATTGGGTGGGGACTAAAGTATTGAACTGTTTATATATAAGTAGATTTTATACATTCCCACCTGTTCCCACTGTTTACTTTTTTACATTGCTATGAATATGAAGAGATTTCAATTATAAAATATAACCAGTTTTTCAGGAAATGTTGAATATCCTTTCAGCTCTATACTTTTCCTTTCAGCTAATACTTCAATATTAATTTTTTTAGGTTATCTCTCCATACGAGGACTGCCCTATACGTTTTACGAATTGGCAACACTGGCTTTTCTAGGTAAAATCTAACCTTACAATAAAAAAGTTTGACACTTCAGAAGATTTTTTAACTAAAACGTTTTATAATATGGAGGCTACTTGTATTGTTAACAGTGTCTGGAAAATTGTGTTTCAGTGAAAACTTGAATTAACAAGAACATTTTCGTGTAATGATTTTTCACGAATTTCACCATGAATTATCCAGGCAAGACTGCATTGGTCATGAAGTACGACACAAGGCCATTTGCTGACGGTTTAGTGTTTAGTGAATTAAATCGTAGTCGTAATTCTTACACCGATGCACACTAGGTCGTACAATTTCAATTGCTGTGCGAGAAAACATCGAAGTTTGATATGTAACATATCATGAGATTCGGACATCCTTGGGTGTTGATATAAATTACAAACAAACGATATTGCATAGAGACTTGGCTATTAAAAAAATTTGACAATTGCTCAAAAAAAGGATCGTGTGAATTGGTGCAAAAAATCGCATGAGCCGGAAACTGAACAGTAGTCGACTGAGTGAGTCTTTCAACGTAGACCTACCCCAACAAAAGTTGTTTGCACTCGAAACACTTCAAAACAAATGGTCACCTGGTTATTTCGAAAAAGTGGTCAAACAGCAACAATGCCTTTAGAGAAACGTAAAACAGTCAATTCTGAGTGTTACACAACCATTTCTTTGCCAAATAAAAAAAAAAAGATGAAAAATAATTCTTCACCACAATGATGCGAGCGCTAACTCAACTGCCTATTTGACCAGTGAAAATATTGAAATTATGGGTCATCCACCCTACATTCCTGATATGGCTCTCAAAGACTTTTTTTTTTGTTACCCAATATCAAGAACAAACTGCGTGGTCAACGCATTTCGACGCCAAAACAAGCAGAATATGCATTTAAAATACATGGAGGTACCACGTTTGGAGTGGCATGGATGCGATAATAAATGGTTTAGGCGAATGCATGAGTATATTATTGATCATCATGAAGAATACTTTGAAAAACAATAAAGTCATTTTAAATGATAAATTACCGCATGTTCCTTACTAGTCGCAAAACTTACAAAGAGGCCCTCGTACTGCGAAGTTGGGGGAATTATTGAACTGGACATACCTTCGGGACTTAACTCATCTTGTAAGACTTGAGATTCATTAATTTTAATATTTTGAACATCACATGGAATTTCATTTGCTTTTGAAAATTGTTTTTATTGAATTTAGATTAGTTTCAATATGTCAGCTTGTCTCAACCAGCTCAATGGAGACATCAGTTGTCGATGTTTTGGTGTAGTGTGTAAAGTACTGAGAGTTTTAGTACTAGCAGAACTGGGTGTAGGCTATATAGACCTAAACAAAACAGAACTGCCAGCAGCAGAAAGAACTAAACTGTTCAGAATTTAATGCTCCGTTACGTATGGAATGTTGAATTGTTAGTGACAGGAGAAAAAAGGAAATCATGTATGAGAAAATGAAGTTTCTAACAGCCACACTTTTGATAAATAAAGTGTACCTTTAATTGTGTACGAAATTTTGTGAATTGTCTGATCTTTAATCATTTAGTTTACTTACTGACTGTACCGCAGACATTTGCATATCACCCATCTGGTTCAAAAAGTATAACTTTGCCAATGTTGGCATCAAATCCATTATCAAATGATAATCCACCAAGTTATTGCTGTACATTTCTAACCTTTTCACATCATAGGTGGTCAGATGCATATCCAGTTCTTGCTTGGACAATTCTAAAAATTATATAATGTCACTATATGAGCAAATACTTGAATTATACAAAAATATTCACCTTTAGCTTTGAGTTTCACAGCTTTATTAGATAGAACTCCTAGTGCCAATCCGGGAGAGAATTTGCTGAACTGATATGACAACAAATTGACAAACCTTCTTCGGAAGTCTACCCAATATGCTGCTAACCATTCACTTTCTTTTACTTCATCAACATTTAAAACATTCAGCATTATACAGGAATGTTCTCCAGTCAAGTCATTAGTGGTTTGTCTCAGGTAAACAGGAAGGTAACTGAAAAAAAGCATGATTAACTTAGATGTTGTACAGAGAGTGGTGAGAAAAGTAGTTGAGATAAAAAGATATAGCTTGAAGATAAATTGAGATAAGATGAAAATCATGATAATGGGTGACACACAATATAGAAAAGGATACAAATATAATTTCAAAAGAGTACGCATTTACATACTTGCAAGTTAAAATTACTGAAGCTGGGATGGAAAAACGAGGATTCATAAAGAAAATTGAAAATATGAAACGCTGAGCTCTCTAATGCAATCTTAATTATTTTCAAGAGAAACAAAAAGAATTCACAGAACATTTATCGTAGCAACAGTTGAGTATGCAGGCGAGATATGAGCACTGAAAAAGTCATGGTGAGAATTAAAGTCAATGAGCAAGAAACATTTTAGAAATGAAATAATGAAAATGAAAATTACGACAGTTATTAAAGCACAGAGGATAATATGGACACGTAGAAAGTTCGAATAGGACCAAACTAAAAAGAATGGTTCCAAATGGAAAAACTGTCTGAAGCAACAGATCAAGGAAAATAGGAGAAGCAATAAAGAAGTTCTGGATAAAATATAGTCAAATTTATATATAACGTAAGTAACAAAATTACTAATGGTTATAAAACAAGAGCCCCAGGCCTCCAAAGTCTATGAGGTGCATTAAAACTTAAAAGTGCTAATAGAGTTTGACTTGTGAGCAAGGCAACTCTTAATACTGGTTACTTGAATAGGGCTGGCAACTATTCAAATAAAAATTAAATTTTGCTGCGAAACAGTACTTTCTGTGATAGACATCCTAAAAACAGAATATTTTACTTTGCTTTCAAGGAATTCCATTCTAATTTGATATTCAAATCATTGAATAACTCTCAAGATAAAGAACACCAATTACAGTGCATGACGTCACTTGCTCAGAAACATCATTTTTATCAAAGACTTTGTGAAGTTGTTTGGTGAACATTTATGGTTCAGCTGAAGCCATTTTTTCCTATTATTTTCCATAAATATTTGAAGCTAAGATACCGCACAATTCTTATTCGACTTAGAACTCTTCTTTCATTAGAAAACACTTTATCATGTTTAGCACCGATGCATACTGGAAGACACTGCCATTATTCACAACTGAAACTTTTTAACTTTCGGTATTTTTGTTGAAATTCTTTCTCTAGATTCTTCAATTTCATTTTTGTTTTATGTTTTTTTTTACATTTTTTCGTGATCACTGATGGACTTATGCCCATGAACACAGTTTGGTGTTAGGTTAGTTTTTATTTGTTGACACTACACCAAGCTACTTTTTAGGTTATTTCCCTGTCTGTTAACAAATATAAACTGAGAAGTGGCTCTACATGGTCTCTTCGATGAAGATCTAGCAACAGTTAGACTTGAATTTCTTCAATGCATAATGGTCAGCATCTATCTTTGATATTCTCTAGAACCGTTACATGCAAAATCTATATAAAAAGTATCCACAAACGCATACAGCTCTGCAAAATATCGTGGGGCGATCCGAATAGACAGCCCTGAGAGCGTCCACCAGTGAGCACATATGAAAAGTGTTATGTAATCCTTATCAGTTTACTAGTTTTTGATGAAATGTGACATCACAGCGTCATGTCAATAACCCTGTACACTAGCAAGTTATCGGAGTTTCTTAAAGCATATTCGGAAATATCCCAAACTGTCATACTTATTTATGTTTGCTGTGACATACATTAAAAATTTTGTAATATATATTCTAGTTATGTCGAGGATGTTATATAAATGAGAAATATTAGGTGAATTATCCTCTTTTGAATAACAAAATGTTTTTCTATCAAAATTAAATGTACCAATGCATAATATACCTTTGGTAAGGATTTCTTGTTCAAAGATCCATTAAGCAGTGCAAAAGCAAAGCAGTTGACCTTAATGACAAAATTAGAAACTAAAATGACCTTGTCTTACCCTGCCTTCTTCCAGAATTTAAGCAGCTGCTCTGTCAAGCCAAAAGACACTCCAATATAATCCAATCTCTCAGGTGGCCTCTCACTCAATTTAAGAAGTAATGGTGGCAAGGATTTACGAGGTTCGATGCACTCCTCCAGAAGACCCACTTGGTTTTCTTCTATATTATCGATTTCATCTTTAGGTAGCTGGGAATCTTCCTCTATGCTGGGAATTTTGTATTCATAGTATTGTTTGAGTAGGTTAAGCGCCCTAGCACCATATCCCATCTAGAAAGGAAGATAAGTTTTGTATGCATGATAAAAAATTAGTTTGACTTTGACAGAAAGTAAATTTAATACACAGTCCTTAAATATTCCCATAAGAATTGAATAAAAAAATTGTGATAAGCTGATCCGACGACAAAAAGATGGGTAAACTCAACAACAGTAAAAATCAATCAATGAATTCTTTCCATAATATCCCATTTTAATGGATTCTGCATCATCAGGAAAAGCCTAAAAATACAACGATACATACACACAACAAACTACACCTAAAAATATAATAAAGTATATGATTTAATATTAAAATTTAACACCGAGAAACTCGTCGATGTTGTAGGGACACAGATCAACCAGCAGTCCTTTTATGGGTGATTGGCAAGCGATGCTTTGGCGTAAGGAGGTTGTCGACATTTCTGGTTGCTGTTTACTGTAGTAATGTTTTGTGTTTTGATGTAGACAAGACATTGGAATATGTATAAAGCAGGTATCATCAAAATATAAAATTTCTTTAATAGCGCTTTGTTTCTCCCAATCAATTGAATTTTCCCAGAAAAGCAATCCATAAGATACCTTAGATTGAAATAGCTCCATGTATGCTGCTCTAAAAAGATGAAATGATGATGCAAGTGGTTATTGGGTGGGTATTAAGTAAGAATTCTATTACATTCATAACACGTAATAAAAATATTTACCATTGATGAGATATTCTTGCTAATGAGCTGGTGTTGAATGCAATTATTTATTCAATTCATCAAGAATTTCAATTATCTCAATTCATGAAGTTACCCTAATGAGTATTCATTAAATCAAACTCAAATCCAATATCATTCATATTTTCAGACAGCTGTTACCATCGACTCGTATGTTAACCAATTTCGGTCAAATCAACCAAACAATATTTTTATAGCATCTTTTTTTTCTAAGAAATGTTTAATGTATATAATTCTCGAAGTTGACAAAAGTGTTTTATTCAAGAACTAATTGAAATGGACCAAACACCAAAATTAGTATCTCTATGCGAAATAAAAAAAACTCACCCCTTGATAATCAGGATGGGTTGCAATTCTGACTATTCTAGCTCCAGACAGTCTTGGAAAATCAGCATCCTGATACTGCTGGCCAACTGTCCAAGGTATCAAGTCCCCCGAAGCTCTTTTACCTCTTGAATATCCTTCCATAACAGAATTTTTGGAGATCTCTCCTTCAAGACAAACTTGTATAATGACTAAAACCTCTGGCAAGGTTCTTCTATTGGGATCGACAGGTCCTAGAAGGCAGAACAGATGATGTGCTGGGGCGTCTGACATCATTTGCAAATCATTGGGTGTGTTCTGTTGAGAAATATATACTAATGAGCTATTTTCTTTCGGATACTTAGATTGAAAATTATTGTTATTTATAGTTTTAATGGTATTTCTTTCTGTTTTGAATAAAGCTATGTCTATGCTTGTCCGACTTGAAGAGTATGCATTAGTAAGGATTGGTAAGTATTTGAACCTCTGATGTAGACAAGTGATCAAACTTCTTGAGCCGACAAATAAATATTACTTACCTTATAATGAGAAGCAACATACAGTGCAACCAATCTCTGCAAAAATTCCTCGGAAGCCTTATGGTAGCAGAAGAGTGTATCTCGGTTGATATAATACAAATCACAATCATCAGGAGGAGGGCATCCTGACAAAATTGGAGCTACAGAAGTGGAATCGAGGCACAGCAGCTTAGTGAGCCACGCCTCAACTTCATCTCCTGGTTTGTAACGGATTGATTCTTCCAGTGTTACCTGAAAAACAAGTTTGTAAAAATAGAAGCTCAACCCAATGTTCAAATGAAACTTCAAAAATGTTCATGAAAACGTGAACTCACTTCATGCAATGTTCTTCCTGTTGCAGCTCCATAATCCTTCTTATTTACAGCATTTGTATTGGCTCCTACAGGTGCCGCTTGAACCCTCAACTGGTTCAATAATTTCAGCGACAACGATCTTCCGGTGCCTTCATAGCCATTTATAGTTGATGCTAAAAAGACCAAATATGGACCCAACATCGCCTTGACAAACGGTAAAGGTATAGCAGCGGCTTCATCTATCACAAGAAGTTCTGCTTGAGATAGTCGATGGCTGTCTGTTGGGTGAATGTACTGAAAATTGATACAATGAAGGTAATTTTTTTAAAATAACTAATTTTATATTAATAATTTTAAGTTTCTAAAGTTCCAATGGAATCACAGCTATCTGAGAAATAGAAGTTTTGAACTCCAGTTTTGAAAGGTAAAATTGGACTGGCTTAGAATGAATTCATAAAAAAGCTTGTTATCACAATGTAACTGTTCTCCAATGTTACGATAACGAGAGTAAAAGTTCTTGTGAGAAGAATAATTGTTTTTATTGGATTCAATCATTTCAATAGTTTTCCTGGCCGTCTTTATGTCAGTTTGACTCTATTCAAATAGCCCCAAGTAATTATAAGCCATTATAACCTGGTAGCGAGTACCTATCTCAGAATAGTTAATATTATGAATGGAAATTGTTAAGTTAGCTGACCTTTTTTTAAAAGTGAATTAACTTATATAGATGGTTAATAACCACACTTACACGGCATCTTAGAAGAGGATTTTTAACAAAAGATGTTACTGAAACCAACATGAATTCCTGTGTAGTAAACACTATCTTTGTTGAATGTTATCGAACTGGTTTGAAAATGCTAAATATTTTGGAAAGAGAATTGGCGTTATAAAACTAGATTCACTGAGTAAACATCTTCTTAGTGATAAGAAAATTCCCTATTATGTGAGAATATGAATTTTCTTTTGATGGAAGAATGTGAAATGCTGACTTACCTGTATTGTCTGTCGATGGTCCCTAAAAATATTAACCCTAACAATAGCCTTGTTGAATTCTGGATTTGTACTTTGAACCAAGCCATAGTCAATATGCTCCTGGTACTCCAAAGCGTCGAACCCTTTGAACACGAATTCAAAAAAAGTATTCAAATTTTCAGGACTGGGACTGGTCACGAATATATTAGAATAGCCGAAGGCTACAGCGGCAGATACAGCAAGACCCAGAGCTGCTGATTTTCCTCTTCCTCTAGAAGCCGTCAACGATACGGTAGATCTCAAAGTTTTTTCAGAAATACCTTCAACAAACTTGAGTAGAGCTTTTGCCTGGTCTAAAGTTTTGCACAAGTTCACGAGGTTACCCACTGGCTGGGTATCACGTAACTGTTCCTTTAATTCCATCAGTTCAGACTCATTTTCAGTAGTTTCCTGTACATTTTCCACAGGTGTTACGTGTAAATTATGGGACGATATTGGTAACACTGACAGTTGGTCGTCAACTACCAAAGAACGCTTACATGTAGCTAGAGATAGAAGGAAACGTTCATTGAATCTACACACTAAATTTTGATGAGCCTCTGTACGAAATCTCTGATGCACATCCATACTCATTGTGTAGAGTTGTTTCAGAGAGGTAATACTTCGGAGGAGGAGAACTACTAGACCACCTCCTTCTACTGTTTCAATAGTCCGGGCAAGCAAGTTAGGAGTGAGGGCCTCAAAATCTTGAAGAACACACATTCCATACGTGTTTCCAAGAATCTTGTGAGTTTCAGAATAATAACAGTATCGTATTTTGGTTGACGCGAGAAAGAGTTCAAATGGATCGTCTTCATTAATACTAAGTTTGCCCGCTTGTATTTTGTGTTGTAAGTGTTTCATACGCTTTTTTCTGTGACTGCTGAATCCTAGCTCTTTTTTATAACACCATAGCACTGAGGGTCTTGCTTTCACTTCTGCCTTGGAGAGCATATGATGCAAAATAACTACCTAAAATAGAATAATTTCACTATTGTGCAGGGTATTGAATTTTTTATACTCACTTGATCCCTGCCTTTGTCACCCACAATAACGAAGAGGGTTCTGTGCCCTAATTTCACTCCATTTTCAATCAAAACACGAATTCTGTTGTCTATTTTTTTTCGAACCATAATTGATTTTAAAAATACCACACACCAAATTTCAAAAAGAACCTCACTTTTATTTGAGGTTAAATTGATCAACAGGCAGAACAAAACCAAAAATTGTGACAAACTTCATCACAGATCACAGAACAAATTGTAGATTGTTAGATGTTACATCGAACAGTTCTTCTAACTGATAGAACGAATTGCCAACCTGAAAATGACATGAGAATTATTGCTTTTCAAATTTCAATTATTTTACTTGATTCAGATATAGCATGGTATAATCTATATGCAACAATAGTTTTCTGTTATCATTTTTTATTTCGTATTAATTACAATAAAATTTGAAGCACATGTATTTTTTTTTCTGCTACATTCAATAAATCATCTGGTATGCCACTCTTTTCACTAGAGAATATGTTTCTATCTTCAATAATTCACCACATTCCCGTGATTGGTAACTATTCAGCTCAAAATTGAAATGCGCTTTTTTCGCTGACTCTCGCTTTTCAGTTTCATCTCTAACATGGTGGTGAACGGATATGCCGTCCACAAAGAAGGTAAGCGTACGTTATTGTTGAAGATTAAACCCAGTTTGTGTTTCAATTGTCCGCCGTTTTTGAACGTGCAAGCATAATATTGAATATAAGGAGCAGTGTTAACAAGAGTCGTTAAGAGATTTTTGATTGTTTTATGAGAAAAAGCACCCTCATTCATGCCGGTTGGAGGCTAGGATACGGATGTCCATGTTCGAATGCTAAAGTGGATTTACATAACACCTACCCTCATTCACGCCGGTTGGAGGTCGGGGTGGACCGGATCTCCACGTAAGAATAGGATTGCACCATTTATATGATAGTTATTCACATAGTTAATCACACAAGGACAATGTAACAAGGAGTAGAGTTTTGCGGAAAGCAGGACCTCTGTACTCCCCGGACGAAGTTCTCTTTACGTAAGGTACACAGTGAGAACAGTGCTGGTCAATATAGCGTCGTAAAGAAAGCAGGAGCCAATGATTCAGTAGAAGAAGATTTCGTTACATAGTTAATAATATCTTTATGAAAATCCAGATGAACATCTAACTTCAACACTCCATCATCAGTCATGACCCATTTGTCCCTCTGACAAATATATCAGTCAAAAGGGTAAGAAAGCCAGGCTCCAACACTTCCGAGCGTTATCTCTCGTAAATAACATCAACTTCAATATATAGGCTAGCCAGGGACACTTTCAGTTTCGTGACGCGGAACGTTATGATTGGTGCATGTCTGTCAAATAAAACATCGATGAAATTCGTAAGCATCGAAACTTGTTTTAGATTTATTTTATGCAAGAGGTTTCAGTTTCAACTTTCAAATATACCTACACATATTTACTTTTTATTGATGAAAAAATTGTGGAAAAAAATGAAAGCGCATTATTGTTCATTCATCTATCCGTCAAACACTTAACTTCTTTATATTCATATTTATGATTTGAAATACAATTTTTTGGTAAAGCACCCGAATTAGGCATTCAGTGTGTAAGCCGAACTAGTCGTTTCTACCCGTATTCTCATCGACATTTTTTTCAGGAAAGTTCTGATCTTCATAACGAAGCCCTTTTTTGTTTAGGTTATCTTTCAGTTTCCGTTTGCACAATTTGGTTCAAATCGTAATCTCTCTGGGTGAAATTACAAATCAAAAGACACCTCAGTCGTAATTTTTTAGAATGCAAAGTCAAATTTTTTGAAAGGCCACTACATCATATCGAGTCATTCTTGTACAGATTCTGTCCTTTATAAGATTGAATAAAAGATCATATTCTGCCAGGATGTTCCATTTGGCAGTAATAAGAAAAAAATTGAAAACAGTGACGTTTTTTAAGATGGCTAAAAATGTAGAAGAGGGTGTCGAAAAATGAAATTGTTTCTCTCTAACAATCATGAATAACATATAAAACGGCAACGAACAAATGTGCATTGCCTCTTCCTTCTTATTGAAATTATCCCTAGCAAAGAAGGCACCCACATTAATTCATTCTAAGATACACAAATACTCGATGAAACGCAGAATTACTATCCGAGAATGTACAGAGAGGCATCAGAAATTCAGATGCAATAGAGCGGAAGAGGCAATGAAAACATCAGTAAAATCTGGCTACCTGTTCTTAATTGAACACAAAGGTCATTTATTCTAATTCAGAAAAACAGAGCCACACCTACCAAGGATGATATAAGTAAAACTGGGGACAAATTTCAACATTGTGAAGCTTTCAACAAGGTCTGTCCCGCAGGCCAGATCTGGAAACTTATACAAATACATTTCTCGCCCAGAATAATCGCCTTGTTACCTTTACAACCGACAAATCCGCGTCAAACTAGGTAATACTTTTTCTTCCTCCTTAACACCCAAATCAGGAGTCCCTCAAGGCACTGTCCTAGCTTCTTTCCTATTCTTAATCTATGTACACGACACTTCCACTAGGTACCCAGAGAATCCTTCAATACGCAGACGATACGATTTTATAGTTCTCCACACCAAACACCCGCAAGCAACGATAAACATCTTCGCTCTTTGGTGCAGCAAATGGCGTATCACAATTAACCCGACCAAAACACAAACCATCCTCTTCAGGCACCCCAACAGCACAACCCGAACTAAAATAAATACTGACAACTTGGATATCAGACTTTTGGAAAAGAACCTTCTACTCATCCAAGACTTGGACCTACTTGAGGGACTCTCAATTGGGAAACCAACCGATAAGACATTCTGGACAGAGTCCGAAAAAAAGCAAATCTCCTAAAGCTTCAAGGCAAACTCGGAAGATGCGCCAGTTAAACTCTATTACACACATACAAAATGTTCATATTATTCATAAGACCGATCCTGGACTATGAAGTCATGATCTACTGTGCGATCTCCCCAAGACCATCCCATCAAATACTAAAAACTAAGAGGAGAATTCTACGTAACATACCCAAACTCTCTTTCTGATACCCTTCCAACGAACTTTATGGCATATTGAAAATAACATCCACAAGTTGAAGATTTTTTCAAGGACAAAACACAAACCCTACAGGAAAATCCTTAAGTCGCTCTAAGAGCGGTGCCTGTGCGAATGTAGTGATTCACATTGGATTTGAATCGCAGAAGATTAAATCCATTTGGAAAAAGGTTCTCAGGAAGTTTATTCCACATAAACGCAGTTCTTGAACAGTGACGTTCGAGGTGTACTGAGTTAAACCTCACAAAGATGAGCAGCCACAATGCATTGCGTATTTCTGGTATGTACTGTTCTTGGTGGAATCAAATGTGCCAAGTCACTTGAACACCCCCGTGAAAGTATCTATAGACGAGAGACAAATCTCCAACCTTTCTACGATGTTCCAGACTATCAAGATTGCAAGTGATGTTCGCGTCTCCAATCAGGCGTATGGTTTTTTTTTTGGATGGGATCCAGCAGCTTCAGCGTATGCTTATGGGCGGAACTCCAACAAAACTCCGAAGAAGGTCTGATCTGAGCTTTCTAAGGCATCATAAAACTGATACAGTTTTCTGGTACGAAACAGTGTTCCAAGCTTTTGAGAAGCTGTCTTTGCAATTCCAGCGATATGATTGTGCCAAGACATATTGGTGTCCATTTTAACCCCCAACAAACTTATCGAAGCAGAAAATAGAATTGTGTGACCTGACATTATTATATCCGGTTCGGAGACATTCATATTTTTGGAGAAAACCGGTGCCTGGGTTTTTGTGGCTTCGAATTGTACCTGGTTACTTTCACCCCAACTCGAAATTACTTCCAGATCCTCAAAAAGATATGCAACCTCTTGTTGCCGGTGAAGATGTGCATCCGTCGCCGATGTCCTGGAAGCCCCGAGAGGCTTTAGAAAGATTCCGAGGAAGAAGATCCCGTTTCCCCCCGCCAGGCTCCGAGGAGCCCAGAAGGATATCCCGAAACGATTCCAGGACATCATCAATGAGTTCCCGCTGGTGATCAGATAGTGGGTAGCCCACAGGCCGGAGCACATTAAAGCCCGACATGCATTCTCACCCCAGGCCCACCTATACCTAAACCAAAACCCACCAATGGGGAATGTTCCTCCTGACGAAAATCAAGTAGTTTTCATAAAAGAACTCTAAAACAACGCAATTTTAACTTATCATTTCAACCTTTTTCTTTAAAAAATTATTTAAATACTTAAAAAAGAGGAATGAAATAATGCTTTTAACATTTGAAGGGATTCGTTTCTATTTCACCATTTGGCAACATCGGTTATAGCTAATAAAGGACAATGAATCTGTTACCTGTATGAGACAAACAAAGATAACATATTTCAGAGGCGTGCTGTTCTGTTTACTTATGTTCCGAGTTCCGAGACATTCTGTGACATATGACACCTAACCTATCTTCCTATAAATAAATAAATAATAAAACAACTGTTGTTTATGTGTTTATGTTTATGTTGTTTATATTTTGCCTTAATTGTTGATTTATAGAGATAATTTTCCTTTTTTTAAAGTAGAATATCTAGGTACGTATAAATTATTTCAACTTGATATAGGCGCTGTTGCCAATATGTGAATTAGAAACAAATCCATTCAAAAATTAAAACCCAACATTTGAAACATCAATTTGAATACTTTTCGAAGTGAATTGGAAAAACTCATGAATTAAACTCAACTTTATTTTGTTCAAACTTGCCTTTGCTGTAATAACCCAAATTGAGGAACATTCCCCCCGGGCATTTGTCGAACTTTATGATAGGACAACAACACACTTCATTGACTTCATTGATTGCAGTGGCGCATTTGCTTTTTCAGCTGCAGAAACATCCGGAAAAATCTGCAGCACCACATCATCTGAAGATCTTGAATATATTAAAACTAACCACTAACCCCCCAAAATTGTGGTTTCTGCGTTGCTAGCACTTCGACTGTTACCTTATCGCCTTCGATAATGTCTACACAACAAATAAAAAATCATCAAGATCCTTGCTTTACGTTCTCTATTACATACGTTCACATGCTCTGATTTGTTACAAAAACACAGTTTTAGATTTTAGTAGCTACAAACTCGGAACTTTGTTTTCAGCTGAACTATTTTGCTACTGATTACGAGTATAAAATTAGTTAAACTGCTAATAGATGGAGAATTTTCCGTTTTTATTTGGAATCATTCCAAGTGTTCTGGAGATATTTTGCCAATTTTTTTTTAATTTATGGATTCTCGTAGGATTCACTTGCATTGTGGCTATGCGATTAGCGACGTAAAGTTGTGTACATTAGCTTATTTTGAGTTATGATGTGTTGATGTTTTTCTCGAATATATACATTGCGATTCCTTTGTTGCAACGGTGAGTTGATATCAAGTGATTTATCTTTCTAATTTTATTTTAACAGAATATTAGATAGGTATATTCATATGTATAGAGTGAGAATCGTGTCGAATTTCCCCAACCCTGAAAATTTTTCTAATGAGCTGTGATAATAACCAATTAGCAGCCAATTACTCTCAGATACGTCTGGTTTGAAATAGTTGTAAATAGTTGTGTCAATTTCTTAATGAATCTGTTCACACAAAAAATATGATGAGTAACATGCCTACTAGAAGAGAAAATAGCAACACTTTATATATTTGTAAATGAAGCCTCAATGAAAATATATAAATTGTGGAAACTTTTTATATCGTACAAAATTTCAAAATATATCGCCCCCTTACGAACCGCAACCCTCAGAAGTAAGTCGAATTTTTTGCGAGTCGATGTTTAACGAGGTCTCACCATTTAATGTGTGATTCTTAGCACGGGTCGGACGATACGCAGTGAACATCAATCGTCCCACAGTTGGGATTGAAGGAACGTTCACATAACTGCTGTTTGAATGAGCAAAACCAACGAACCACTCACGTTGACCAACCGGCATCTGATATGTGATATGTAATATAAACGACATATATTATATAAGAAAGACATTATAGAATAGTGTGATGTGCTTATCCAACTGATGAAGCTGCTTCGTAACAAAAACCGAACATGGGATGGGAACACAGCATTTAATTATTCATCAGTTGGAGGCCCATTCTTCCAGGCTGAAGCATCATCAATTTGAGGCCTAAACAAAATGAGCGGATCAATATTTTCAGAGAGAGTTAGGCCTCACTTCGGGCACTAGTGAACTGAAAGAACTTCAGAGACTGGCGAAAGGGAACTGCAATATTCCGAAGATAGAAGACATGAGGTCACTCATGATGCATATAATCGTTTGAAACAGATTGGTCATAGGATTATCGAGCAGATTTCTATTGTTAATATTGAAACCTGGATCTAGGTATATGACACTTTATTTTTTCGTTAATATATAAGATATTGTAGTTGGGAGAATATAGTCTTTCTAGCATTAATTCTTCTACTTCTTTGCATCCTGATAATATTAGCTGAACTCAAGAAAATCTCGTGAGAACAACTGTGAGGCCACTCATTTAGCTTGTGCTAATTGCCTCAACCTGAACATCTCAGGGGAAATAAGTAAGTTTGCTTTTTACATAAAGAATTGATGACCTTGAACAATCGTCTCAGGTCAAGTGAGTTGAAGTAACATACTGGGGATTGCCAAACAGGTGATTTATCGTAGCTGTGTGATGGATGTGAAGATTTCTGATACCCAATGCAGAAACTACTTTGATACCATCAGAAAGTTGCTTCCAGCAAGTGCAGCATATGCCTAAGCCTTTTATCAAGGTCTTCGGTACTTTTATGATTTTAATGTGACACAGATGTAGCCTTAAACGCAGCAGGATATTGATTTTGAAGTGTCACATTTACTAAAATTACTATATCATAGTGATTTGAGCTTATCAGCCTGATAAAGCTTTCTTATACCCAAAGTTTATGGATATAGTTATTTCATAAGTACTTTGCCAACACTTTTACAACGACATGCCATTATCAAATCTACCTATCTGTGGGTTGTTGTTTTTTCTGACTCTCCTTTGTTCAATGCAGCTTTGGCAGATATTCGAATATGTTTAAAATAGTATTTTCATGATGGCTGTCTTGAATTACCACAGGTGATGTTTTTAATATAATTGCCAAGCTCGATTAATCTTCATTCCAAAACAAATACAATACTTTTCTTTTATACAGAATTAGTATTGTTTGCACATGGTAAGCCAGAAAATAATAGGAACAGATCAGTATATCTAAATATAATTGTAAATACGAGTATTGAAAATCTCTGGCGTGAAATGAATCTATGGACCAGAACTGTAACACTCTTCCCGGTGTGCGTTTCGTAAGTCAGTAAGTCTGGAAATTGTATAAGCCGAGAATCAACAAGGTCTCACTTTTTAAGGTACGATTCACGACACAGGTCGGTTGAAACGAACTGAGCGGCATTTGAGAAATCCACATACAGATCGAACCAACACCCACATATTAATACAACTTACTGTAAGATTTTCACTACAGAACATTTACAAAACCGAGATACAAAAGATTAACTATGCAATAACCTTAGATATAATATAGATAGTTGATTCTAGGCTGGATCCAACTATCTGTAAAGATAGGATGTAAAATTCTCATTTAGTGGGCTATAGTGGAAAGAAGTCAAAGAATTGTTGATTATCATAGGGAGAACAAATATGATTTATCTGGCAAAAGCAAATTTAGCAGAGGCTAATTATTCGAATCAATTTGATTGTTTATTAGATATTGACAATTGAACTCATGCCCCCTATGCATTACATAGATCAAACTGGAAGAACAATAAAACACATATAAAATGACAGAAACAATTTCCAGAATGGAAAAAAAATCAACGTACCTTCGCTTCTCAATTCCTTCCAGTGGGCTGAAAAGTCATTATTTTCAATAAAAAGTTAACTTTCTGGAAATTTTAGAAATAAATCAATTAAAACATTTCCAATATATAGTATACTGAATTTCATCAGTTCGGACTTCCATTGTCTAATATCATTCTGATATGATTTGAAGTCTCAGAAAGAACAAATGAAATTAAAATGAATAGCTAAACCATGAATATATATATATCTCTTTATTTAGTTGAAAAACTAATTCATTTACAATAGTAAATACATTGTCACATTATAAATAAAATAATATCAATATGAAAAAATACAAACATTCTGATTAAAAATACAAATGTATGAATAAAAAAGTTACATAAGAAAGTCATACATAGGAATATACTATATTTTCATTAACAAATCCTTCGATCGTCTTTTGAATATATTTATCGGACCACACTTTAATTTCTTGAGGTAGGTCATTAAAACAATATACTCCTTTATAAAATAAAGAATTATGTGTACTAAGCTTTCAATCTTTCTAATCAGTCTGCATCTATCTACAGTTTCAAATGCCCTTTGAAGGTCAAGAAATACTCACAAAGGACCATATTACTCTCCAAATTATCCACTATCTGTTCATATACAGCTCTTTCCAATACTTTAGCTGTAGCATTAATCATGTTTATTGGTCTCAATTGAATAGCTTGGTTTGTATTTGGTCCTTTTGTTATAGATATAATAGTAGATAATTTTATTTCAGTTGGTACTTCACCTTTCTCTAAAGAACTGTTGATAATGTTTAACAATGGATTGCAAATGGCACTGAAACACTTCTTCAGAAGTTCTACACAAATTTCATCAAGACTACTTTAATTTTTCAAAGAACCAACAATTCTTTCTAGATCTACCATATTGATAAGACTAAAGTTGGACAATTTATTATCAGTTATTCTTTCAGTTATAGGAAAACTATGAGAAAATTTGTTGTCAATTGGATCAGTTATATTTATTATACTTTTGATATAAAACGTGTTCAGGCCATTTGGTATCAAAGTTCTATAAGAAACTATTTCACCATTGCCCAAATCAATAGTTGTAATATTGTATTCTTTGTTATTATTCGGTATTAATGTCTTCAGTGTATTCCACATTTCAGTGGAATTTTTATTTGATTCAATCTTTGTCTCTAAATAGTTCTTTTTTTCCTGTCTAATTGTTTTCACCGCTATATTTCTTTTTTCTTTATACTTTTTCCTCTTATCCGTTGTTTTATTGATTGTATACTGTTTGTATACAAACAATACCTTTCTTTTGTAGCTTGCCTCACCTTCTCATTCCAAAATTCCTTATAATGTCGAAAGATCTTAACCGTTTTTTTTGGAGCGACTTCATTCAATGTAGACAATACATTGTCCACAAATTGTTCATATCTATGATTTAAATCCCTTTCTGTGTAGTTCCACTTCATAAATTATAATTTTGACTCAATCAGTTTATAATCAATGTTTTTCCCCTAGTTTCAATTTTGACTGTTTTTGTGTCTTTTGGTAGAATATTCGGTAACGGTAACGAATTGTAAACCATTCATAGTCAAAATGACAGTTAACTATTATATTAGTGAGCTTTGATAGATATTTTCAACAAGTATCAGCCAGTTCCATTTAATTTAAGTTGAGTAGGTATTTGAAACAGAATGAAAAGCTATAAGTAGAACGTTGATATTAAATAACAGACTCATCGTCATTTTTTTCAACAACATATAATTCAGATATAAAATAACATGGCATATCATTTATCGAACGACTATGACTATAAATATTTCTTCAGTTTTCCAACATAAATGTTTCGATATGTTATACATATAAACTCGAAGGAATTTAAAGAATTCTTTCGATATGTTATTATCTACACTTTTTTATTATAACTTCCAAATAGTTTTGCAATGACTAAGAATGGTAAAAGCCGCCCCATACTTATGCGATCTCACGCAATTTTCAAATCAGTCCACGATAATCTGTCGAAAATGTTGCATACCAAACCACAGCGCCGGCAATGAAATTAACATAAAGTCATGGAAATTATCAAATTATTAAAAAAGGGAAAGCCCAATTGGTTTCACTATTATCGATCCCACTTTACAATCATCCCCATGGAGATATAGTTTGGGCTGTTGTCACGAATAAAAATAGGTTCTGTCTACAGGCAGTGCAGTTGAGAAGATTTGTGAAAAAAGAAGGCAATGCGATGCAGTTGATATTAGATCCTTCCGGCAGTCAAAATGGAACTGGAAAATGATAACAGCGTTAAAGGTTGGTGCATAGGTTTTAGAATTATTCTGTAATTGAGTAATTTGAAGTAAAGGTGGAGACAATACATGTTTAAAGAGTTGTTAATAGGTTGGACCAGACTTAATTCGATCGACATTTTTTCATTACGTTTCTACAGTACTAGAGAAAGATTTAAAGCAACTTTTGTAGTCACAAATTTGAAAGTTAATTTCCCACTGTCAGTTTGATTGATGAACCTTCAACCTGAAAAATGTAAACTTCAAATGCATTGCATTTTTCTAATTTTAAATATATCAGAATTTGAGATTGTTAGTCAAATACTAACTGCTTCAACTGAAAAGTTTAAAAACCATTTTCAAAATTATATTGTAATTAACTTAATTATATTGAAGTGGCCGCATAGTAGCAAATTACACGTTTGGTATAAATCAAACAAGTCTCATGATTCTCGAGAAATTCAAATTATTTTTGACAGACATTTCAAAAGAGAAATTTCTGATCCTTCAGCAGCAGACCCTTCGTAAAATCAATCGAGTCATCAGATACAGACCGGTTTCAGAGTATTGCCCCTCATCAGTACAGGACAGACTTAACCAAGATAACAGACACAACATATTTACAAAAAAAAATCAGGTGTATGCAAGATAGGGGAATATGTAGCTGAATTTCAATATTTGAAAAAAGTAAAGGAAATCGTATCTATTAAAGATCACTTTTTCTATATAAGAACAAAGTAATGTATCTAGGAAGAATATCAACAAGTTCATTTACAGTGCATGTATGTAATGTCCCCTCCTCATTTTTTTTGAACGGATCAACTAAAAAAACGGAAATTTGGGATAATGAAATCAATGCATGAATACTTTATTTTGAAGTAGAATTGACAGATGAAGATTTCAAGATGGCGACTGGGCGCCATCTGGGAAAAAATTAAATGGAAAGGGGGGTCTTGTGCCACATCATTTTGAAGCTCCTCACAACCCTAGAATATGAATTCAATATCTTCACCTACTACAAAATGGCGAAACATTTAATAATTTCCCGAAGACAAACACATTAATATCGATATTTCTAGAAATATTCCTTTTTATATGCCATATGGCACTTCCAACAACCCGATAAGGTTTGTTAAGTTAATTTTTGTTTATAAAAACGACAAAAATGTCAGTACGACAAAGAATATCATTGTTCAGTTAGAATATTCTCATTTAGTTTTCGGTTTTACTAGTAGAAAGGTATCACGTCAACAATCTCTAAAATGGTCAATTCTCGTCCATTGAATTAAAAAAATTGAACCGATTTTTATTAACGGTGCGACGCGTAACTTCCACGAGACCGAAAGGATTTTCAATGAACGACTTCCGAATCGTCCTATCTGTAGAAAATATCTGAGGGAACTTGTATCCAAATTCACAACTACCGGTAGTGTACATAACAAAAAGTCCTCAGGTCATCCGTCCATTCCGAAAGAACAGCAAATGCAAAAAATTAGTGGGATGGTAGTAAGTCCTGAACAGTTTACTTATTCTGTCGCGAGTATTTGTGAGGTGTTTCCTTCTACGGTGTGGAGACTTTTGAAGAGGAATATGTATCATCCATACAAATAGTACACCAATTAACTGAAGATGACCCTGATCGAAGAACAAAATTCTGCAAAATCATGACGGAAACCATTGCAAGGCATCCTACCTATCTCCACAATATTTGTTTCAGTGACGAATGTACATTTTTTTCAAACGGCAATGTTCACAGACAAAATTGCCGTTATTGGAGTGACACCAAGCTTCACGTTTTCCGGGAAACACATATCCAATATCACAAAACACGAGCACTACAGGAAAATCTTTGAGGCGCTCTCAGATTAAATCCAATTTGAAAATCATTCTTAGTAAGTTTACTCCACATAAATGCAATTCTCCAAATGAAAGAGTTCTCAAACAGTGAATTTCGAGGTGTACTGAGTTGAACCTCAAAACGATGAGCAGCCACAGTCCATCGCGTATTTCTGAAATGTACCGCTTTTGGTGGAATCAAATGTGCCAAGTTCCCGTGAAAGTGTCTATAGAAAAGAAACAAATCCCCAACCTTTCTTCGATGTTCCAGGCTATTAAGGTTGCACGTGATGTTCGTGTTTCCAGTCAGGCGGATGGCTCTTTTCTGGATGGAATCCAGCAGCTTCAGGGTATGTTTGATGGCAGAGCTCCATATATGAGAACAATACTGCAAAGAAGGTCTGATCGGAGCTTTATGAAGCACCGAAAGTTGCTGAGGGTGTACAGTTTTCTGGTCCGAAACAGTGTTCCAAGCTTTTGGGAAGCAGCCTTTGCAATTCCAGCGACATGATTGTGCTAAGACATATTGGTGTCCGTTTTAACTCCCAACAAACTTATTGAAGCAGAAAACGGAATTGTCTGACCTGACATTATTATATCCGGGAGACATTTATCTTCTTGGAGACAAGTGTGCTGTCGTTAGCAAAGCAATATATTGGATTCTTGAATATCACAAGTTTATTAGTCATTTCTGACTACTGAATGAAAGTAATTTTTCTGGAAGAAATCAGAGTTCTGAATCGACTTGTCTAGGAATTTTCACTTTCCAAAATTTGAAAAAAGAAAAAATAAAACTGCAATGGAGAATTATATACAGTTGAAGACATAACAAACTTTCTAATTCACCCCAATAAACTACTGCGTAAATCCAAAGTATTTTTCACAATGAAAATTTACAACTTATTAGTAACTTGTCGTATTCGATAATTTTGCTCGTCCAAATCTAAGAGCTCATAAATTATACAGATATTTTTCTTAACGTTTTGGAGGCCTAAAATTTTCCCCCGTCTTCGAAATTGTAAAAAAAAATCAAATATGACTTGGAGTTTCTCCTCCCGATGATTCGCTTTACTTTAAGACTGACTATTTTCAGAGACAGAAACTCGCGTCAAAACACTTCAAGCTACGTTATTTCCACCACAGATAACAAGCACTAGTAGCTATTTTGCCAATTTCCTTGTGAAAAACCAGTTCGACGAAGACGATGAATCGAAATTTAAGATCAAAGAGTTACCTTCCAGAGAGTGGTTTCCCAACAACAAAGATGCTTCTTTCACTTTACAGCCTCCAAGATGGCCGACAGAATGCCAGGTGAGAAACGGTAATTTTTGCAGGTAGCTAGCTTTTCTTCGAACTCATGATCCTAGGAACTGATGGATGTTTGTTCTTTGTAGGTACTGGATAAGAGGGTACATCACATATACGACATACCGCCAACTTTCGAACCATACTATGTTCCTACCGGTAATGAAAGCCAACCTAAACCATCTGGCGAAGAAAGTGGAATTGTTGTCTTTCAATATTCACCAATAAGTGCTGTCAATTATGTAAGTTTTGCACTCACATACAAGGTACTAAGCTTGGAGGACGATTAGAAATAAATGCAATCAGGGGTTCTGGAATATTTTCCAAATGCAGCATTGCCAGTTATATGGATTTGTCAGTAAATTTCGTTTTCTCAAATGAAACACCGTATACAGTGTCATCTCCAAAGTATGCACCATATGGGAAACTTATTTATTAAGGGTTTTTCTTGATAAAAGTTTGTGCATCCCCTAAAACTTAACATGCACCAACAAAATACAGTAAAACACACGTAATATACGAGGAGCCCTCAAATATTTGATTTTGAGACAATAGTAAAGTACTCTTATTTTGAAAAATTTCGGGAAATGTTGTGTTATTTTTGCATTATTTTGGAGAGTTATTTTGGACAAGAAAATTTCCAGAAAATCAATGAGTTTGTTCCGAAATACCTATTTTATTTTGATGTTTCGTGATTTGATATTATTAAATATTGAGTTTTCGTTACAATACTGTATAATTTTGGGTAATTTTCGGTGTTAAGAAAAAATAAAAATAACTTTGTACCAAAAACTTTGAAAATTATTATACTCTTCGAAAAAATTGACCGTGGTTAACACCATAGTTGTGTAATTCGTAAAATTACAGGCTTTTAAAATAAACCGTCGTATACAGGGTGCTGTCTATTTATTGTTTTAGCAATTTTTTTGTAGTCCCTATTTAAAAAAAAGTGAAAAAATAAAACTTTACTTAGACGGCCATGACTTCAAATCTAGATGTATTCTCAATGCTGAACAACTTTTCTGAAAAACATTTTTCGAGATTTTTCAAAATAAGAGTACTTTACTATTGTCTCAGAATCAAATATTTGAAGGCTCCTCGTATATTACGTTTGTTTTACTGTATTTTGTTGGTGCATGTTTAGTTTCACGGGATGCACAATCTTTTATCAGGAATAACAGTTTGTCGAAAAATTCTTCATCAATAAGTTTCCCATATGGTGCATACTTTGGGGACTACACTGCATATTTCAGCATTTTTAAACACTACGTTGAATTCTGAACAACCAAACCGCTTGGAGAATAATCAATTTGCAATGTTTCTCAACAAAACATAATTTTTACACATTAAATATGTAGAGTACAATTCCATATTAGTAGGCATCAAATTCTCAGAAATATTATCGCATTAAAACAAAAACACTTTTGTCAATTTTGTGATTCTATATATTTTATAATAATTTTTTCTCATCCGTTTGGTAAAATTTCCGTACGCCACTGCATGAAATAGATTAAGGCAAAAATTTGTTATTTCTGAAAATATGGTCCCCCACTATTTTGGAATTATAGTATAGCACATATAACAGTTAGGCTGAAAAGTTCGTAGATTACCTCTTCATCGCCAGGCGTCAGATCAGGAGAATACGGTGGACGCGGAAGAAATTTGAAGCCCAATTCAGCCGTTTTTTGCGATATTGTCCTTCAAACGTTCCAATAACACTCACCTAGAGTAGAATTCAGTTCAGCTTTTACATTGGTTGAGCTATATTGTACCACGAAACGATGACCGATTTTTTCTATATTTTCATTGTTCAAATAATCAGTAAAGAAATAATTTTGCTTTTAAAAATCATAATTTACACTTTTAAATAGTTTGGCAAAAATCATTTTTCTAGACGTGATTCCGAATCGAATGAGCTATCGCTCATATTTTTAGGACCTTTATCTCTATTTCTCATGTTTTTGAACTTGTTGATTAGACTATTAGAGAAAAAAGTTTTCTCAAACAACGTTTACGTTTCAGGCACTCCGATCAATTAGGGGTTGTTTTCGATGTTCCTCGAACGCAACGGGAGAAACAACCCCCTCATAACGTTCCACCAGTTTCCCCTCTGACATAACTTCGCGCCGTCGTGACCAATGGCGTACCTCGTCGATCTTCATTCCGCCGCCGCAATTAGATGGGTCGTTGGCCACGTCGGGGACGCACCACCCCCGGGGGCAGACGCTTGCACACCGCAGATTGAAGACGGATTTAATGGAAGATGACGGCACGAATTCGAGGATTTTTTCCGAGAGCACCAGACTGGAGAGTTCTACGAGGGCGGTTCTAGAAGAAAACACAAAAATTTTGGAAAAAAATGCATTTATTTTTCAGCTTGCAGCTACATACACTTCTTCCGGCAACATTCATTAAGTTCGATATCGTTTTTATAGTAAAAACTGTCTTGCACTTCAAAATTTTATCAATTTTATTAAATTTAACGACAACATTTGCTATTCATGACTGCCAAAAAAATAATAAACAACGCAGCGTCTTCAAACTTGCAACATATGCTTTATAGATTGTGTAATTTTTAAAACAGTGATATTTTTTGAACAACTGCTGCCATCTCTAGGCCAGGCCGGGCATTTCTGGGGTTAATCTGGGCTACAGTAGTTGATAATGTACCGAAATGATGAGGGTTGAAAAATAAGTATCATTCAATTGAGAAAAGAATTTTTTGAGAGTTTCTACTTGTCCATAATTTTAAGAAAAATGTGGGAACTTTCCAAAGACAGTAATCAATGAAGGATAAGCACAATTACAAGGATGTCAATATTTGTTTATAACAAATTGTTAAACTAATAAACAATCAAATAATAGAAAAAAATGTCTTCCTAACTATTTGAAAGTGTAAATTATAAACATAGATTACTTCTTTATCGCTAGGCGCCAGATCTGGAGAATACGGTGGACGCGGAAGAAATTTGAAGCCCAATTCATGCAATTTTGTCATCGGGTTCATTAATTTGTGACACGATGCAATGTCGTGATGAAAGATCATTTTTATTTTCTCCAAATGGGGCCGTTTTTTGCGATATTGTCCTTCAAACGTTCCAATAACACTCACTTAGAGTAGAATCCAGTTCAGCTTTTATATTGGTTAAGCTATATTGTACCACAAAACGATGACCAATTTTCTCCATCTTCACAAATTGATGCTTACCAAACAAATACTAAACAACGCAGCGTCTTCAAATTCGAAACATATGTTTTATAGATTGTGTACTTTCTAATACAGTGATATTTTTCAAACAATTACCGCCATCTCTAGGTCCGGCTGGGTACTTCTGGGATCACCCTGGTATAATCATATTATGGAGTTAAAGCTGGATTTGAACTTCTTAGTCATTTCAGTGAAATGCTAAACTTCATAATGTTATCTCCTGTCAAATTACAATAAGATTCATCTTTTTTTATCAGATAAAACAATTTTTCTTTTCAGTTTAGTAGGTCTAGTGTAGGAGGCAGTAAATACCTCCTATCAGCAAATGTCTGCCCAGAAGAAGATACCCTAAAATTTGAATCAAGATTTGAGTCAGGAAATTTAGCTAGGGCCATTATGATAACGCCAAATTTTTACGAGTTACATCTGAGATCAGACCTTTATACAAATAGGCACATGCAATGGTTCTATTTCAAGGTCACCAATGTCAAGAAATCATTTTTGTACAGGTCAGTATGAAAAAAAAACATGTTTCCAAAAAAAATGGACTCAGTTCTGAAGAAGCCCAGCATGATAATTTTTCTAAGAAAAAATGTTTGAAACTTACAGTTCCGTTTGCAGGTTTTCCATTACCAACTGTTCCAAAGAAAACAGCCTTTATAATGAAGGAATGAGACCTTTGATGTATTCCACCAAAGACTCGCAGCTGCACTCTATAGGCTGGCGGAGGTGCGGACAAAACATAACCTATTTTTGTAATGACAATGTGTGAGTAAAGTTTTTTCAAGATCCAATCTAGATATAGAGAAACTTTTTCCAGGACTCCTGAAGACCCCGACCAGCAAATGACGTACACTTTTACTTTCACTGTCAAATTTCCTCATGACGATGACGAGATTTATTTTGCTCACTGCTATCCATATACTTACTCAGATCTTCAGGACTATCTATCAGAACTATCTTCGCATCCTGTCAAATCTACATACAGTACAGTTAGGCTTCTGTGTAAGAGCTTAGCTGGAAATAATGTTTTTTATGTGACAATCACCTCTCCAGTTGTTCAGGGAGAAACGAAGGTAAATGAAAAGATATTCTGTAACTGATTGACATACGAGTAGTTTAGCATATATCATTAAGTATGAAAGTTCATTCACAACACGTCGTAGTCGTGACTGAACTCATATCCTCCTGCTTAAAGATGTTTTGCGAATGTAGATTCGATTTTTATATTCAAGAAACTATTTCTATGCTCTTCAATGCTTTGGGAAAAAGTTCTCCCCGTTTGGCCAATATGAAGTTTTGGGCAAGAGCCACAATACTGATCTATCCAACACTGAAGGTTTGTCTTTATTGTTTTAAAAAGTTTGCTTGAATGAAAAGAAGAGTGATTAACACAAAAAATTCAACTTTGTCTTAGTGATTTGCAATTGAAGACTCTTGTTCAAAACTGTTTTCTACTATTCCAGATACTATCAAAGAAAATATTATTAATCAAAATTATAACGTTGTTAACAAAAGAGCATGTAAATATTGTAGCAAGTTATACATTAGACTACCAAAAGACTTTTGAAAAGAATGTCATCTCAAAGAAACATTTCTTTTCATCCACCGAAACAAAAGCACTTTTTTGAAATGGTTCATTTTAGAAGAAAATATATACGATGAATAAGGAGTCAACATATCAAAATTCAAGTGAAATTGACTTTATCAGTTCATTTTTGAAAAATAGAAAGTAACGTGTTGTGATAAAGGGTAGTCTGATAGTCTGATAATATGAGTTTATGTCACGCAGCCCCGCAGGGTTCAATTCTCGCCCCGCTACTCTTTATTATCTACACATCTGACTTCTCCTTAAGTTATTCAACATTCATACATATGCAGACGACACTAACTTGTACTACTCCGATAAAGTAAATCAGCTTATTGATCATGAAACATCGCTCAATAATGATATAAAAATCTTGTTCAGATTTCGCAGCAACACTGTCTAAACCTACCTTAATCCTAGTAAATCATATTTAATAATTTTTGGAAAAGTCAAAGATCGTGGAAGTACCATAGATAATATCGATTTGTATATTGATGGACATTCTGTGGAATTGACTGACAAAATAAAATGTTTAGGACTTCATATAGACTACAACCTCAGATTTGTTCATCAAGTCAATACTCTCATTCAAAGGTCGTACGGTACTCTGAAACTTCTGTATTCAAACAGGCACTATCTTAGTAGGTCTCTCAAAATTACCCTTTCAGACGTACTGATTTTATCTATGTTTAATTATTGCGATGTCGTCTATGGCCCTTGTATTGATTCCATAACTTCTGCAAGAATTCAGAAAGTACAGAACGCTTGCATTAGACTAATATTCAGCTTAAATTACAGAGATCATATGACCACTTCCATAAATCAACTTAATTGGTTAAAAATGCAAAACAGAAGAGCATTGCATTTCGCTTGTTTCATTCACAAACTGATAAAAACACAACAACCCACTTATTTGGTAAATAAACTCCTTCCCAGACATCAGATACACTCAATATACCTTAGATTTAACAATAATTTTGAAATTCCGAATCATAACAGCACTATCTATGAACGATCCTTCACGTATCATGCTGTAACAATGTATAATTCATTCAGTGAATCTTTGAAAAATTCATCATGACCGCTATTCAAAAGTTAACTTAAAACTGAATTGCTCAGCCAACATTGATCCAAACATAAACATTTGAATTTAATCTTACTATTGTGCTGAAGTTGCCATTTATTTTTTGTAATGTTTCTTTTTTTTTCAATCGTGGTTGAGTGGAAGAATAGCGCTTTGCTATACTCCGCCACGTAAAATAAAGACCATTTATTATTATTATTACATATTTGTTCAAATTAGAAAATTAAATTATTGGTAAAAGATTGTTATGCCGATTCAACGACAAAATATCCATATACTTTTATCAGTCATCTCATGATTTTGTCAAATCATGTGTCTCTTCATTATATTTATTTTCAATTGATTATAATTCATATTGTTCCTTCCTTTTATTCAAATTTTTTCAATTGACCATTCACTGCTAACTCAAAACTTCAAAAATTATATAATAGTTTACAATCAAGATCTAGTCAAATAAGTTCTTTTTTTTTACAACTGAAATGAAACTGTCAGTTTTCCCCCGTTAGCCTCATCGTCATTCTATTTAGGAAATGAATAATCATTAACTCGTGAAAAAAATCAATGAAATATTCAAATAAATGCTGCTACTTCATACTGATTTCTTGGGTAACTTTCTGATAAATCCTCATATAAAAAATAAATTTGAACAATGATAAACATTCATATCTAAGAATGTACGTGTCATTTGACACGATCGGAACTATTTCGGAAGTCTTTCAGTGAAGTGGGCATTTGTTATAATTGTGGATACTGCAATAAACAATTTATGAAATACTTGGTTTCAAGCACGTTTATGTTGTCCCACTATTTACGCGTGTATATCATCTGATATTGTGCAATTTCTGATATAAACATTATGTTATCAAATGGATGTAACTGCGGTGACACAAAATAAAAAACTATACAGGGAGGACAATACATTTTTTTTTGATTGGTTAATTTTAATTTTTCATCATGCACTACATTCCTTTAAAAACTCTGAGAGTGGTTCCTGTGTAAAAGTTGTGATTTTTGTTGGAAATATATTAATTTGGAAAAACCGTCTTCAGAAGTTCATTTTCCGAACGAAAGAGTTCGGGGTATTTTAAGTTGAGCATCGAAACGATGGAGAGCTATAGCTTGTCGCTTTTCTGATATATACTGCTCTCGGTGAAATGAAGTGGGGTAAGTTGGACGAACACTTCTTTAGATACCATCTATATAAAAGAGAGACAAGTCTCCAACTTCCCTTCTACATTCCATATCAAGGTTGCTTGTGGTATTTGGGTCCAAAATCATGAAACATATTGTAGTCCAATTGCTAGGAGAAGTGCATGAATTGTGAACTGTGACATTAGTTCGTCCGGTTCTGATACTTCCTTGGATAAATTTTTGGGGCAGAAACTTCTACATGGTTAGGTTGAGTCCAAAGTGAGTGGGTCTATTCGACCCTCCACCGCGACCCGCAAGGATTTATTGTGACTCACACATATTTACACTCGACCAAATAAACCCAGCTTCTTAACTAAGCCGATTAGTTTGTATAGTGAGTGGTCTTTCAGGTCAGATGGTAAGAGTACGGCTCTGCCGAAATCTAAAAACCTGATTCGGTCCCCAGCGGGTCAGGCACAAAGTATGTGCTCTGCTGTTTCATCATTTTCCAAACAGAGGCGACACACACTGTCTTACGACAGTTTGAGTCTCTGCATATAATGATTCAGCCAACAATGACCTGTAAGAAGACCTGTTAGACATGGTTAGTTCATCCCTTTTGTAGTCCAACAACTGTTTGGTATCAAGCTTCGAAGGGTGAGTTTGGAGTGAGCCAATCCTGGAAGATTCGGCCAGAAGTCTATAAATCTTCTTGCCATACAGGTATTCAATCTTTGTTTGGCAAAGCCTAAAGCGATGCCAATGACAGACTTTGGTCCGATGAAGCTACTTGCGGCACTCACTTTTGCAAGGGAGTCAGCAGCCTCATTGCCTTCTAGGCTAGTATGGCCAGGAATCCAGACCAGAGACAATCTGTTGAGTCTTCCTATCGAGGAGATAGTCTAATCAACAAGTTCAAAAACATGAAAAATAGAGATAAAGGTCCTAAAAATATGAGCGATAGCTGATTCGATTTGGAATCACCTCTAGAAAAATGTTTTTGAAGGATTTTGGTGCAGGTGGAAAATTGCAATTGTTATTAACAAAATAAGATTAAAAAAAATGGTATTTAGTTTTTCGTTGATAACTCAAAAAATATCAATATAAGCTCCCCAAAGAGGAGGAAATTTCCAATAAAAAAGTCCCAACTCCCGAAACCCTATCTCCATTATTTATAATTTTAATTTGACTTTGAAAATAGGGTTGTTACGGCATGCGCGCGCTGCCGCTAAAGAGAGTTTATCAAAAGAAATAATTTTTTTATAACATAAAATGTCATTTTGAAAATTTGAAAAAAATCCAGTATCTTCTCAACACATGAATGAATCGAGTCCCGTAGAAAAAAAGTTGTATCACCATTTTTCAAAAATTTATTCAATTGTTAACTAACAAATTTTTTCCCAATCACCGTTGGCATAAATAATGGAATAAAAGGTATAAATAATACTCCATACGATCTTGCGATAAAAGTTCATAAAAATTTATTGATTTGTTAATTATGATTTTTTATAACTATTGCAAAATGAAATATCTTAAAATTACTGATAATTTTTTTTTTCAATTGATATTTAGCTATGTCTGTTTTCACATTAAACAATGACAGTTATTAACATAATATATGAATTTTTCACGTAATTTGTTTATTAAATTGTCAATGATTCCTTAAATAAGTATATGAAAGACAGATATTCTATAATTAATTTGTCATTGTTCAACGTTACTTTATAATTTTTATTAACAAATTCTGTCCTGGGTTTGAAAGTATATAAAATTTCCAGAAGAAACGTGCAATTGTGATATCCGCCCGAGTGCATCCAGGTGAAACTCCTTCATCCTGGACGATGAAAGGCATTCTCGATTTCCTAACCAGCGACTGTGGACCTGCCAAAGAATTACGGGACAACTTCATTTTCAAACTAGTGCCAATGTTGAATCCGGATGGCGTTATTGTGGGCAACAACCGTTGCTCTTTGTCCGCCAAAGATTTGAACAGACAATACAGGACAGTGATTAGAGATGCCTACCCTTCCATATGGTATACCAAGCTAATGGTTAGAAGGTTTGGCATAGTTATTTTATGTCAAAAGTGATAGTAGTATTTAACACACACGGTTTCAATGAAAACATTTTTCCGATAACAAAACGAAAGTACTGTCTCTAACAGAGTTAACACTAACAGAGTTAACATCATCAGGAGATAGCTCAATCGGAATGAAATTGTAGTTGTACCTTGATACTAAACTAATTAACAAAACGCGGAGACAGTGCTTCAGTTCTGGTGTGGAAAACTTGTTTTCCTCAGATTCACTTCACGTCAGAGTTTCTATCAAGTACAAAGTGTTGTAGAGTACAGACAAACAACACAGATATTTGAAATGTCACTCTGAATCATTTAATGAATTCTCTATTTCTTTCATGAAATGAAAAAAAATATATGTTATGGAATTGATTAATACCTGGTGAAAATCCATAACATATTCAATTAAAAGTTTATTGTGAGATTTTTACTGAACAGTTTACAAAACCATAACACGTGTTTCACTACACAATAGCTTCCTCAGGCGTGCTCATACATATTACATTCTACCTAATTGGTGCTTTTTTTGAAATTACAATTTGAATCATATGACCTTCTATCTACTTAATGACTAATAAATAATAAATATCAGCTGAGTTCTCCACTAACCACCAATTACATTTTTCGTTCCAAATATTTCCAAGCAATTCAAAAGATTGATATGCAAACCTTTCTCTCCCAAGTGTGACACGTCATAGTCGTGATTGTCTTTGCTGAAAAATGGTTTGCCAATAAGGAATCGGTCTTTTCATTCAAAAAACTACTGATATGTTTTTTGGTGGTCCTTAATCCTACCACCGAAGGACCTCTTTGTGGTTCCTATGTGTTCTCTACCACATGAACATAGTATGCGATATACCTCCACAGCTGAGAGAGGGCCCCTGCTAACTTTGACCTATCGCAGAGAATCCTCTATATTTCTTGTTAGTTCATATTCGCTCCAGAAATGAAGAGTAGGTAGGCTCTTCCAATCGTTGATTGGTCTTCTGAGTAAACTTTCAAAATATTCGCCAACAATCCCTTATCTTCTTTGTTAGTTGGAAAACTGTTTTAATATTGTGTTTACCCTAAATCTTCTTATTCGGTCCAATTCGCTTCAGGAATGAAGGGTAGGTAGGCTCCTCCAATCGTTGATTGGTCTTCTGAGTAAAGATTTAAAATAATTGCAGATAATTCCTTATCTTCCTTGTTGGTTGGAAAACGGTTTCAATGTTGTGTTTACCCAGAATCTTCCTAATTGGTCCTATTCGCTCCAGGAATGAAGAGTAGGTTGGCTCTTCCAATCATTGATTGGTCTTCTGAGTAAACTTCCAAAATATTCGCAAATAATCTCTCATCTTCCTCATTACTGGAGTTTTTCCCAACACCAAACCGTTATTTTAACACCTCGGTACGTGATCGATCACCAAGTGATCTCTTGGTGATCGAAACATATGTCGAGTTGTTAAAATAACGGTTTAGTGTTGAGAAAAAACTTCAGTAATATTCATTACTTCACCAAAGGTTCCAAACAGTGCATCACAAGTACCTTATTGTTTTGATGTTGTTGTGATTACCCAGAATCTTCCTGTTTGGTCTTTTACTCCAGGAATGAAGGGTAGGTAGGCTCGTTGATTGTTCTTCTGAGTTTTGGTGTTCGAAAGCTCTTGGTCTCAAGGCCTTATGAATTTCAGAGATCGCATATACTTTCGATAGAAAGGTCTATTTGAAGTGACTCAATTCTTGATCCAGGTATTCTGGTTCGCAGATCCTGTGGGATCTTTCTGCAAGTGTCTACTGACTCCTTGTTGTTGACGGGGGTGACAATTGAAAAGAGGTATTTTCAATAAAAGCACCTTTGAAGCAGCTAGATATTTCAGGAAGAAATTCCGCATCACAGGGAAAAATCTGATACAATATGAAAAAGGACATGGAGCCTGTTAGGGGATAGTTTTCTGAAACTAGCATGATGTCAATGATGTTCTCATGAGGGCATTCCAACGTCACTCCAAACTGACTTTACTTCATTTCTGCAATTTCTCTCACACAAAAATATCGAGTGTTCACTTAGTTCTGGGGTATACTACAAGAAATGGTATGTGGTAGTATGCATAGTGTAACTGCGATGATTTCAAATATGATCTCAGAAGGGCATTATGAAGTCTTTCAATACCGCTTCTGATGAATTTTTCTAGCCTTACAAAAAAACAGAGATATTGCTTGTTAACTAAATTCTGGGAGACTGTTTGTGTTGTCATGTGTTTTAGATTATAACAAGGCCTTTACCACTCTCGATCACGATATGTTGTTTCATTTAACTGTGGCGATATATTGTTTGACAAACTAGTCTTCTTGGTTCTTCTCGGGTAGCATAGTGTCACTCTGAGGAAATAATCTGAGAAATCCTACTAAAAGAGTTGTTGTGGATTGAGTTATATCGGATGTATTACCGGTATCGAAGGGGGTGCTACCAGGATCTATCTTTGGGCTCCTGATTTTCAGCATGTATATCTGTGATATATGAATCACTATGAATCACTTCTACATCTACATAGCCATATATAAATAATGATCTTCAATGCATCTTTAACATTTCTACAGCCATATTCTCAAGCTCACTTCTAAGAATTCTGCAATAATACTATTTGAACCTAAGAAGAATAAACCATTGAAATGAAATATTTCCATTCGTGACCGAGGTGAAAAATTTAGGGTTTTGGTTTGATCCTGAACTTCGATTCACTGCACATGTCAGCTATTTGAATCAAACTGCAGACCGTGGTCTGCAGGTCGCTTCTAAGGACAGGTAGCCAGATCTTATTGATGTTCATTGCCTCTTATATTCAATTGAAATTATCGTTGTTTTTGAATTTATATTGCCTTGATATATACTCAGACAGTAATTTTGAGTTTTATCGATTATTACTGTATCTTCGAATTAATTCGAATGAGTAATGTGAGTCAGAGCATTATAATTTTGCACTTGTGAAAAAATTCTTTCACTATGGTTATTTCTAATATCTATATTTCTATAGGAATATTAATTTCCTTATTGAACTTTCATTTGAATGTAGTGAATCTTGAAGGTCTAAAAATTGTTAGCTGATTTAAAATTGAGAAATGAAATATTGAAAAAAAAAAAAACACAAAGGCCAAAATAATGAAACCAGTATCCAAAGACAAAGCATTTCTGATGCAACATCAGGCAGCACTGTTTCGACCCGTCATAGTGGTGCTAGTATGAACGAATGCTTCGCTACCCTCAACTGTTCTCAAAGAACAAGACCGAGTAAGTGAAAACAATGATATTTTCCTGTATGCTATCTGTATTCAAAATCTGAATATCAAAGAAAAACGAGGCTCCCTAAGACGGTCCGTTGTAACGGTAACGATGTAATCGTTTTACTCACTAAGGAGTGTTCTTCACATTAGGAACAGTTGAGATTAATAAAGCATTCCTGGTTTATTCTAGAATCACTGATGATATATAGGCGGGGTCGAAACAGTGCTGTCTGGTATTAAATCACGAATGTTTTGTTTTTTATCTGTGGTTCCATCTAGTTACAGACGAATCTTGTTCGTCTTTAGTACGACCAAAATATTCAGATGAGTTATGAAAAGAAAATGAGATCATAAACTGGCAGAGATGTGAAGAATGCAATTTGAGAAAAAAATATGTTTGAATTATGATGATTAGTGAAATATCTTGCGTATTAGACAGACATTTTTCTTTATGAAAAACTCAGAAAAGAAATATAGACGAATATTATTTTAAATATTTTTAGACTATTAGAAGAATGTGGAGTAGCCCTTTATTGTGATCTCCATGCACACTCCAGAAAACACAATATCTTCATCTATGGTTGTGAAAACAGGAGAGGAGCTGAGAGAAGGCTTCAGGAACAAGTGTTTCCTTTAATGTTGCACAAAAATACTGCAGATAAGGTAAATATACAATGTATGGATGCATGTATATCAGCATGTTACCGTGTTAGGAATCACACGTTAAAAGGTAAGACCTCGTTAGTTCTTAGCTCGTATAAGTTTTTCAACTTCTGAGAGTTGTCGTTCGTAAGGGGGCGACAGCTGATTAACGGAAAAACAAATTTTGAATAGAACAGATGTATATCAGCATTCAACTTCTAAAACGAAACTTGTCATTAATGAATGCAACGTATTTTCTTCAATATCCAGTAACATCCACATTTACAGGGTGTGGTTGAACATACGCTGTCTGTTCAAAAAATAAAGCGAATTTTCAGTTCAAATTATCATACCCATTGAAAATTTACATTTATGTGAAGGCATGACATTTGTTAAACCAAAAAATCCTATACATGTTATATTCGGTAGGTCTGAGAATAGGTTGTAATCTATTTTCCATATTATTATTATTATCATTATTATTATTATCAAAAGACAAGGGTGCTCCACCCCAAACATTTTTTTAATTGAATAGAACTGGCCGATACTTGATGAAAATCCATATTAAAACTAATTAATACAGTTTACTGTATGATTTTCACAAAAACCACGGCACGTGTTTCGTTATACAATAGCTTTCTCAAGCGCTTGAAAGCGCTATACAAGCGCTTGTATAGCGAAACACGTGTCGCGGTTTTTGTAAAACCCTTTATAGTGAAAATCATAGAATAAACTGTATTCATCAGTTTTTTATTTGTTTTCTATTTTTTTCTTTGTTTTTTTACGATGTGGCATTGAAAATACATATAACACACAAATTTCTTTCTTCTACCACCAACCTCTATTTTTTAAAACTCATTTTAGTAATTAAATGATTTTTAACCCTGATCATAGATTAGTTATTCCCGCCAGGGGTCTACCGGTGTTACTTCTCACTCAGTTAACAGCACGGAGTAGGAATGAGAAAGAAGTCGGTCTCCTGTCTCTCCTTCCACTAACTACACAATTTCCGGCCACTATTATTTTTTATACACCGAGCGTATATACAGTTTACGATGCCACCGAAGCTGTGTATTATTCAACAGAGTTTTTGAACTTATTATATTTGCCAGGCATGCCACCGCTTAATTTACAACTGAAGGTTGGATAATCCACCACGGCTGTGCAACAGCACGCGATTACTCATTGATAAAATCAATAAAAAACCTTGTCGAAGCCAGCATTTTGAATAGCGAGCTACGAGGTGAAAATATATCAATATCACGAATCTCTATTATACCTACAGATGTGCCAATTGAGTCCCAATAAGTATTAAAGCTAAACAATGTCTGTTGGTGGCTTGCATTTTTACACATCATGTTTTTCACACGGACAATACGTGGCATGCTCTCGAGTGGGACCATCCCTTTTGTTTGTGTAACTTGAACATGGACTAACGAAAAATACTGTACACACTTTAGTATTGAGGGATGAATATTAGTTGTAAATGTTATTTTTCTGACACACACAATGAGTTAGTTATTATTTTGTACCCTAGAAATAATTTATGTGGCAAAACAACGTTTGTCGGGTCAGCTAGTACGAGTATTACATATCATTTTTGATTTTCAGTTCTCTTTTGAGAGTTGCAAATTCAGAATCCAGAAAGCGAAGGAAGGAACAGGCAGGGTTGTGATGTGGATGATGGGCATAGCCAATAGCTACACCATGGAAGCTTCCTTTGCCGGTTCCACTCTTGGTAACAGAGCCGATACCCATTTTTCTACTCAAGACTACGAACAGATGGGTCGATCTTTCTGTCAAACTCTCTTAGACTTTTATGATGATGATCCCAAAAAGGTATGGTGCTGTAGAGGACGCATGTTTGTATGCAGATATAAATCACTATTTGTGTGTTTATTTGCTGTTTTTGTTATGATTTCAATCCATTTTCTGTATTTGATGCAATAAAATCTTTTATTCAAATCGGGTTTTATTTTTAGGAGAAACTGAGAATGAAAATTGTCGAGAGGCTGGTAAAAGAGGGGTCAAACGCAGATGAACCCATGAATATTCGTCTCAGTGACTATTCAAGGTACGTTAATTTATTACAAAATATAAGTGAAAAACCGTCTTGTGAATATTTTTCCCAAGTTACCAGAAAATAGATGTTGAATAGAAAATATGAATGTATTCCGTTCCTTTCTGTTTATGGTTTCCTTTTAAAGATTATATTATAACAAAACCCACCGTTCCACAATGTGCTTAGAAAGTTTCTCTAAATTTCCTTTCTCATTCATATGTATCGTTGCTAGTTTGGTATCTCAACAATTCAAAGGTTTTTCTGAACATATCCCTCCCGAGTGAAACATAAACTTGGATACGAATAACATTTGGGTGTGATGAAGTTTAAACCAAATCATCTAAAGAACTATTCGTTCAGGCCAGTATTCCCTTACCTACACAGTAGGTATAATCCAACGTCCTTCGTGATATTAGCCAGGGGGTTAGTTGTTTTCTGATAGGTGTCGGTCCACTGTGCCTACTGTGTAGGTAAAGAAAGACTCGCCTGAACGAATTGTCCCCCCATGCCCTCTCCCGGGTTGAGTGCCTTGGAGTAAAAACTTCGCCCCACAAAATACATTTTGTGAGGAACACTTAATACACCATTTTTACCTACTCCCGCTCCTCCTGGAACGGTCCTCAATCCTACTGATGGGCAGTTCAGCAAGATTGACATCTGACCGTCTTTTGGTCGAAAGTCAGCCTCTAGGTGCTTTTAGTTTCTGATCTGTTGAATTGATTTATCATGACTTTCCTAACTTAATTATTGCATGAGGTCCTCAAAAACTAACCGGAGACGAGTGTCTTTTCAATCGCGAACGAGTTTTGGTTCTCAGTGAGTCTGGAAAAGAAGTTATTTGAACTGGTTGAGAAATTTTCATACTTACCGGAGCTGCCTGACAGCGACTCTCGGGGATGGTCTTTGGTTCTGCTTCGTTGGCCTCCTGTGTTTGTCCCTCTCTAGGAATCTGGGATCATCCCTGTTTAGTGCGTTATGTGAGTCTCAAGGCGCTGGGTTGTCGTGCGCTCGAATTCTGTGCCAACTTGTTTAAGTTGTTCTCCGGCTTGGGTACGTCTGCTATGTATACCGAGAAGAGGTGTGGACTGCACTTTGTGGGACCCCTGCTTCCAGTAATTGCATCGTTGAGAGTTCTTGTCCTACTCTGCAGCGGCATCGCCTGTCAGCTAGAAAATACTCAATTAATGTTACCACTGGTTTCGTGTAGCTGAAGTTGATCATTTTGACCAGAAGTTCATCATGTCACACTCTGTCAAACGCCTTGGAGACGTCTAAGAAAATCGTCCCGGTGTTTTATCCTTTGCCGAGGTTGAAGCCTTACGTGGCGAAGTCTACTACCCTCATGACTTGCAACTCCATCAAGTGCTCTGATCTGAAACCGAACTGTCCCTTTGGATGATTTGATTCATAGGCAGTCTTCAAATATGCCCACTTACTATAGGTGAAATTTATTTTCTTATACGAGGATATGCGGTTGGTTAGTACCTCGTCTACAGGCAGAGGGAGCGATGACAGATATGTTGCTTGTTATTCGCTTCAGCTTTGTTCGGTGTATGATACTCTGAAAGAATTTGATTTTGAATTATGTGAAATCATCGACTTGGTGTTGATGTTCGACAGTACTTTACACTGACGAGAGACCAAATAGCCCGAAACCGGTCTGCAAGTGTGTCCGTTCCAATAATGGAACATTGATTCCGTTAGTTGTATCGCCAAAAGCATATGCAGGAATTTCTTTCGCGGGGAGTCCTGTACTGGCACATGTCGGATCCAACGCCCTTCTTGGTATTAGCCAGGGGAGTAGTTGTTTTCTGATAGGTGTCAGTCCATGTGTCAGTCCGGGGAAGACTAGCCTGAACGAATTGTTCCTTTGGATGATTTCATTTATAGCCAGTCTTCAAGTATACCCACTTATTGATGTTGAAGTTTCGATTTTCTGTTTTATAAAGAACCACGTGTTTTTGGTTTTAGTTGGGCAAATTCAGACTTGTAAAATTCTCAGACAATGAATTTTTCACCACATCATGGCAAAGCTAAATGAAAGGGAAGGGATTTTGCGGTATATGCGTTATTATTATCTAGAGTATAATTGATATGTAGTTTGAGAGTTATGCACATTGACGAAAATAGTTTTTAAAGAGTTACAGAAGATCAATCAAACGAATTCAATTATATTTTCTGAGCAAACTTTTTTGTTATATATCATTTTCGAAATACAGAATATTGAAATTCTAAAATTGATATAGATTTATCTCCAGAAGTAGGTCAAATTTCTTTATATTAAAAAATTATCTGTTTAAAAAAAATCTGTTTAAAATCTGTTTTTCCGTTAATCAGCTGTTGCCCCCATACGAACGACAACTCTCAGAAGTTGAGAAACTTGTGCGAGCTAAGGACTAACGAGGTCTTACCTTTTAACGTGTGATTCCTAACACGTTAAGAGACGATTTTTTTCTTTAGGGTCGTTTGGCTAAAATGAACCTTTCTAATAATGATTTCCAAATTTATTAGAGATATTAGAGCAACAGTGAACAAGTAAAATAGGTACGATAATCATAAAGTTTATAGTACTCAGTTGTAATTCGTAATTTTCGAATGAAATTATTTTATTTGACTATCAATTATTCATTCATTGAATAGCCCATGTATAGACATTGGCGGTAACATTGGTGTAAATCGCGATAGTCCGTAACACTGATGTTCAACCATAGCAACTCAACTGTCAAACTGATTTTAATAAATGGAGTATCAGTCTGTTCAGAAAAAGATCAAAATGAAAAGTTGTGACCTGAAGAAAACTAAAAAACTGAATAGTGAGACTTTGAAGTGTCATGGTGTCGCTTGTGACGTCATGTTCGAGTAAACTACATGTTAACACTAGAAGCCCTTCTATGAATATGTTGATAACTACTATTGAATGTGATTTGAAAAGTGTATCGGTGGTGTGCCGTCCTCCAGTGTTAGGTTGGGTCAGGTTCAAAGTGAGAAAGTCTATTCGACCCTCCACCGCAACCCGCAAGAGTTTATTGTGGCTCACACCTATTCACACTCGACCAAATGTAACCAGCTTCTTAACGAAGCCGATTAGTTTGTATGGTGAGTGGTCTTTCACGTCAGATGGTAATAGTACGGCTCTGCCGAACTCTAAAAACCTGATTCGATCCCCAGCGGGGCAGGCACAAACTATGTGCTCTGCTGTTTCATCATTTACCAAGCAGAGGAGACGCACACTGTCTTCCGACAGTTCGAATCTCTGCATATGATGATTCGAATGAAAGTGACCTGTAAGAAAGCCTGTTAGACATCGTAGTTCATCCCTACTGTAGTCCAACAACTGCTTGGTATCAAACTTCGAAGGGTGAATAAACGGTTTGGAATGAGCCAATCCTGGAAGATTCTGGTCCTCCGGTGTAATACGACATCAATAAAAACTCCAAACAAGTTATTTGTGTTCGTCCGGTTCAAAAACAATACCAAATAAATAGTTTAAACTTGAAAGACGAGATTTAACGGGAATATTACCCAGAACTCGGTTTTATTTTTGTGAAAATCACTTCGACGTAAGTATTCACCTAAATTTGTAGATTATAAACCAGTATTATCTTGGTCGAGGATTGAACTGTTCTGAGGTTAGGTTTCATCTCTCGTTTCTTCCCCTCTTGATATATTACCTTTTAGTGTACATATATTTCCTTCGCATTTTAACTGTAGGTATGTAACTTATTACATTGTCACCATAAGATACCCTGGAGTATCTGAAATAAATGAATTAATGTGTAAGTGGGTGGTAAGTACATTGTTTTAGAAATGTCATTTCAGGAGCATAACCTCTAATATTAAAGTACAAGTATTTTTCAAATGCTCTGGACTTATACAAAAGTCCGTGTTTGATGTAGAAACTCTCCCAGCATCAACACGTCGATTCTAGACACAGTACTGCTGTTTGCCTTTGTAAATCCTGGTTCCATGACTCAGGTTATGTCACTTTCAATTTAACAAACACAACAAAAGAAAACAGTCACAGTAAACAATATCAGGTCATAAAGAAAATCAGCGTTGAGCATTACTATTGTATACAGAAGATGTCATATTCGGTTGTTTACTCTAACGTGACGTAATTCGCTTTGATTGGCGTTGAAAATATCGTGGCGGCTTGCCGTACTTTGTAGTTTTATTTTATCAATATATTATCAATCTCGATCACAATCCTTGGGTTTTGTAATTCATTAGGAGGGTTTCATTAAATAAAAATTATTTTTGTGAATTTTACTCACTGTCATCATGTCTATTGTGTGCAAAGAAAACGATAACAGCATCTTACTTTTTTTTACTAATTAGTTTATTTCATTTATCCGTAGCTGAAGTACAATCTTTCAAACTCTTTTTCTCAAATCAGTGAACGGTTATTAAGTTTCAAATACTCACACACAAAGTCAGTGTCATTGTTATCCTTGAAAAGTATTTTCAAAGTTCATGACCATGATTTGAATCAAACTTTCTGTGTACAAACTAATTTTACAAAACATGGTATGACTTCCAAACATTATACTTGTTACAGTGATGATGGAGATACATCCAGCAGCAGCGATGAGGTGGGACGTGAAGAAGAAGAAGAATACGTCCAAATAACTGCCCCACCACCCTCACCGGCAGCGGTGAAGAAGAAATCCAAGAAATCTTCTTCCGCAATAACGAAGGTGGCTTCAAAAAGTCCGACTGTTCCGAGAAAACCGTTGCCAGTAAATAACACAAATATTAATAAAAATTAAAAACGTATTTCTTTCGAGAATGCACAAATAGTGTAGAGTAGTGTGGTGTTTTTGTGTTGATTCGTTCTGAGTTTAGATATAATTACACTACTGTTTTCTCTCATCTACGGCACAAGCATGCATCTAGGAGTTCAAGGTAAGAAGGATAGTGTAACATGCAGCTGAAGTTTGGATGGAAAACGAGCCTGTCTGATTATTTATTGTATTTGTTATTGCACTTATGCGACCATCTGAATTCTGTCACAGAAACGGGGCGAGTCAGTATAGAACTGGATAATGAAATGACCCTGTGAATCTAATTATTAGTCGAATATAATAATATCTTTCATGAAGTTTGTACGTTTTATGGGAAAGAAATAAATAGATATCCCTTCGACCCCCCTTGCCCTTGAAAGAAATAGGGGGGTAGTTGCTGACCGCAGAGAGATAAAGTTTCGGGTATGATTTCTATATCAGAATTAGTCCCCCTAGAAATAAATATTGACGTGTTCTTTGAAATTTTAGATTACACGTCCGTTTCTGACTTACAGGGGGGGTCAAGTGTCTTTCAAAAAGGTTTAAAGGTTTTAATTTTGATGAATTATATTCCATAATGAAATTCAAGACGAAGTTTCTGCATAATACCTAGATTATCAATGAAAACCAGTTCGTACATCCGTACACATTACGAATTTATTATTTTATTGACAATTTCTGTTGTAGATATGCAAAGCTACCTTGAAACTTTCTTTATCAGACAAAGACAGTTCCGACTCTAGCTCATCAGATAGTGAATCGGAAGTGGAAAAAGTTAAAGAGAAAGTTCGGATTTTGCGGAGACGAAGGAAGAAAAAGTTATCTAAGAAGAAAAAGGTACAGCTTGGGAAATTCAACAAATTTAATTTTAAATTATACATTACTATGATATTAATTTTTGTATGTTGAAAGAGTTACTCTTTCGAAAAATATCTGCATGAAGTGAGTTTTGTTTTCGAATTCAATTCATTTAATTTCTTTCATTTATTTTATTATTTTAAATTTAAGTTTACATTTTCAGTTTGTTTTATTATTTATCTTCAGAAAAGGAGTGAAAGCTGGGACCAGTTTGATCAAATTCTTGTAATAGAAATTCAGGTAAACTGTTTTAAACTGTTTTTATTGTATACACATTATACACATGTGCTTCATTGCGAAGGCGCTGAAGGGCCAAACATCATTTTCATTTTATTATCAACTATCCAAATTGTCGATAATCTATAATCGACAATGGGGAATATTCCTCAATTTGGGTTATTACAGCAAATGCAAATTTTAACAAAATAAAGTTGAGTTTAATTCATGAGTTTTTCAAATTCACTTTGAAAAGTATTCAAATTGATGTTTCAATTGTTGGGTTTTAATTTTTAAAAGAATTTGTTTCTAATTCACATATTGGCAACAGCGCCTATATCAAGTTGAAATAATTTATATGTACTTAGATACTCTACTTTAAAAAAGGAAAATTATCTTTATAAATAAACAATTAAGGCAAAAAATAAATTATAGTCCAATACCACCTTTACAAGCCACATAAACAACAGTTGTTTTGTTATTTATTTATATAGAGGAAGATAGGTTAGGTACACAAAATGTAATATGTCACAGAATGTCTCGGAACATAGGTAAACAGAACAGCATGCCTTGAAATATGTCGTCTTTGTTTGTCTCATACAGGTAACAGATTCATTGTCCTTTATTAGCTATAACCGATATTGCCAAATGGTGAAATAGAAAGGAATCCCTTTAAATGTTGAATGCATTATTTCATTCCTCTTTTTAAAGTATTTTAATAATTTTTCAAAGAAGGTTGAAATGATAAGTTTAAAATGCGTTGTTTAAGAACTCTTTTATGAAAACTACTTGATTTTCGTCAGGAGGAACATTCCCCATTCAACAACACCTTTAACAAACATAAACTGTCGATTATGTTTATTCGACAGTTTAAAGTGAGGTTAGCCGCGTTCAGATTGATAATTAGAAAAGAACACATGACACAAAAGATAAAATAATGTTCACAGGATAAATGTATTATTGAATACACAAAATCATTTGAATGTTCAACTTGTAGACAAAACACGTGAATAGTCACCGTGGTGCACTATAAAAATTGTGACAGGATGTCTAAGAGAGAATTTGAAAAAAATATGTACTGACAAAATTGATGTCTAATCATGGAACACCTAAGTGAAACTGTGATGAGAGACAACTACCGGCCAGAACTATAACTAGAGTGAGGTAACATTGTTACCAACTGGTGGGAATCAGTAGAAATAAATTAACTAGATGAGTTGTTGATGTAAAGAAACACTAATTATATGAACTGGTATAATTGGTAATTGAGATTCTTCAACAGCTCTTTAATAAAGATAAAACCATATTTGAAAACATACATTTTTACACATGTATACAAATTAAAATAAATATATTTGATGTAAAATATGAAAAGAAATTTGTTTATATGCAATTTCGAAATGTCATAAAAAAAGTTATACATGTCAAATTTCAATTGGTCGTGTCATTTGTATATAATTATATACTGTTATAATTTATTTTGGGAGGCAAAGGGGAGATGGGACGTCTTTTGTCAACTAGTTGGAAAATGAGAGAAAAAAAATATTTGGGGATTGCGGCAAGCTAATGAGTGTACTCTCACAACACACATTCCAAGGTCTTGATAAGATTTATTATTATCATCACTGATTGTACAAAATTAGTAGAAACATTCTGAATAATTTCAGAAGGCAAAGAGCCACTTACAGTGTCAATGAGATGATGTAGCTCTGTTACCTATACTAATAAACTGGACAAACATTGATAAAACACATCTAGATGAATAATCTCTGACTGATTCTGTTTGACAAATCTAGATGTATTTTATCAATGTTTGTCCAGTTTATTATTATAACAGAGCAACATAACCTCATTGTCGTTGTAAGTAGTTTTTTCTTTGAAATTCTTCAGATTCTCACATGTTTTTACTGATTTCGTAGAATCATTGATGATGATAATACGTCTTATCGAAAGCTTGGCATCTGTGTTGCAAGAGAAAACTTTATTTGTGGTCCAGATTGGTTTGGTTATATTTCATATTGATTTTTCATGTATGAACCAACAACAACCATTATTATTATTATTATGTTCTGGCTAAAGTAGGTTAAAATATTTTCTCGAAAGCGATCTTTGGATGATAGGACGGACAGAACACCTCTACGAATATGCACCATTCGTTTATGAACATTATTTTCACTTTTACTCGTCCATTCGAATATATAGGTCCAGTTTTTAACTACATTAATTCATCTCCATGAATATCAAATCACTTGACATTTTTAGATATCGAGGTATACATGCGTGGACTTTTAACAATCCAAAACAACTAGCTATCGGAACTTCACTTATTTTGAAAATGTCTTTCCAGCCTGTTCAAGACTACTCTGATAGCGAAGGACAAGTTAGCAGGACTCAAAGAAGCATTTCGGTTTTTGATTTGATCCCCACTGAATCGTTGGGATCCCACCTGTTTAATAGAAGATCAAAAACACCGCAACCAAAGTATGTATCGCTATTTTCGCCAACTATTCGCGTATAATTGTACTAATAATGTTTCATGGGGATGCGCAGAACATTATGATTTTATCAGGATCAATCATACTGATACATTGTTACGTTTTCCCCGTTGGTCTGACAATAATTGACTAACTGTACAATTGAACTCAACTTTGTTTCACTACTACACTGACAATACTACACAAACACTTCAGACTAATACTCGAATGTCTATCGCCTTATTATATCACTTCGTACCGCATTTTCAACTAGACTTTCCTGATCTGCGTGTTTATATATCGTAATGGAAGTCTCACGAAGCGACGTGACACCTAGAACGATCGCGAAGTCGAGTTGAGCGTGACATTGGCCAAGTCAACCGATTGACGAACACCAGTGTTGGAGGGTGTTATTTTTTTTCGGGGAATAATTCGCAACAATACCATTATTTGAGAACATCCATGTTAATAATCATAAAATTTTTAGGCTATGAATTTTATTCAAGACGCGTTTCACAACACTATATTTTAATCGTTTATGTAGATATATGTAACTATAGGTAGTAACATATAAAAGACATTATAGAATAGTTTGATGTACCAGTTCAACTGATAAAACTATAGTGTAGTGACATGCGTCTTGAATAAAATTTGTAGTGGTGAAATTGTGCAGTTAATGTCATGGATAGAGTTACTAATTTTCATCAAGTAACGGGTGAGTGTATCTAAATGTATCCAAACAGTACCTATATTATGTGACTAATGCATAGGCTGTCCAAACAATAACCATCACTCTTATTTAGATGAGCTGAAGAGTTCATAGGCTAACACACATGCGGTGCTACGAGTTTTAAATGTATGTGATTTTTCAACAAAAGACACACACATTTCACAGCTGTCGGACTACTAGTTTGTGGGATAGAACATTTTGAACGAGGCAACTTTTGCTCAAGCCAAGGCTTGAATTGATGAACATTATTCAGAAAAACCAAATGGTTGCTGAGTACCGAGGACGATGCACTTACTGGACATCCCAAAGAAGCTGTTACCGACGAAAACATCAAAAAGACCACAAAATAACTTTGGATGACCGCAAAGTGAAGTTGATCGATATTTGGATATGCGAAAGCTGTTTGAAGCTGTTTCACCATGCGTCGATATGTGACAATGGATAAAACATGGCCCCATTATTTTATACCAGAATGAAAACGACTCCAAAGCATGCAAAGACTCAACAGTCGACTGGCAAGGTTATGTTATCATTATTCTGGGATGCGCATGATATAATATTCATCAACTAATTTTGAAAGGGAAAAACCATCAACAGCGACTATTACATAGCGCTCTAATCATTATATCCCCCTCTAAGGCAAGTATAACAAATAATGAAATAAAATTTTATTACATTTTTTTTCTATGTTAGCCCACGAACTTTTCAGGCCAACTTACATTTTGACAGAATTTTCTACAATCCAACAGCTTTTCGACTCTTCGGCAGACCCCTGATCGCTTCATAAGGAACATATAAATATAAGAAATACTATCCCAGAGTTTATTAAATAATCTGTAAGAACATCTGTCAAAATTTGTAGCGATATTTCATGTTTCATCATTCAGCATCATTCGAGACCGTATCAGTTGCTCTTCAAATTTGAAAACAGAAAGTGCAGCTTTGAAGATTTCAGTACAGCTTGTCAAATGTAGGAAAATATTTCAAAATTTTGATATAATACTGCCCACTAGATGCGTGTTAGAAGACGGTGAAAGTGCTCAGTAGCAACAATAGTCTTGTAGTGTACAGGGTACAGCGCATTGAGCGTCGGTTAGCCGTATTTTGGAAAATTATAGGATTCATATCCTTGAAATTGGCAAATATAGGTTTTTTGATATGCTTCAACGAATGAAAACAATGGCGTTTTATATAAATACTTTTTTTAGAACGGAAGCGGTACGGAGTTCACTAATTCAAATGTAACACCCTGTATATTTTCACATGTTTGAATACCTGGCATCAGGGCCGTAGCGGAAAAAAAAACCAGTGAGGGAGGGAATCCAAACTTTCCCAACCCCACCAGCAAAATTTCCCAATTTTCGAAAAAATGAAAGCCGAGGGATTAGTTACTACTATAATATATTAATTTTCTCACTTAGCTATCCAAAGATTGGCTGAATGCTTATGCCTGTTAGGGTATGCACAAACAAAAATAAATTTTGGTTATTATAAAAATAATAATGGGAATTATTGTACTTTGGACCAAGGTCCTTGGTGTTTCACCATATCCACCATGTATAGGAATATTCAATACAAATGAAAGTAAACAACACTTAAATAATATTGTGCTTATTGTTTTCTACTATTATTTATTCTATCTTCACGGCCTGAAATTTCCCAACTTTTCCAAGACGAAAATACAACGAAAAGTTGGGAATTTTGTAAAATTGTCACTTCAAAATTTGTGGACTGTTCTCTCACTTGGGAGAAATTAAACTTTTTTGAAGTTTTCAAACAACTCAGAATTCCAAAGTATGGGATCTCCAAGTTATGCATGTTGGAAAATCCCAACCTTCTCCCGGTTTTTTCCCTTTTCTTATTACCTCTCCCTTTCTTTTCTTTCATTTTTATTTTTTTAATTTTTACCCATTTTTTTACTATTATTTTGTTGTATCTTCACGGCCCAAAATTTCCCAACTTTTTCCCAAGTCGAAAAAGCAGGGAGGGGGAGGCTCCCGAACCTCCCCCCCCCATGGCGACGGCCCTGCCTTGCATTATTCTTATGTGAGTTTATGCAATACACCCCATACCAAAAAGGAACGGTATTCGAGATATTAATTTGTTTAGTCAAAAAAAATTGATATCCGGCTCTCGAGTGACTCAAAAGTTTAATAGAATACATAAACAAGCTGTTATTGATTCATCAAAATACTTCGTTCCATCGTCTTATAGGAGTAACATTTCTAAAATACTATACAAGGTGTTTGGAATCGATTACTAATTCTAAAGATATAAAAATAATCCGAAACTCAAATGGAACATCCAGTATTATCAAATAATCTATGTGGATTTCGTAAAAAGTATTCATGTGAATCCGCATTACAACTCACTTTATCTAAATTCAAAAAAGAAGTTGATAACAATAAATTTGTAGCAGCTGTTTTTCTTAATCTGAAGAGGGCGTTTGAAACAATTGATCGTAATATTCTTCTAATAAAATTAAGAGGTTATGGCATTGATGGTGATGTTTACCAATTTTTATGTGACTATTTATCCCATAGAAATCAAAAAGTCAGAGTTCAAGATAATATCTCACAGGAATTGGATATACATATAGGTGTACCTTAGGGTAGCGTTTTAGGACCTCTGCTTTTTATCTTATACTTAAATGATATGAACTTGTTTATAAATGTTGATTTTATAAATTTATTTGCAGATGATACACTATTGGCATGCTATGATACAAGCTTAGATAAAGCTATTGATAAAATGAATGCCGAATTAAAGGATGTAAATGAGTACCTCATGACGATGAAATTAAAACTGAATAAAATGAAAACTAAAGGAATGATTATTACAACAAAATATAAATGGAACAACCTTGATTTAATTGAAATAAATTTACAAATTGATAATGAAAACATTGAAATTGTATCATGTATCAAATATCTTGGATTCCAGTTAGATAATTTATTACTTTTTGGCAATCCTCTTGATTATATATGTAAAAAAATATCTAAAAAACTATATTTCTTTGCAAGAATTTCTGGCAATTTATCCACTCAGTCTAAAATTACTGTGTACAATACGATTATCCAACCACATTTTGATTACTGTGCTTCTATTATTGTCTTGTTTAATCTAAATCAAACATCTCAATTACAAAAACTGCAAAATCGTGGTATGCGAATTGTTCTAAAAGTGAATAGATTCACTGAAATCGGTGGCTATCAGTTTCTTTACGGTTGTATTACTTAACTATGACTTTTATATATAAAATTCTGAATAACTTATCACAATCATATTTTTCTGAATTTGTTAGTTTAAATTCAGAAGTGCACAAATATGCCACAAGAAATCATACTAATTTGCATTTATGCAGAACAAATAGGAGAAGTGCCATGAATTCTTTATTTTTCAAAGGGTTTGTGCATACATTAAATTACCTAATGAGATTAAATCTAGTCCATCATTAAGTATTTTTAAAAAACAGTTATTGAAATCCATCCATAATGGTGAATAGAATAAAACTTGGTAAGATAATATTAATAAATATAGTATTTGTGTGTTGCTTTCTGCTTTTTATCATTGTATTGGAGCTGCACCTATAGTGCAATGTATTTTTAATAGCATATGTCGTTATTTTTCAAACTGAAAATGTTTATTTTCAATTTCTATGTTAGTAATATGTTTTATATAATATTGTGTATTTCAATAAATATATTCTTCTTCTTCTAGTTTTGAAATTTCAAGATGATTATGATTTATTTCAATGAAACATACCGTTCACCAGATACTTTAGTTTTTCTTAAAAAAATAAAACATGCGCTTTTATAATGGAATTACTTTTCCATCTTTGGGTAGTTGAACCCCTTTATGAAAAAATTTCGCGATGAGGAATGTTTTATTATTTGATTATTTATATTTGGACTTTATGATCTGCGATGTCGTCACTCATCAGATATTAGCGATTCATGTGTTTCCTCTTACCCTGTATAGGGTCAATTTGTTGACCAACAGCTCTTTCAATTCTTCATCACAGTCACCATTAATGATATATTTTCAGTAAAAATGGGCAGTGACATTCATAAAATAAAAGATAAAACTTTCTCCATTTACCAAAACTGCAATATTTTCCCAGACTCTGTTCCACCAATCAAGTTGGCGTTTTCAGAAAACCACTTGTTTTTCTAGTTGACAGGGTATAATATTGTTCATAATATGAAGATGACATTACTAGAGAATTGAACATGAAAACGAAGCTGGTGATATACTTAAAGTTGCGACTTTGTTTCTCAATTCTACAGTTGTTATCATCGCCTACTGTCTTCGATTTTGAAAATAATTTGTTGGACTTACGTTCCCCTACTCTCAGAGTTGCACAATATATCCAACAGTGTTTCACGGAAGAAATTGACAGGGAAGTAAAACCCTTTTTTTAATATTCACATTTTGCAGGCTTGTGGAGAAAAAACCTCAGGTCACCCGACAACTAGCGGAAGTTCAAGCTAAATTGTACAGCTTGAAAAATAAATTGTGGTTTGGAGTAGGCAATGGTGACGTACCTTTATCTTGGGGAGGCGGTGAGAGAGCTTACTTTTCCGATGGTCGGACTTCCTCACCACAGAAGTAAGTGAATATCATGCCCCAAACGTAACAGTTGGTCTGAAAAGCTCGTAGGCTAACATAAAAAATGTTTTTGATAAAATTTGATTCTATTATTCGACATAGTTGCCTTCGAGGGCGCTATTTTGCCATTGGCGCTTTTTTTCCATCGCTGGGGATTAGATCTGGAGAATACAGTGGATGCGGAAGCAATTCGGAACACAATTCATGCAATTTCACCTTCGTTTTCATTGATTTGTGACACGGTGCATTATTTTGTATTCATTTTCTTCAAACTATTAAAAGTTGCTTCACTTCAAATTTTTTATCCCACAGACTAATAGTCCGACAGCTGTGAAATTTGTACACGTATCTTTTGATCTAATACTAATAGCGTCATCTGAGTGTCAGCCTACAAACTTTTTAGCCCATCTAGAATATTATTTTTCTGCAAATGGAATTTTCATGGACAGTTTTTCAGGAGGAACCATACTAAATCTTCTAAGAAATGTCTGAAATCGGATAAGAGGAGCATAACGAAGGAAGTGAAGCCAAAAACTGAAGGGAAAGAAAAATCTTTGAAAAACCAAAATGGGTATAACATAATCACTTTGAAATTTCCTTTATTTTCAAGTTAGTTCATGTGGAATAATTTTAATATGTTTGTTATAAATCACCGACCCATGCTACATTTTTGAGGGGTCATTTGTAAGGCGCCTCTTGAAAATGTATGATTTTTAAAATCCTGAAGTAGAAAATGGGTTTAAGATGTAGGTAGTGCACGTGGAGATATTTCCCACCTAGGGTGGAAATTAATTTGTGACTTCTTATGACTTCTGTTGAAATCTATTAAAATCTGTTTTTTCATCAACCAATTGATCATAGTCCATTCAGAATTTTCTCAGCCAAACCACTCGCGATTCATTTTTTAACATACTGAACTTCATATGAAACGCTTTTCATCGATTAAACATATGAATGAAAATCGTTTTTCTATGATATAATGTGGAAAATGAAGCAGTACTTCTACATTTCGAACTATACACTAGTAAACAATTTTTGACAGATACTTCAATTTTATGATTCAGTTATTTTTGTCATGACACCTCGTGATTCTGTCTATCAACACTGATGAGAACTTTGCGGTTAGAAACAGATGGTGTTGGATCGCGAATACCTTGTTCTTAGGCTCTGTGTCCTTAGAAATCTAGTGTCCTTGCAGTGAAAGTTGCAGTGAAAGACAGAGGTCGAATCTCATTTCACTAACCTGGTTCATTGTTGATACTTATGAATTGAATTTTCTGTAAATCCTATAGGTCGCCTATTCAAAAGGAATGGTGTCATGGTCACAGAAGACTTACCAACCAGAAATTTCACTTTTAAACATGGGGTGATTGAAGGCCGCAATCTTCTCAGGACAAATTTGTCATTGGTTTAAGCAGACAGTCGACACAGAACAATCCGTTTTGCAAATTCTGACAACAGAAGGAGGATAATTTGCTGTTCTGTGTCATACATTAGGTACTGTCCGTCGAAAATCCCATAGATGGCGTACACAGGTTTATTCTTTGAAGACAGTTGAATCCAGTTCTTCATTCATGGTCTGCAGACAGCATTTCCAATAACAGATAGTACTAGCGGATAGAGTAGGGCTTTCGAGGCCCTGATTTCGTCCAACGTAAACTTTTCAGAATATTGATTGAAAAATCGACATTCAAAAATATAAATCGTCCTATTTTAATTTTTTTTTTCATTTAATGAGCTATTCAGTGAATATTCGTTCATCAAACTGAAAACTTCATCTTAGAGTTTAAATCTTTCAGATTGAGAAGACAAGCAAATGTTGAATTTTCTTCCCAGCCACAACAAACCGTAAAAGGTTTACTTCGAAAAATAAAAAGCCTTCCTGAAACGTCATCCTATGAATTAGTGAGGGAGAAATCCAAATCTGCAGTTAGTGGCGACGAGGACAAAACAGAAAAGAAGAAGAAAAAAAAGAAACGAGGAAAGCTGTCTAAGAAAGTTAGGGCTATCAGTAACGCAAGAACATTCACACAAAAAGACTGAATATCTAAAAAAAAAAAAGAATTTGTTTTGTGTTGGTTTGTAACGACTTATGTAGTAGCAATTTGGTTCATATCGACTGTACTGCCGTAGATGTGATAAATATACAAAGTATACTCCGTACGTATTTTTTTTTTCTGAAAATGATCTGATTGAGATAATTGGAAGCTCGGTTGACAATTATACTCGTACACAACGTACTAATGTAAGAGCTACGATATACTCGCACTTTCCTAAGAACATCGAATATGTTTGCTAGAGTAAATAACTTTGAGGTATACTCATTTGACTTGGCCTTTTTTTCCAAGAAAAAGCATCAGCTTTATATTTTCGAAGTGAACATTATATGTACGTGGACTGTTTGAAAAATAAGGTGAAAGTTCAAATTTCAATAGTCAATATGAAACACATAACATACATAAAAAAAAGTTAACAAGCTACAATCAAATCAGGATTCAAGAAGAAACTCATCCACAGAGTAGTATGCTTTTTGCAATAAAACAATCTTGAGTCGCCTTTTGAAGACATTGATATTTGAGGATTTAATGTCCCCACTAAGCTTATTATATAGCTTAACCCCAAAGCACTTGGAGTGATTCTTTGATAATGTCAATTTACTAAAAGGTTGATGTAGTTGAAAGTTATTTCTGGTGAAATGTTCATGGATTTGCTGCTTTCTAGGAATAATTGAAATATTGTTTTTAATATATATCAGAGTTTGGTGTAGAAATACAAACTACGCATTGTTAATAAACTGTAACGAATGAATAGTGGTCAGCAGTGTTCACTTCGGACATAGTTCCTGCAGATACCAAGATGCTAGCATCCGCAAAAATAACAGTAATGGAAGCTTTTGAACAAAATTTCGGAAGATCATTTATGAAAACCAAAAATAAAAGTTAGGAGTTTATCGATTTTCTGCTATCAAAAAAAATTGATCAAGGAATTTGTATAAAAATTTGAAATGAGTACCCAAAAACACTTGAAATATTGACAGTGGCAAACGGTGATTGTACTCTGTACTACTGAGTCGACAAAATGTCGACGACATGTCGGTTCGCTCATGTCATGCAATTTTTTCGGAAATCTTGGACATGAAGCGTGTGGCAGCAAAGTTAGTTCCAAAGTTGCTGAATTTTGACAAAAAAAACGGTGTATGAGCACCGATTGTTGAATGCCCTCAACGGCGATTCAGATTCGCTCAAAATATTCATAACTGGTGGCGAATCATGGGTATATATGGCTCTGACATCGAAACCAAAGGCCAGTCGTCCCAATGGAAAAACCCAGGAGAGCCAACACCAAAAAAGAACTTCTAGTTCGATCAAATGTCAAAGTTTTGCTCACTGTTTTTTTTCGATTACCGTGACGAAGTGCATCAGGGGTTCTTGCCACATGCATGGTCGCATGGTCAGGAGTATTATCTTGAACTTGGTCCCCTGCCACTGTTTTCTGTTCCAAAGATTGAAGAGACCTATGAAAAGACTGCGTTTTGCCACGATTGAGAAGATAAAAACCGAATCACTTAGCTCAAGAACATACCAAAAAGTGGATATTCGAACTGCTTATTAATTACCTGGTGAAATAATATTCTTACTGAAGATAATTGAACATCTATCATAATCGCAAATGAATTCACTTTAAAAAAAATAATTTACCAGGTTGAGAATCAGTTTTTTTTATTAATTGTATTTTTGAAGAAAAGAGAATTGAAAGTTTCTATGTTTTTTACCACTCAAATTTCAATAGTCAATATGAAACACATAACATTTATACATTAATGTATAATGTATACGTTATAATATATAATAATTTAAAAATATTCAGATTAGAAAAATATGTCCCAAATGAGAATAGGCTCATTAAAGTTGTTTTAAAATCAGCTGATGATGCAAAATATATATTGAAAAATAAAACAAAAATTGTTGTACCCAGTATTAGAATTAGCAATGACCAGACAAAAGCACAACAAGATTACTTTAAATTCATCAAAGCTGAGCTACAGAAATTAATTCAAAATGGCGATAATAATAAAACAATTAAATTCGTAAATAATAAACCCACTATAGTCAATAAACAATCCCAAAAAAACTAATTGAAAAACCTAATATTATACCTTTTAATTCAGACATAATTTACCTAAACTCTCAAAGTATAATTAAAAATAGAGATGAAATCCAAGAAAGAGTAAGTTGGTATAAACCAAAATTAATATTACTTAGTGAAACGAGACAAACAGACGATATTGAAGATAGTGAAATTAAAATTGAAAATTATAATCATGTACGATGCAACTCAACAAGTAGACATACGGGAGTTGTTATACTTTATGTGAAATACAGTTATAATTTTACACATTATGAAACATTTAAACTAAGAGATAATTATTGGTGTAAAATATTAAAAATTAATTTTATATTCGCAATATATCTGATTGGATGTTTGTACTGTTCACCATCAAGTTCTGAGGCCATATTCATTGAAAACCTAGAAGAAATGTTTGATGTATTATTCAATTCTGAATATCGTTGTGTGTTAGTTGGCGATTTTAATATTGACTGGTTAACTGATTCTTTTCATGGTAAGAAAATTGAAAATATTTGTTCTGCTTATGGTATGTTACAAAGTATTACAAATCCTACACGTATTACAGATATTAGTAAGTCATTAATTAATATTACTGGAGTTTTTTTCCCAACACCAAATCGTTATTTTTACACCTCGACACGTGTTTCGATCACCAAGTGATCATCTTCAAAAGGAAGATAAAACTAGAAACTACTCAAAACTGAAGCTATTTATGCTATTCAGGTACATCATACAGGTAGGTAATCAGTAATACCACCCATACAAGTGTACCACCCTAAATTAATTTTACAATTGGCCTTTCTATTATTTTACAATATGTCCTTATGTATGTTTAAATGTTACAGCTATATATAGAACAATTTTCAGCTATATAAAATTAGTTTCACAATATTGCCTATCTAAATATATTTACAATGTGTCTTTTTGTAGTAATCAGTAAACCCAACAATATTATTTCAACAAGCTATATAGTATGCTATTTGGTATTGGTCCGTTATCGTTATTCATAATATTATTATGTTTACTCATTTCTACACTCTCATAGGCATCTAGTTGCCTGTTGTTGTTAACTAGATATAGATGAAAGTAGACTCTACTATTTTACAATGACTCTAGTATACAAAATTGTAAATGGAATGGCACCAGAATATTTTAAAGTTACATCAAATTCAATAAAAACATTCATAATTATAATACAAGAAATTCTAATGATATACATATAAACAGACCGGCATTTGGAGGTACCATGAATTCGTTAATTTTTAAGGGCTTCCACGAGTTCAATGAATTACCTGAAGAAATAAAAAAATATCCATTTTAAAAAAGTAATAGAATACAAATTGTATAGTTATGTGGAATTATTTGGGACATTATTGGCTATCATTTATTGTTTTTTCATTTATTGTTTTTAATTGTTCACTAGGGTATTTGTATCTGTAATGAAACTAAATATCACTGTTTTAATAATAATTTAATGTATAAATGTACCTATATTTCATTATCTATTTGAATGTTACTTAACATATGATACTGAAATCTTTATATGTAATATTAACTGTTTGGCTACATGCTAGTTTAAATCTCAAATTGTTTAAATTTAAAAATTTTTACATAAATTTTTTTATATTTCATTGTGCTAGTGTTATTATTACACTCATAGATATGTATATTAGGTTTCCTATTTCAATAAAGATTATTATTTATATGATGTATAATGGATCTTTTCATACTTATACATAGTTGTACTTATACATTGATGTATTAGTTTGAAAATGTCCGTATAGGACGAAACTGCAGTAACGTTAGTTACAAATAATAAAAGTGGTAAAAAACATAGAAAGTTTCATTTCTCTTTTCTTTATTATGATTTCCTACCACGTAGTAACGGCTACATCCATCAATTTGTGTTTGTAATATTCCAGTTCCTTATTTAGTAAATATTGTAACGGGCTGCAATTTCCAATGATGTTGGATCTTCAGAAGTTTGGGCTTTGTATTATTTGGTAGAGGCAATAACTGTATTTGAAAAAATCAAAAAGTGTCATGGAACAGATTCCTGTTAGTTTGTCAAAAGTTCACTTGTAGTTTTCTATTACCAGTTGCCAACATGCAAATTCACGCTATACTATGTTTATTCTCTAGCTACTAGATGGCGGATAGTACTGGTGTGATTGAATAAATGCCGTTGATACAGTTTTTTTAATTTCATTCATTTAATAATTAATTGTTGGTGAAATGAATAAACTTGTTGTAACTCTTCGTGATTTTTTTATGTGAAGTGTTAACCCCCCGGTTTCATTAAAACCTATAATAAAAAACTGAAAAATACAGAAGATAATTATATTCTGAATTCCAATCAATAGATAAATATCGGAGCATCATTTTCTTTCTTTCTGTGTTGTTTCAGTACAAAACTTATAAGAAATAGTGATACTCATTTGTAAAATATATGAATATATCTTATACGAGTATACCCACGATTGAAAGTTGAAAACAATTTTTGAAGGTACACAATTTTATTGACAAATATAGGCATCAAATATATCCACTAATGAAGAAGGGAATGAACATTTCAAAATATAATTGAATATATTTCATGCTTTCACAATGTAGTTGAATTTCAGTTGTACGTATAACTTAGGTCTTATTTCTACCATCATTATGTATATTTTCATAGTCTTATAAATCATGGATCAATTTAGGTTTTTTCAACTGCATCTTCGTTGAATTGTAAGTATTTTTATACCATTTTCCTAGAACGTTTTAGTTGAATTCAACAACATGAACAATTCTGAACCTCCATATACAGAAAAATTACTTTTTTTACGTGCCTTGAAACGTAATTCCGATTCGACTTAATTATTTGGAATGAAGAACAATTGGAAAGAAAGGGTTTGGCTTTCTACTTCTCCATCATTATACAAAACATCTGGAGATCTTCCAAAGAGAGGAAGGAAACAATCAATTTCAAAAAATTAACTCTATACAAAGATGTGTTTATCATGCAAAGAAGTAACTTTCAGACAAAAACTGGA